TCCAATACCACCCTTTGGAGATTCAGCCGATCCTGCTGAATCTGAGTCAATATCCAGTCAACGATGACCTTGCCTTCTCCGTACTCCTCTTCCACTGGTCGATGACCCGTCACCATCTCCAAAAGCACGACCCCGAAGCTGTACACGTCACTCTTCTCCGTCCACTTGTAACAACACGCAAACTCTGCATTCATCACATCCGAAAACCAACTTAGCTCTGCGGTCTGATTCAGGGTTTGGACATATCCGAATTGTGTTTCGATGGAACGGTAACCTTACCAGGGGCCATATATCCATGAGTCCCAGCAACACAGTTCCATTCACGCCCTTTACAAGACTTGCTATCATCGTCAATCTTTGCAATACCAAAGTCTGCAACTTTAGGCTCATATTCTGCATCAAGCAAGATGTTGCTCGACTTTATGTCCCTGTGGATGATCGGAGGACAGCAATCATGATGCAGATATGCAATTCCCTTTGCAGTCCCCACCGCTATTTTGTACCTATTGCAATCATTATAAACCGAATCTTAGTCATCTTTCACCCCAACTGGGTGCTTATGAATTTTGAGCAGATGAAGCAAAGGTCGTATTGAATGTAGTATAGAGTAGTACCTTTTGTGCCAGTCCAATTCTGGCGACCCGCCTTCCATGTTTCGATGAAGGGCATGAAACAAATTTCCATTCTCCATTAACTCGAACACCAAATAGCTTGAACCCCATCCATTCAGACAAGCATACAACTTCAGTACGTTTTTGTGTCTGATGTTCCCAAGAATCTCCATTTCCGCAGCAGAGACCTCGGATCCTTCACCACCTTCTGTCCTCAGCCACTTTACTGCCACTGCCCCACGACCCCTTTTCAAGTCGACCCTGTACACTTTTCCGGTGCTTCCAGTCCCAATCAGATGATCTTCCTCTAACTTGTAGATCTCATCAGTATCAAAGTCGATTTGATGGAAAGATGTGATCTTCCATTCTGTTTCTGCGTCAAGATTGTCGCTTTTCCCATCCTCTTGTCGGGCATTCACAATTCTGCAATGCACCACGAGTAAAATGATTGCAAAGGCAGCAACAGCAGAGGCTAGAGCCAAGGACACAATCACTACTAATTCAAAGTCTTCCTTATGCTCAATGTACTCGTCACTGCTACATGTGCTCAAACCAGATCTCTCGTTTCCCGAGAACGCTGCAGTTCCACCCATGGCTAAAAGCCCCTGAGGCACTTTTCCCGTCAATTGATTTTCAGACAAATCAATGGAACTCAGCTTCAACTCCACGAGATTTTCGGGTATCACACCTGTAAGACGGTTGCCTGAGAGATTCAGCGAGCTCAAAGAAACCATTTGCGACAAAGCATTGGGGATTTCACCAGCCAATGAGTTCCGAGCGAGATTCAGGTCAACCATTCGAATGCAGTTTGCTAGTTCGAGAGGGATCGATCCCGTAAGAGTGTTATCTTCAAGATGCAAAGACGATAACTGCCTCAAATTTCCGAGTGCTGCCGGAATTTGACCATAGAACTTGTTGTTGCTCAGATGTAATCTCTCTAAGTATGTCAGTGCTCCAAGTTCACGCGGAATCTGTCCAGAAAACTTGTTGTTATGCAAAACTAGCAGTCTCAGTTCCTTGGATAACCAGACTGAAGGAGAGATTTCTCCAGTGAAGCCATTGTCGCCGAGATCAATCAGCTTAGCGCGCGGTAGAGCCCAAAACAGTTCCGGAATGCGACCAGAGAGCAGATTGTTGCTGATCCTTAGCCTCAGGAGTGATTTACAATCTGCGTAAGACCCAGGAAACTCGCCCGAAAACTTGTTTCGCAGAGCGAGCAAATGTCGGAGCCTTTTTTGGTAGCATAGGAACCTAGGAAACGGACCTGAAAACCTGTTTTGCGAGATTTCTACTGTGTTCAGATGCGAGAACCGGCCGATTTTGGCCGGAAAATTGCCGGAGAAGTTGTTTCTGTAGATGATAAGGGTATGGAGATGAATTAGAGAGGCGAACCCAGAGGGGAACTTGCCGGAAAAGTAGTTCTGGTAGCCACGGAAAACCCTAAGCTCCTTTAGATTCGTGATCTCGTCAGGTAATGCACCACTCAACTGATTCGAGGAAATATCCAGCACGCGCAAGCGGGTCAGATTTCCGATCTCTGGAGGAATCTCTCCGGTCAGTTTGTTGCTGCCGAACTCGAGCTCGGTGAGACTCACTAATCTCAAGATCGACGGCGGAAAATCCCCCGAAATCGCGTTGTTCGAGATTTCGAAAGTATCGAGGGACGTCAGATCGAAGATCGATTCAGGAATTGATCCCCGCAAGTTGCAACGAGGCAAGAAGAGCCAAGTCAAGTTCTTCAGATTCCCAAGACTCTCAGGAATCTCACCTTCATCGTAGCGATTATTCCCAAGACCGAGCGAAACCAACCGAGTCAGATTCCCCACCCAGCTCTGAAATTCTCCGGTCAAGAAGTTCGTCGAGAGATCGAAAATCTCCAGGGATTTTAGAGGAGAAAGGTCGGGGACCTTTCCGGAGAGCCGATTGGAGGTGAGATTGAGGACCCTAAGATTCGTGCAGTTGACAATCTCCGGCGGGATGTTTCCGGTGATGAAATTCGATGGAAGCCATAGCGTGGATAGGTTCTTGAGAGCACAGATCGCCGGAGAAATGGAACCGGAGAGCTGGGTTTTGCCGAGAGAGATCTCGGTGACAGCGCCGGAAAAAGGATCGCATTTCACGCCGCGAAACCTGCAGGGTGAGGTGGAGAGATTCCATGAGTCGAGAGCGTTGAAATGGTCGAAGAGGCCGGCTTTGAATCGAAGCAGAGCTTCTGTCTCTTCGACATTCGAGCAGAGAGATGGCGGGAAAAATGAGAGCAGAAGCGCGGCGGTGACGATGGCAACAGTTCTTCGTAGATAGATATCTGGTTTTTTCGTCATTTCGGTGATCCCTAGATTCTTTAGAGAAATATCCTACTATACTACTGTGATTTATATAATTTAACACAAAATGTATAGATTTCCTATTTTGGATTTAGACAAAAAACCATCAACTGTTTCACTTGTACCAGACAAATTTGTACAAACTTTATCACCTATTAATTTTGAATACAAAAAACCATTAACTATATAATTTATTCAAAAACAATGTTTTACTTTAAATTTTTATAAAAAAAAACACCAACTATTAATTTTAATAAAAAAATCATAACTATTTAAATTGTTCAAAAAATAATTCTATTTTAATTTGTTATAATCTATAAAATTTATACATAAATATATACCTATATATTACAAAAATTTAAAAATCACAATAAAAAACTTAATATTTATATAAATTCATCACATTATAATATTTATAATTTATATAAATTAATTTTAAAAATTATCCACTAAATAATAAATTTGTATACAAATGTTATAATTAAAATTAAATATATTTTATTGATTACGAATATTATATTTAAATTTTTTTATATATTAATATTTGAGATATTATAAAATATCAATTTGATTTTTCATATAAAAATGGTAATTGAAATATTATATAATGTGCAATTTGTATATAAATTTATAATATAAGAGATATATATTTTATAAAGTAAAATAAAAGAAGAATTTTTTATTTGCAATATTATATAAATTAATGAATTTTTATAATTAAAATAAAAGTTTTTTTTAGAAAATTAGACATTTGATGTAATTTTTAATTTATATATTTTTACAACAAATTTGAAGTAGGAGTTTTTAGCTAATTTACATAGTTGTTGCATTTTTTTTTATAAAACAAATATTTGATTTTTTTCATAAAAAATGTAAAGTAAAAGATTGTTTTTGAATAAATTATATAGTTGATGGTTTTTTTACAATTAATAGTTGGTAATTTTTTATTGAAATAAATAATTTACAGTTTTTTTATAATAAATATAAAATAAAATATTTTTAAATAAAGAAAAAATCTCATAACAAATGTGACAAATAAATACTTAAAATTTTAGTTTAGCAATATAATACCTTAAATATTTAAATCGATATAGATCGTATTTAAAAAATGACCTCAATTTTACGAGTTGAAATATTAATTTGACATAATTTTAGGAGTCGGTACGTTCACTTGGTATATTTTAATATTTCGTATATTATTTATCAAAATAAAATTTAATGTATTATTTTGTATAATTTTAAAAAAAAAAAATTAGGTACTTATATGAGCTTTTTTAAATAAATGATATAATTGATGTTTTTTATAATTAATAATTGGTAAATGTTTTTAATTGAACATATAGTTGATGGTTTTTAATAAGGTTTTTGTGGTGTAAACAAGACAGCTGATGGTTTTTTTGTTACTATTTTTTAAAACATAATCAACTTAATTTAATGGTTTAATCTAATAGATACCATATAACATCCACTGTGAAATCAAAAGGCAAGAACGTTTTGGGAAAGTGAAAATAAAAGATCCAACATTGAGAATTGAGTATAAATGAAGGATCAATCATTAAAAGTTAACTAGAAAATAAAAATAAAGAAAAAAATCTATATATATTAATAAGTTGATAAAACAACTTATACATATACATGAACTCCACGTATATAAATATATATACACGATATTATTCAATTGATAATATAGATACCAATAAAATGTCACGTATCTGAATCTAAACTTTCAGTTTTATTAAAAGTTATATGATTTTTAATGTTAAATAATCATTGATTGTGTATACACCTAAGAAGCGTATTAGTGGTTTGAAGATTCAAATGAATCCCAAAAAACCGATTTTCCACAAGAGAAAAAAAATGTATGCAAAACGACGAATAAATTAGGATTATATTTACATGAAATAAATTATATATTTTAAATTTAGAAAAAAACCTCTAAAAATTCTTAAACTTGTAATTTGGTGGAATAATAATTTTTATACTTTTTGTTGTGTCTAATTATTTTTAAATGTAAAAAAGTGACTTAATAATTTTTAAATTTATTTGAAAATATCAGACGAATTCATCTTTAACCGTTATTTATTGTTAGTGAAACCTACGTGGTTTGTAATGTGGGATTACACCTCATATGTCAAATAAAATTTTATAACAGTATTATTTTCATCAATTTATATTAAAAATTACTATAATACCAATATACAACATTAAAAATTATTGAGTCATTTTTTTTCAAATTTGACAATAATTAAACACAAAAAAATATAGAAATTATTATTTCACCAAATTATAAGTTTGGAAATTCTGAAAGGTTTTTCTCTCAGATTTATCATATAAACCATAATTATAATATTTATAAAAAAAAACTTTAATCTATTACACTTAGATTAAAAAAAAAAGAAGTTTTTTAAGTCATGGTTAAATAAACGACGTTATATTCGTCTGTCTCATGACTAGACTCTAATTATATGGAAACGGCACAAAGTTGCATATACATCATTTTGGTCTCTCATGAACCGTAAAACAACTTAGTATAAAAAAACATAAACAACACAAAAGCCAGTTTGTGTCTGCACTTTTAGCAAAGCAAAGCTTTGCCAAAGCACTCTTGCTTTGTTGAATTCCAGTAGTTAAGACAAGGCGGCAAACCCCGGATTCTACTACCTAAACTACTTCTTAATCCAATCAAATTTCGCTCAAAAATCTGGCCGGAGACGGCTTTCCAAGGAACGGTTTTGTGCTTTCATACTTCATCGGGAAGCTCCTGCAGCAGTGCATCTCTCGTAATCGCCTTGTTCTTCCTTGCTGAATTCCTCCAGTAGTTCCCGCTGTCTCGGAGTTATGGTTCTGCCAAGAACAAAGGAAATTCATCATCATCATCATACTCGTCATCATCATCAGGGAAGTGGGTCTACATACTAGATAGAGAACTTGACCACTAGGACTCTGGATTAACAAATCAAGGGCAAGAAGAGTTTCATATGGTTATCATGCACTTACGTTGGGATGCTGATGTTGAAATGCACATACTGATCCCCAAATCTTGATGACTTTCTTGGCCTAATACCTGTTAACTCGGCCAAAAGCGTGAAACTTTACTTTCGAGATCGATTTATTAAATAAATAAAAATCTGCTGAGCAGTGAGGAATTATTGGATTTCTGTGAAGTAATCTTCTCATTTTGCTTTCCTCGGAGTTTATTAGGTAATCTGCTCAAATTTCTCTTTTTCTCTTGGGTGTATTGCTTAGCTGAACCATCAACGTGAGCTAAAGATCTCACCTTTATTCCTCAAAACTACTTTCTGACCGGGTTGGGTTCCAGGACGAACCTGCAACAAGAGAGTTCCGATCTCAGTTTATCGGGAAAGTTCTAAATAGAGTCGTACAAATATAAAAGTCCCGAGGATCGACAAAGAAAACCCCTAATCCTCTCTCATCAACCAGCGATGATGTTGAGCCAGTAGAAACAAAATCTGAACCTTTCTAACCAAACAATAGGAATACTGAAGTTCAGAATTTTGACCCATCTGTTTTTCCTCGGCTGGTCGATAAAGACTAGAATTGTTCAATTAGAGAGTTTAGGAAGTTCTCTGAAAACTCTGGCTTCATTAGTGAAGTGTTGTGATTTTAGGCCGTTGACTCGACCCATCGGGTAAATCTTTTACATGTTAAGAAGAGAAAAAGCTTACAAACCTTCACCACGACATCACCAGTGAGGGTCGGTACTTGGACGGTTCCTCCAAGAACAGCCTGATGAGAAACAAGAATATGCTCGCAATAAGGACCAAAAACAGAAGCATAAATTAACTTTCACAAGCAATGCAGTGAAACAAAGCCTAACTATAAAAACATCCTTAAGTTTTCATGACTACAATGACAAGAATGACCAGTTACATTACCTGGGTGACACTTAGAACGGAATCCACATGGATATCTGCTCCATCTCTACGGAAAACAGGATCTTCCCGAACCTGAAAAAGATATATGACAGTTATCGAGAACTTAGTGAGACAATTCACCACAAATGTCCACCAAAATGTTGGTCTCAATCAAGTAACCTTGATGGTAACATAAAGATCTCCAGGTTGATCTCCTTCAGGATCAGCTCCACCCGACCTCAAAACCTTTATCGTTTCGCTATTGTCAACTCCTGAAAGGGTAAAACTAATGTGTGAACAAAAACCAAATGCCTGAAGGATTTGAGACAGTTACATAGAGTTCTACGAGTTACCTCATGATATGCAAACCGAGATTACCTGGGTCAATATTCACTTTGACAGTCTTCTGTCCTAGAACTACTCTAGCTCCTCTACATGTTTTGCAGATGCTCTAGTACAGTCAACACAAGAAATAGATGAGCAATTCAGATAACTCTACAAGACTACAAACCTGGTTAAGCATCATTTCTTGGAATGATATGAACATAAGCAGGGCATGTTTTCACATAGACAGAGACAAATATACGGATAGGTATAAAACTATGAAATAAGTAACTGCAATTATCATATAGATGACCTACCGAGAAAGTTTGACCAGCTCCACCACATTTCTGGCAAGTCTTTTGGATGCTTAATAGACCCCTTCTCATTGTTGTCTGAAAAAAGCAGCAGTAACATAAGTAAATCAGAAAAAAGGCATAATTACAATGCTAAACAGCTTAAAGTTATTCAACTGGATACTGACCATTCCTAAACCATTGCAGGCTTTGCATTTTTCACGTTTTGTACCAGGAGGAACGCCTTGTCCACCTGATAAAACCAAACAGGAATAAAACAACATTGTGTATAGCATATGTTGTCGGGACAATAAGAAAGATACAGTATGCTGATGACAAGAATTTACAGTGATTTACTTAATATGGGAAAGAATATGGATCATATTGGAACAATATGCTTCAAAATAGTTTTTCTATTAAAAAACCTAGCCACATTATAAAATTACAATATCATGGTTAAATTTTTAATCTATCTGCTTGAGTTAGGTTCCTACTACATTAAATTCCAACAGGGTTCAGAACTAATTTCTAGTAATGTGAACATACCACAAGCATTGCAAGCCACCTCGGTTTGAAATGTAATAGTTTTGGAGCATCCCTGCACAGCTTCCATGAAAGATAGTTCAACCGCAACCTGACAATTATAAAGACCAAAGTACAAGAAGAAACAGATTAAACTTAAAGCACAGAGAATATCCCAAAGAAAATAAGTAGATTGTAGTACCTTGACATCTTGGCCTCCAATATCTTGTCTGAACATGTTGAATATCTGATTTGCAGAGTAAAAGTTGAAACATGTATGTTAAAAGGTCAAGCTAATTAAAGAAGAAGACATCTCGGGCAACATTTGCAAACAAGAAAATGGACACGAAGGCCTCCTAACCACAATTTTCTTATGCTACTATTAAGCATTAAAGGAAGTGCACAGGAGATATTAATTACATCGCCATTGAAGTTCCCAAAGATATCGAACGGATTAAACCCACCACCGAAACCCGAATCATTCGGAAAACCACCTGTAGCATTTTGTTCAAAACTTTCATGCCCAACCTACAAAGAATACAACAAACTTCAATCATATCTGAAAAGGGTAGAGAATAAAAATCTAGAAAAGGACATAAAACAGGTTATCTTGTTATACCGAAATCCAAGAAAACCTATCTAACCAGATACCTGATCATAAAGATCACGCTTCTCCTTATCTTTTAAAACCTGACAAATACCCAAACCTCAAATTAGCTCAATATGTAAATGTAAAATATCAATACAAAATGTTCTTGGAGTCCAAGATATAAAACTCACTTCATACGCTTTTGTGACCTCTTGGAACTTCTTCTCAGCTTCTGGATCGTCTTTATTCGTATCAGGATGGAGTTTCTTTGCAAGCTGAAAAATATTACAAACAATACCACCCAAGCAATCAAGATTTAAATGATTATTTTACATATATGGACAATTAGAACATGAAGGCATTCAACTGTAGAATTGGATCCGTACCCCATAATAGGCCTTCTTTATTTCACCTTCTGTGGCATTCTTGTTCACTCCAAGTACTTGGTAATAATCCTGGGCGGACATAAATGCTTGACCTGGTGTCCGAAATGGGCAAAATATAAAAACCAGGTACTTTGTAACGAGACTCAACTACGACAGGATCTAAGAATTTTCGGAAGTAAGGAATCTCCAACCCTACCTGTTCCATGAATTGACCTCGTAGAGCCCAAATTGGCATTAAGAGTTCCAAAGATCATCCATCTCCGATCATTTCCTACATTCAAAACAACAAAGAGTAAGCCCTTTTTGAGAATAAATCAAACCAAATGAATCAGAACCAACTCCGATATCGGGCTCATGAATGTTTTCACCTCTCTCTTACAGCAAAACTGAAAAAATTACCGGTTTTTGCAGCGTAATTTCCAATCACTGTAACAGGGTTGCCAATACCCGTACCGAATCTCCGATAAGTCCCTCCAAAGACTTGCCTCAGATTCTGAAGAATCCCAAAGACATAAAAGAAACGGACCATGAAAAATCAATTCGAAGAACAACCGTGATTTTTAATTAAACGAAGGGGAGAAGGAGAACTCGCCAAATTTCCCGAGGATTCGAGAAGCCTTGAGGAGAGGGATCGACGAGTCAACGATCGAAGAACCTTCACGCCATTGACGGGGACCATTTTTAGGGCGCTGTCGAAGTTCAATCTCCAGTCCTCTGCTCTCTTTCTCTTATTAGTTCTCAGACAGAGCAGCCAGTCTTAAACCCTAGCCAAAACCCCCTTAGGTTGTCTGAGAACTGTGTAGAAGCAGCAAAACTTTTTTTTTCGAGATTTGTTTACTCACGAGCAAGGAAAAAACCCTTCTTGCAAAATTGGAGACGCAAATTTGTCGGGTTTGACCGTTTATATATAACCCGACCCGACCCGGACCGGCCCGATAAAATGAATCCATATGGGCCCAAATATCATTAGTCTATTGTCTTGTCTCGTCATCTCAAACGCCTCGATTCTGTTTGGCTGCCCGGAAAATCCGAGAGAAAATTTGTACTGGTGCAGGAAAATTTCTCCAGCTTCATTTTTTTGTATTATCAGAGGCAACCCTAGTTCAGGAGAGAATTGCCTTCTGTTCCAAGCAACTTCTTCAAGAGATTGCTGTCTCGTATATATAAAAAACACACCAAGCGCTTTAACAGAATATGTTCTGTTTCTTGTGAAAGTAAAAGAAGAACGAGATTACGCAACACAACTCCATACTTGTGCGTCGAAGTTTCTGAGGTTCCGAGAATTGCAGAGAAAATGAGGGAAAATGGGAGAAAACGAGAGAAAAGTTTCAGAAGTTTGCGAGGATATGTTATTAAATTTCCCATCTTTTGCCCGTTTAAGATAAAGCACAAAAAAGAAATAGATAGGAGCGTGAACTTATCCAGACTGTTGCAGTATTGTTCCTAGATTGATTAGCTTGCTTCTGGTTAACCGGGTTCATCTGGCCTATTTCTCTGATCAGTTAAACCGGTATTGAAAAGCTAAACCAAACCCAAATCACAAAACCGGTTCCAAATTCTATCAGAGAAATAAACAGAAGCAATTTGGTACGAAATGTAGAGACCCTCTTCACAACCCTTTTCCAGACAGAAGATAGTATAAGAAACAACATAATTGGCCAAAGCAAGCGACACTGTTGATTCAAAGACAATGCCAAAGGGTGTTCTTAAACATCAATATAACACCTGAAGCCCCTGAGTACATTAGGTAAAACCAAGTTTGGTACGGCGTAAATAAGGCAAGAAGAGATAAAACAAAACAAAACCTAATACACAAAAATCTCGGGAATCTAAAACTTAAGCTCATGTGGTTTGTCCCCTTGTTTCAGAGAGAACCTGGCACCAATGTAAGCCTTCAGCTCGGGAACAGCTTCAATGACCTTGATCAAAGCCGCATCAACGGCTTTTTGGTCATCTTTCTTCTCTTGTGGGAGCACCTTTTTCTCCTGTGGATTTGGTGGAAGATGCGAGTAAATGAGTAAAAACGGGCACAAGATTGCATATGGGCAAAGCAAAAGTTCAAGAAGCAAACCTCCTTCTCAGCCTCAAAGAACTCGCCCTCTCCCTTCTTCTTTTTCTTCTCAGCAACCTTGGCAAAGTACTTGTCATCGAATTTATCGACATTGACAGCAGAGATGTCAACCTTGGTCGATGTTCCAATGACATACGACTGGTTGACACGCCTCAATGGAACACCATTGACCCTGAATGGTCCTTAAATGTCACAAGAAACAAATTAGAAACACCAGCTTAAAGAAAGAAAATGTCTAAAAAGCACCAAATACGAGCACCAAAATCCAAGATCATTGATAAACAATATGCTTTTAAACAGAACAAAAAACAAAAAAGGGAGATAAGAAGTTGCAGCATTGGCCATTTCAACCAAAGGGTCAAGACACAGCATGAACTTTCTCAAGAAAAACTACAGGTGCTTCAAAAAGGGCTTAGACAGAGACTCACCAGTGACCAAAAGCAATCCAGAAGAAAGCTGCTTCAAGAACACAACTCTCTTTCCCTTGAACCTTCCAGCCAAAATGATCAACACTGTCCCTGGGGTAATGCTTGCCCTGATTGGAGAACACATAAATTATATCCAAAATTGGTAACAACAATTCTCGCCAAAACATTCAACACATAAATTATAGATTATAAAAAAATACAACAGCTGACCCTCAAATACACAAGTTCAAATCTATAAACTTCGTGACTCAATACAGACCCTACCGCAAGAGCGCTCACTTATCTACATATCCAAGTAACTTAAAGACACACAATCGTCATTAAGGCACTAAAATCCGGCATAATCGAGAGACACCCACTACTCCCAAACCGACAAAAATCAAAACGCGCATCCCATCCACCAAAAAATGCTGCCCAGAAAATGAAAACAACAGTACCTGAGCTTGGTGGGCTTCAGCTTTCGCTTGTTGACAAGCGGTTTCTTCACGTCTTCGGCGGGATAGAACTTGGGGGCCTTCTCCGCGGGAGCCTCCGGCTTGGGCTTGGGATCATGGTGGGGGAATTTGCCGCCGTTTTTGGCCTTGATAGCCCACAGACCCCTTTTGTGGTACATCTTCGATCTAGAGAACTTTCCGACTCCCCTGATGAGATCGGGGTTTCTGTTCACCTTCTGTGTCTTCCTCGGCGCCATTGGAGATGGTGATTGAGCTTTCGCTTTCCTCTTTCTATTTCTCCGAGTGGCTCAACCCTAGAAGCAGAGAAGTTGGATTTATCAGCGGTGATTATATATAGCGACCCGGAAAACAGAGGAAATGGAATACCAAAACCCTAGATGATTCGTGTAATGGGTTTTCTCACCGGGTTGGACCCAGCCCCGTAATTTATGGGTCTAAATTTGGGCCCACGTATATAAACAGGCCGAGCTCCATTTTTTTAATACTCTTTTTCAATATCCGTTTGGCATTTTTTCAAAATTCGTAAAAGAAATTCCTACGAAAAGGTGTAAAAAAATATATTTTGATGTAAGAGGGGAAAATTTTGAAAATAATAAATTGAACATACCCTTAAAAAAATTCTAAAAATATTGGAACTTGTCTAGAATTTAGGGGTGGTCGTTTCAGTATTCGGTTCGGGTCAAAATTGGGAATAGTTCGGTTCAATTCTATCGATTTTACAAAAATAAGTATCAATCAGTTATTATATTATATTCGTTTCGGTTCACTTTTGGTTTATTAAAAAAAATTAGATGTTATTAAAAAATTCGGTTTTTTTTGTTTTTTTAATTCGATTTAATTACAGAAAATTCGATTTTTCTAAAATTAATATCGTTCAGAAATTTTGCACAGTTTGAATTAGAAAAAAATACCATATTTTTCGGTTCGGTTCTTACTGTATATATATATATTTTTTATAATTCGAAAGTCCACTGGATTTTCGGTTCAATTATGTCTTTTAGAAGATTAAAAAAGTTCATATTAATGTTCCTTCCCAATTGGAGACTGAACTTAGTTTGGAAAGTAGCTTTACCCTACAAATACCATAAATACCAACAATTTTGATACATCATGCATGCATGCATGGCTTATACGTATAATAATTTTGGCTGGAGGGGACAAAAGAACACGAAAACAACCGTTCTAACAGGGGAAAAAACAGAAAAAAAAAACGTTAATTAAGTCGCAGAAAATTAGTTCAACCGTCTTTATAAAAGTTCATGATTTTGTAGATTCCGTTTTAAATTACGGCGGCGATATATATGCCTTCATCGAGGATTTCGCATTATTCACCAATTCAAAAACTCGAATATCATTGATACTAATTGTTTCTAAAGTTAAATCAAACATTTATATAGATAACAGTTGGATGTTGTATGTATAGAATGCATATATCACCACGTTCATAAGTTAACTTGCGGTCCATGCGTCGACGATATCTATTCTATCTTCGATGAATCATCCAAAAATCATGTGATTCACATTTGAATTTTAAGAGACATAAGGACAAAAGAAAGTGACAAAACAAAAACAATGTTCCAAAGGCCGTATCTTATAATTCATTACATTACACAACGTCCTCGATATATATATATATATATATAGCCTTCTTCGTGTATAGTGCTTGAATTGTTCATTCACAGCCAGTCATTCCAATGATGTCTCTCGTCTCGGATTTCTTCTGTTGCTTCGCTCCCAAACCCGTTTCTCGGGTCGCTTCCGACGAGGATGATACCCCGAAAATATCATCTTTCGAGAAGCGGAAGGGCAAACCGAAATCGTCACGAGCTCCAGTGGTCGTGACTTACTTCCCCGTCGGCTCGAACCTCTCCCGTCTGTAGAATCATCCGTTCGGATCTACGACTTTCGAAGCGTGTGTTGCGATGACAAAAAAAGGTAATGGAGAATCATAACATGGGTAGTTTTGTTTCCAAACAATAAAGTAGGAGAACAAATCAGACGAATGTCTTGTTATGTCTACGTTTCTTGCATTGTCTTGACGGTCCATGATCAAATATAAATATGTAATATTAAACATGTTTAATGATTGTTTTGCTCAACCAAAATATTTTGTAGTTTTTTGGACAAAACCAAAAGATAGTGGGTTTGATGGACCGAGAAGAATAAGGATATATTTTGCAAACTAATTTTATCTCAAATGATATCAAACTAAAACACATTTTTGCATCCTATATTATTATTATTTGAAAATAATAATTTTAGATCTATCGGTGGGTAACTGGATTTGAGTTCTTGGGATTTTATACTAAATGGACCGAACTCGAACGGTTTTGGTTAATTTGGATTATAGATGTGATGATGGTGAACCGTGAGCCTAATTTGGATAAACTCCGATTCAAAATTATATCAATAAAAATCGGATTTATATTGGTTTGCTAAAAGGAAAAGTAAATATTGGAGAAGTTGCGAGCATGATTTCCGTCAAAGCCCAATGGTGGCTTTGTTTTTTGTTTTTTTTTGCATCAAATATATTTATGGCTGAATTTTGTCGTCGTAACTATGCCTACATCCGCTATCAAAATTTAATTTAATATTGCCGTTTTCAATTGCACACCGGATTTGACCGCCCCATGAGCCAACTCCAACAATTAATTATTAATCCCAAAACAAAATTAGGAACAAAAGACGGTAATTTAATTTGTCAAATTATCTATTTAGATATTTATATTGTTCAATATTTATCCTGTGTATATATATATATGAATAGAAGGTCGCGTAATGTAATATAAATATAATATCTAAAAAATCCAATTTTTTAAATGGAGCAGAAAAATATTAATACAAATTACACGATTTGGAGCGAATTTACTGACCGGAGAACTGAATCTTAAGATCGACTGTACCAGTTGTCGTGAACCTAACCTCGAATCATGTCCCGGTTAATAATACAGATGAACACACACGATAGTAAAAAAAAAAAAATCCATGTGTGGGTCCCACAGAGTTATACACGAATTTACATATGTATCCTTACTCCTCCACTTGATCTCTAAAGCAGCAGCACCGGCTGTCCTCTTCAACGCCTCAAAGGGGTACCTTTTCTTCTGTCCGCCCTTTCATTCTTTGGAAAAAGTACAAATCGAATACGAATTCTGTCCATTGATGCATGTGCATATAATATATACCATACAGGTAGGTGTGTACATGTGCTTGTATCCATCATATATATACTTACAAGCTCCCATTTTGGGGTTGAATTTGCGGAGAATCCGAATCCCTTGTGTTGTTCTTGATGGCCCTCGTTCAAAGACTCCACCTTTCTTCTAAATTTCCCTCATCCGATTTCCGAAATCGGCCACGAGCAAGGGCTAATTCCATAAACCCTAATCTCGTTGCCTCTTTGCATTACAAAAACCCATCTGGGTCTTCTTCTCCGTTCACGGAGAAGCACTCATTGGAGAGATATGAGAGAGATCAATGGCTGTACAAGGCGGTGGAACCCGACCCATCTACTCCGTCTCCGTCGCCGGTTCTCTCCTGCTCTCTCCCTTCCGATAACTTCTCTTCCAGGGAAAACGACATCGCTCTGCAGCTGCCCGAGCTGAAGAAGCTATTGGCCGTGTTGAGAGAGAAGAGAAAAAGATCTTGCGAAGGAGGTGGTAATGGCGGCGGCTGTGGGCCCGGAGATGTGTATCTGGTCGGGACAGGACCTGGAGATCCTGAGCTTCTGACACTCAAAGCTGTGAGAGTGATCAAAAGCGCCGATCTTTTGCTCTACGACAGGCTTGTGTCGAATGATGTGTTGGATTTGGTTGGTCCTGATGCTAGGCTTCTTTATGTCGGGAAAACCGCCGGTTATCATAGCAGAACCCAGGTAAAAAAGTCTCAGCCTTTTTGGCTACCCTCTTTGGAAATCGTCTGCTTGATCCAAATTTCAGGACTGGGGATAGTGAGATATCGGATTTGGTCTTCTGGTTATTGGTATTTTTTTGGAAGTTATGTGATAGTATCGATGAAATTGCTGCGCAGGAGGAGATACATGAGCTACTCTTAAGTTTTGCTGAAGCAGGTGCCACTGTTGTGAGGCTTAAAGGAGGTGATCCTCTGGTGAGCTTTTGCTTGTAAAGTTCTCGATTAACCACCGCCCCTTCACTTAGATGTGGGAAAAGGTCTTGGAATGTAAAACGCTGACGTTGAATTTACTTGTTCTTTGTTCTTGTTCTTTGTAGGTTTTCGGAAGGGGCGGTGAGGAAATGGACTTTCTGCAACAGCAGGGCATCCGAGTTCAAGTTATACCCGGTAACTACGATGTTCATCGATTCACCGAGTTTATGTCCTTTTGCAATGTACATTACATTTCCATCAGTTCTGAATCCATGTTTGCCAGATTAATCAAATGAAATAGCTATAACCAATGATGGGTTTTGCATATGCTCGAATTTTCGCAGCGATTTCGATTTAGAATTTCTGATAACTTGTCCAGTGAAGAATGACGGCTATCCTTACCGAGTCTTGGTTATCGTCTTCTATATCTATTCAGTGATTTTAAAGTGTTTTCATGGGTAACTTTCCATCAGTTCTGAATCCATGTTTGCCAGATTAATCAAATGAAATAGCTATAACCAATGATGGGTTTTGCATATGCTCGAATTTTCGCAGCGATTTCGATTTAGAATTTCTGATAACTTGTCCAGTGAAGAATGACGGCTATCCTTACCGAGTCTTGGTTATCGTCTTCTATATCTATTCAGTGATTTTAAAGTGTTTTCATGGTTACCATTTGGGGGGGGGGGGACGATGCAGTTAGAAGTCTGCCAAACATAATAATCGTTCCTATTCCGACTGTACGGTTCTCGGGGGAGCTGACATTTGCCTGTTGCAGGTATTACCGCGGCTTCGGGGATAGCGGCAGAGCTGGGGATTCCGTTAACCCATCGAGGTATTGCAAACAGCGTGCGGTTCCTTACGGGTCATTCCCGAAAAGGAGGGACCGACCCTCTTTATGTGGCGGAAAATGCAGCCGACCCTGAAACAACCCTCGTCGTTTACATGGGTTTGGGAACTTTACCTTCTCTTGCTCGAAAGCTGATGGATCATGGTCTTCCGGGTGATACACCTGCCACCGCAATCGAACGTGGAACCACTCCTCAACAGCGTACGGTAAGCCCAAAATCTTCTTATCGAGCTTGTCCAAAGAGAACCAACAAGTAGGGATGGACATGGGTTGGATATTCGAGATTTTTGGGTTATTCGAATCTGAACCCGAATATCTTAGGTTTCAATCAGATATTATCCGATCTTGGGTATCCAAGATAGTTTTCCGGTACCGAGCATGAGGTATAAATATGAAATTTCGTTTTTTTTTTCTGGAAAACATTTGTCATTTACTAGGGCATTGCTCCAAATTGTATCCGAAATTTCAAGTCCATTCCGTTTAGAACCTTGGGTTTGTCTGTAGGTATTTAAAAACTATGGGCAAAAAGGTAATTTCTCCTCATTCGGTACCCTCGGATATACATGTTTTGAATCACATTATCCGAATCTGAATCCGATTTTCGTGTTTTCATCCAAACCCGATCTCACCTCGTATAATATAGCCAGATACCCGAATTTCGGGCTTTTTTGCCCAGGCACTTGAATAACAGTGATCTGAGTTGAATAATTTGTTTTCGGGGGAGAGCAGGTTTTCGCGGAGCTGAAGGATCTTGCGGACGAGATCGAGTCAGCCAAGCTGGTTTCGCCGACGCTCATCGTCATTGGAAAAGTCGTAGCACTCTCCCCCTTTTGGCCGTATTGCACAGAAGAGGCGTCCTGTCTTATCCAGACCGCATAGCTTTTCATGTTCCATCCATTACCAATCTAACAGGAGCTCCTCCATAACAAGTTCTCGGCGGAAGAACTGAAAATATGTGATCTGTGTCTTCCGGGTGAGGGTTGAGGAATCGGCAAAAAAACCTTTGAAGTGTTTTGATGGAAGCTGCCATTGTTGGAGGAAGAATCCTTTTCTTTGTTGTTGTTGTCGTTCGATTCTTTCGGAGACGATGTTAATTAACACTGGAAAAAAAAAGTCCTGAAATCATTCAGTAATAAAAAACGATAAAAAGAATATTACCGTGAATCCAATCACATCAGGGGAACGGCAATTGAGGATCCGACAGGGAAGCACGGTCTGAAGCTGACAATCGAAGACCCAACCTTTCGCGAGCGAAGGTCTATAATCCTCTGGGACGCGATCGAGGAATGGGTTACCGAATATGTGAGCCGCTGCTACAAGGAAACAGCCATAGTTATGTCAGAAACCGAGCTTCAAACGTGGTGGACACAGGTAGAACCAGAGGCGACGGTGACAGAAAGGGCAAAACTTGGTGATCAGTTCTCGACATTAATGATGATCTGATCCAAGTTCTTTGCATCATCATCTGGGTCAGCTTTGGCCATCACTCTGCTGTCAACTTCGGACGGTATTCTTGTCACGGCTACTTCCCTAACCGCCCAAACTCGGCACGAGCCAACATGCCAACAGGGGAACCAGAAGGGGAGGGGTGCAAGAGCTTCCCGGTGAAACCGTCTCGACAGCTCTGAAGATCTTCCTTTCGAAGCTCCAAACGACCAAAATGATGGTTGTTTACGATATCTTGTCGAGCCATTCACCAGACGAGTTACATCAGGGACAAACCAGAGGAGATCGTGGGTTAAAGTTCCTGTGGTTAACGCTGCGTTTAAGTGCTTTAAAGCGAGATATATCGAGCTCGAGAGGATTATCGATGAGAGGAACAGAGGTTTGAGTCTGAAGAACGGAATAGGGCCCGGAATTTTTCCGTACGAGCTCATGAACCCGTTCTCCGAACCGGGACTCACAGGAAGAGGAGTCCCTTACAGCAATCTCCATCAAGTGTCTGCGAGAGACCATCAAGATTATCTACCAAAGTAATGTCTCTGTATACGGGCAATAATCCGTATAAATAAAATTGCCTGAAGGATTTTACAAAAGGTGGAACCAAAATGATCTAATGGTATCTTATTTCCTAAGATATGTGTAGATGTATAATATGTGCAACGAGCTAATGGAAGGAGGAACTTTATGTGCAAAGAATAAATGTCTCAGTTTCTGCTTGTGGATTTATTACACATACACTCTGGGACAGGATACTTAGTAACATCTCTTCCAGCTTTGCTTGTCCTTAGTTCAGGCTGCCCGAGAGAATCTCGGTGCAATGTCTTTATAACCTTATCGAACTCGGCTTCGGCCATTGTTGTGTTCATGAAGTAAGGGAGCATGTGCCTTTTGTTTGGTGTGATGTACTTCTTGTGCCCTGCATATGCCCGGTGACCCTGCAAGGAAAATCTTGCTTTCAGAATCTTGAAGTGAAATTGCCTCGGACAACGTTGGTATAACGGTGGAGGATACCTGAATTGCTCGGCCCATGTTCCCTCCGTGAGATGCCATGAAGACATCACTCTGCTCACAGACTACGTAATCAATGGCAGCCATTAAAGACGCTCGTTTTGCAAAAGGCTCGAGCTCACCACGGGATGCAAGATCGTGCTTGTTGTAGAAATGAGGGAATTCCCTTGTGAATGGAGTCAGAGCTTCTTTCCCGCCAAGCGGATCACCTCCTGCCCAGTATATTCTGGCGTTTCTCGGTGCCCCGAGGGCTCTAAGCAACCTAAAGAAGATAGAAACGAAAAAGATCAAAGCTTGTAAAAGACTCTGGAAGGACCTACTGATTGATCCACAGGGAACAGCTTCATATTACCTGGTCACTTCCTTTGCATTCAATGGACAGAGACCAGCAAGTTTTCTTTCACGAGATGTCATATTGGATTTAGCGGTTAAGAGCTCAGGCCGCTTTATCCTTTCGTTATTCACAATGTCGTCGTATCGAGGGCTCAAACCAGAAAGACAGCCCGTCCTCACCCACACGTCCTTCTCCATGCGAAGATGAAGAGCAAGGTAAGGCCCTTTGCTCCTCATCCTCTGCGCAAGATTGTTTCCGAGCTCCAGAACTCTTGGAGCAAACCTCAAAGCCTCAAATGCTGCCTGAGAAGAAACATGATCCAACGAGTTTTGGCAAATACCAAATGAGTTTTGACAATAAAAATACAACCTTTGCAATGCCAAGTAAGTAATGTCGGATCCATACAGGGACGGTCTCGGGAAAGTACCTTACAGCGGAGCTTCTGGAGATCAGAAGGTAAGTCTTTAGAGAGTCTTGAATCTAACCCTCTTAAAAGCAAAACTCCGTCCCTGTTGAACTGCGAGAAACAAGAAAGGGGAGAAGTTAGAATTTCGAGTACCGTAACTTCGTTTTCATGATTGTCCATTGACAAATTCATCAGAACAAGAATCTCTTACACGCTTCAGATAGCGAGACCGGAACCATTGAGGGGAAGCATGGAGCGGCGTCCTAGTCTCCTCGGACGGTTTAGTCATTATATGGTTCGAGGGCAGCGACGAAACGACTCTGACATCGTTGGCAAGAACCCTCTTGAAGTTCTCTAAATCGAATATATCACAAAACTCACTGCAAGAACCGATCCAGAAAACACAATCAGAATCTTTTCCATCTCAGGGAAGGCAGTTTCAGTTGCCCAAAAAGGTTCTGCATACAAGAAAACTAAGCAGACAAGACAAAAGTGCAAGTCTTGATTCTCTTACATCAACAGCAAGCAAATGCCATTTCTTTTCTTATGGATTTGAAAAACCCAAAATCAAATGCGCTGATGATGAAGATCATGGAGAAGGCCAATACCAAACCATAAAGTTGCTTTGTCTCTTTTGATTTTTTTTGGGAATATTAGGGTTCCTTTTTTTTTCTTACCTTTCGTCGCCCCAGATGATGTTGACTTGCAAGATGGGGACGACGAGAGCGGCACCCAGAATCCTTGCGATCACCACAGCGTCCACAATCTGATTCCTCTGCTGGTTCATCCCACCAGAAACCACCACCATCAGATACTTTCTCCTCTCTCTCAACATTCGACTGCTCTCTCTCCTGTACTGGCTACTGAAATCCAGACAAGGCTTGTATCCTAAACCATCCGGTTGCTTCCAGAACTCGTTCTCGTCATCGGGATCATACCCATTATTGGTGACTACTTCTGATTTTGAAGTTGTAGCTAAAGGTTGATCCTTGGCCCTCAAAATCTCAACTTTTGTACTGTTTGATTGAGAATACGCAAAACCCAGAGGGGATTCGGCGTCCGACCTTTCAAGTTGACTTTCTCGTGATGGGTATTTATGGAAAGGGGCCAAGGGACAAGGACTCAGGCTCAGCTTCAGCATTCCTAAAATAGAAAGTAGAAACAGAGAGAGAGCCCAGAACTTTGGGTTTCTGTGAAAGGAAATGAAGCAATAAGACAGGGACTTTTTCGTGTTCTTCGAAGATTTCTTGGAAGAAGAAGAATCAAGAAGAGCCTGAAGCGAAGACGATGAAACAGAGTTGATGATTTGCGCAGGAACTGAAATGTAGCAGACGTTGTTCTTCTTGGTAGTTTTGTTCTTCCATGTCGCCATTAGAACTTGATCCGATCAATGTCCCTCCAAGACTAAATGCTGATCGGAAATTAGGGAGACGGCGGGAACATGGATTCATCAACTTGCGAGGAACATCTTAAGAACAGAGAGAGTGTAGTCTTCTTTTGGGACAGTTCCCTTCTAACGATGATCTTGTTTTTTTTGGGATTATTTAAAAAAACCGAAGGTTTATTTCTTTGATAATTATAAGATTTTTTTTCCTCCTTACGTTAACACCTATTTAATAAAAACAGCATTTTGATAATGATATGTTATTATTAATTAAGATTCTGTATGGATCGCTCTCTTTGTACCGCCTAATTTTAAATTTCTTTTCCACCGTTGAAACATTGCTGTACAACACTTGGATACGGACTGTATATTTATTTCTTTTGGAATTTTGAAATTCAGTTTTTTATTTTCTGAATAGAAATTTTAGTTTGAATTTCATTTAATCTCGGTTGTATATATTTGTATATGATTTAATTCGGTTTTTATTAAATTTAGCTTATATTATGATTTTCCCTACTTTTTATTTAGATTTTTGTGTTTTTTACTATTTTTCTTCCTCGAACAATTTTTTTTCATTAATTATAAAATATTTAAAACATTCAGCGAATATGCGTAAATAGAAATACTAAAAATGCAAACGACTAAAAAGACCTGATTATGGCCAGACAAGCATTTTAAGATCTAAAGTTTCCAAACAGCATAACGTATTTTGATTGAAAATTCAAATGAATGTCCTAAATTTTTTTATATATACATATATATATATATATATATATATTAAAATTTATGTTTTTTGTAAAATCCGAGTGTTCTTTTTATATTATATTTTAGCATTAGATAAAATAAAAACGTACTAGAGAAGTACTTTTAAATTAACGACTTCAACCAAAATAGTTTGGCTTAGAGCAGTGAATCTGACATGTAATATATCAAAAAAATTTAAATATAAATAAATAGAATAAATTACAATCGTTTTAATTTTTATTTAGGGCATTTATTAGTTTTGACCGTTGTGCCGTACACGATCTGGTAAATGTATATATAACAATAATTGATAGATGCAGATGCATGAAATTAAATAATTATTATCCACTTTTCGAATCTGTCAAGTTAAATCAAATGGAAGGTAGTGACCAGATGATCATTGGAAATATCATATATTTGTAACATTTTAATTTTGGCACATCTAATTTCATATCATTTAAATTTCATCAAAATTTTATAATAATAATATATTATTATTATTATTAAGTCATATATTTCACAAATTGCGTTGTTAATGACGTCTAAACCAACTCAATTGATTTTGTCAAGGGAAAATAATTAATTAGAAAAACATGGGAATCCATTTGTTTGATGATGTGTTAGAATCATAAAGTACTTGACAAAAATAAAATAATCATATAGTTGTTAGAAAACCCTAAATAATGAAGATAAATGCCAGCCCAATATGACCTCATTCTAAGTACTATAACATGTTAATATATATATATATGGAATGGACCGACTAGATTAAGAATATATATATATATATATATATATATATATATATATATGTTTTAAACTAACTTAAATAAAAATAATGAAAATAATATTAATTTATATATTTTGTTGATTTCTTATTTTTATTGTGTTATATTAGTTTCATATAATAAAGTTTTCTAAATATAACTTTATATATATATACAAACATGCCTATATATATTGTATTAGTATTCATTGCACCAAAATGTTGTACATATGCATAAAAAAGCACATATGAAACAAACAAATTTACATAAGCCCGCGTATAAATATATAGAGATATACGGACACTTATAACTGATTCTTAATTAATGATTATGATGCCATAACTACTACAAAGATTATGATTATTGGTACGTAGGATATCGCCATCGACAAACTTAACAACTATATGATAATTTCGATATAATTCTTAAAAAATGGCTTTTATAATACTACATATAATTATTTCTATGTTTTGAAGTAGAATCAAGGTTTCAATTTGTTATCGTATAATAATCTGTTAAAAACCCAACAGATCGTGAGCGAGTGACAAAGTTTGGGGTAGGAGGTAACTCCAACTTGAGGTTGAGTGTCCGATTCCTGACTGGTGGGGAAGGAGGTAATTTCTGAATTTATATGATCCATATACAAAAGTTGCTCCCGGGTCGGAGGTTTACCTAGTCAACGCGTACGAAGGATAGTAGCTAAGGGTCCTCCGTTATAAAAAAAAACCCGTTAAAAGTACCAACAAATATTTGTGATCAACAAAAACAACCAATTAGACTACATTTTATAATAACTTTTCTTCACACAAAAAAAAAATTGCAAACATAAGTGAAAAAGTGTCAAATACTTCCAAATATATACATATATTCATATAAATTCACTATATTTTCAAATATATATATATAAATAATAAAAAGGGAAATAATATAAAAAAAATGTGTATTTTTGTCGTTAACATGCATGAACAATAGTAAGTGTTTTATAACCTCATAAACCACATCAAAAGAAAACAAACGATAGAAGTTAAGAGGAGAGCTCTATATCTTGTTGGAGTTTGCAACTTTTGTGTTTGGAGCATATGAAAATGTGAGGACGTGAAAATATTTTGGTATAAGCAAATGTTGAAAATATGTAATAGACACTATATATTGATATTGTCCACGAGAATATATATATATATATACACACACATATATATATATATATATTATCCCCGACACTTCAATAAAAATCACATTATTCTAACTTCACGAGCTTCACGACAACTTGCATGGATCCTTATAAATACTTGGAATCCAATGATCCCATAACACAAAGGAATATTAATGACCCCCCCCCCAAATAAAACATAAATAAATAAATAAACAAACAAACAAACAAACAAAAATAAGTAAATAAATGCTTATAATGGAGAATAAAGGAATGGAAAAAAAGAGTCCTCAAATTTTTTTTTATTGATTTGCATATTGGAAAAAAAAAAATGCCATTTGAGTACAAAACATCTGAGGAAGTAACCAAACACAAATAACTAAATCAAATGCGTTTAATTGAACCAAAATAAATTAAAATTAACCGGACACGTTTTAGTAATCTAAAAAGATCAAATGTATTTTGGTAGCTCATAAGGAGCGGGGATTCAATATCCATATTCCCTAATGGGTCTAACATATCTCCGAGACAAATACAAAAAAATTGTGGATCTAAATTTTTTTTAAAAGTTTATCTTATTTGATTTATATAAAAAATAAAAATCCATATACTTTAGGTTAAACTATATATACGTATAATGATGAAAAAAAATGAAAATTTACACACACACACACACACACATATATATCTATATGTATATGTATTACATATAGATGTATGTATTTACTTATAGAATTTTTCCACATAGTAAAAGCCCACAAAGGCCTTTGTCCACAGCAAAGAAATTAACCGGGCCTTGTTTTATATATAGTTGTGCGGTCCATTTTCATCAAATCTCTGGTCCTGTCCACTCTAGTTTTTTTTTTTCTTCTGTTTTCCTACAAATGTTTATTTAAATATGTGCATGACTAATGACACGTTGCATCGTACATTTGGTTATTGGAACCATTGCTGAATACATTATTTTATTGTTAGAACGATTTTTTGGTTAGGGAAAACAATTTAATATGCACGTAGTGGAGACTGTGGGCTCAAGCAAATATGATTAAAATATATATATATATATATATAATTACAAAGTATAAAAAAAAAATAAATGGACGTGTGTACATAGTTATGCCTCCCCGGGCACTTTGGCACGTTTTTACCATTAGAGGCATTCATGTCTCGAGATTAAGGCAGGGTTGTCTTGTCCTGTCCCTCGACCCCTTTATTATTTTTGTTACCTGTATAATAAATAATCATACTATATATTTTTATCTTATTTAATTTAGAGGTAAAGTAAAGAAATGAATGAATATTCCCTCACAAAGAAAAAAAATAAAAAATATCTTTTCAAGGTTCAGATCTGAAAAAGCAATAAAAAAACATAAGAGATTTTTGGAGGAAAAATATTCCCTCGGAATAAAAAATCTCCTACCAAATTATTTTGGTTTTGATCGATATATAGTTATATAATACAGAAAAAAAAAACTAAAATAAATATATGAATAACTCTAAAAATAATGTACAAACTTTAAAAGTCTCAAGATCATATACAAACTTTTTCGAATACAATATAAAACTATAAAATACTTTTCAAAAAATACACTAACTCTAATGTCGTTTTTTTTCACAGAATGCTTAACGTCGTTCCAATAAAATAGATTTTTATCAAATTTTAAGAGACGAGATGGCCGAAAATTTTTCTAATTTCCCTCCTCGTGCAAAAAGAAATGAAAATTGTGTTTTTCATCACCTTTGTTACAGTCTCTGGTGGCGCCACGTGGATTGGACATCCATCCTCAGCCGTTCGATCAACCCGTCATGATTGTCTCTCTCTCTCCCACGTCCGATCACATGATTATGACAACCTTCGGAATATGGGACCCACTCTCTCTGGATTAATGCCACGTGGTTCTATGAATATGACCGTCCACAAAAGGCTCTCTCGCACGTGAGATCGAAACTACATCTTTACCCTTAACGCCTCTACGAATAACGAAAAAGTCCATGAAAGGTCCAAAACCGCGAACGCTTAATAGAGATTCAGCTAGGGGTATATTAGTCATTTAGACAAAGTAGACGCAATCAAAATCTTCGGTTCATAAATTCATCCAGAGTCAGTATCCTCCCCACTTATCCAGTAGTCCTCAACGTTCAAAAAAACAAATTATAACTTGACCCCGCAAAAGCAATATATTATCGATTTAGCCCCTCATCTTTTTATCGAATTCACCACACGAGAATCTCTCCCGCCCCTACATCTCTACTCGGGCTTTCACCTCTTCTTCCCCGAGAGACGCGGGATTCAACGCTCTTCTGTTTTTTTCTTCTTCTTCTTCTTCTTCAATTCGTCAAGGTTTTTTTGTCTGGTTGGGAGGAAGATTTCAGAATTTTCTCTTTCTTTTAATGGTTTCATTTCTGTATTCGTCGTGAATTTTGTCTCCTTGTTTGGGAGGGAGGAAAATCTTTCTTCTTCTTTGTTCGTTTTCTGTTTCTGGGTTTCGATTTTTTTACAGAAAGCTCGAAATCGTGGGCGACGTAGAGGAGAAGAGACGGGAGCTTCAAGGCAATAGCGTCTGTAGAGCGTGATAACAATAAAATAATTGAAAGGTTCCTACTTTTTTCAATACACGGATTAAACTGTGATGAATTTCCTTCCAAAAACTCTTTTTTATATTTCGAGTTAGATCACTTGTCCGTTTTCTCCAGCAGCCGAGAAAATTTGACGCTGTCATGGTCCGGAGCTCGTGGGTTTTCCTGTTTTGACGAGAATTGGGGGCTTTAAGAGGAAAAACCGAGAACCCATTCGGTATTCCGACAGAGAAACAGGCGAAAATCCGAGGATGTTTGGGACCCAGAGCAGGAGCGACCTTGCCCTTGAACTGCAATCCCAGATTCCGATTCTCCGGCCGAGCATCCACGCGCGTCGAGCAAACATCACCGTGAAATTCCAGGACCTGTACCGATTCACGGTGGAGGGTAATGTGGACGACGTGAACGTACTGAACGAGGTGAGAGAAAAGGTGAGGAGCCAGGGAAGAGTTTGGTGGGCATTGGAGGCAAGCAAGGGCGCGAACTGGTATCTGCAGCCGGAGATTCTGTGGGTTTCCGACGGGATCGCGTTGAAATCGTCGCTGAAGATCTCGACTTTGACGAATGCGATCACGTTGAAGAGGCTGATCAGGAAAGGGATTCCGCCGGTGCTCCGACCGAAGGTGTGGTTCTCGCTGTCTGGTGCGGCCAAGAAGAAGTCGACTGTGCCGGAGAGTTATTACAGTGACTTGACAAAGGCCATCGAAGGGAAGGTCACGGCGGCGACGCGGCAGATCGACCATGTAAGTCTGCTGAAATTTTGCAGGATCGGATTTTGATTTACTTTTGTTGTTGTTCTTGTTCTGAGATCTGTGCTTTAACTTTTGCAGTATTCTCCTGTGATTTGTCATCTATGAACAGAGAATTGTGTTTCCATTTCGTAAGCTATAGGATCAGTTCTTGCCTGAATTTGACTGCCGGGAACATGAACTGCGGTTTCGTTCCACTGAAACATCTGTGCCAGATTGCTTTAGCATGTTCTCTACTGAGAACTGTGTTTTCGCTTCAAAACCTTTGAGGACGATTCGTTGGTTGCAGCATTGTTTTTGTGTGTTATTCATTATCAAGATTCCAGGGTTTATACTAATCCATTGTTAATTATGGATCTCGACCCCATTAGATTTGGGTCACTATGGCTCTTTCTTTCATTTGCTTTCATTGTTAGAATTTGTTAACGTCCGATTGTTTATCCACGATTGTTTCGTGTGCTGGCAGGACCTGCCCCGGACCTTCCCGGGTCACCCGTGGTTGGACACTCCAGAAGGTCATGCCTCTCTTCGACGTGTTCTTGTTGTGTATTCCTTCCGTGACTCTGATGTCGGCTATTGCCAGGTAGAACTCATTCTCTCCCGATCTCACCGCTGCCTAAAACTCAACGATCTTTCTCACCAAATGTCATTCGGGCAGGGACTAAATTACGTTGCAGCATTGTTATTACTCGTCATGAAGACTGAAGAAGACGCCTTCTGGATGCTGGCCGTCCTCTTAGAGAATGTATTAGTCAGTAACTGCTATACAAACAACTTGTCCGGATGCCATGTCGAGCAACGGGTTTTCAAAGATTTGCTTACTAAAAAATGTCCTAGGTAAAACTTTCTCCTTTCTCGTGGTAACTTGAATCAAATTCTCACGGGTTCTCGTCTGAGAATACCTTTTAAAATTGTAGGATAGCTTCCCATCTTGAAGATATGGGCTTCGATGTTTCCCTTGTGGCAACTGAATGGTTTTTATGCCTTTTCTCGAAGAGTTTGCCTTCAGAGGTTTGTGAAACGTAATTCTTTGTCCGAATCATCCGCCTGAAATAAGCAGAATCTTAACCGAAGAACTTTGGACTTGCAGACTGCACTCCGGGTATGGGATGTTCTTTTCTACGAAGGAGCGAAGGTTCTTTTCCATGTAGCTTTAGCGATATTCAAGGTTTCACCCCTCGATCATCCATTTTGTCGTATAATCTCTCCTTCACATTTATGGCTCTCTTATCCGGGTTTTTTGTTTTTCTCGGGTTTCGTCATTGCAGATGAAAGAATATGAGTTGCTTCTGACCCATCAGGTCGGCGATGTGATCAATATATTACAGAGAACTACTCACCATCTCTTTGACCCCGATGAGTTGCTAACGGTGAGCCAAACTTCAAACCGATACAAAACCCGCGAAACTGTTCACTCTCGAGATGTCTAATACGTTCGTTCCATGAACTATTTTCAGGTGGCATTTGATAAAATCGGGTCGATGACCACCAACACCATATCGAAGCAGAGGAAGAAGCAGGAGCCGGCAGTAATGGCGGAACTCGACCAGAGACTTCGGAGATTGAACTCTCTCAAAGAGGGCGAGAAATAGCAGAACCTGAAGAACGAAGAACGAAAGTTCACACAGTATATAAGGGTGTACTGCTATGATTTCTGAAGTACATAAGGACAGAACTTGATCAAAAGTTGTAATTTTTATTTCTTTATTTTTAAATTACTTCATCTTCAGATCTTGTTGTTGAGAATCAGAGCAAAAAGACCGAACCAAGAAACAGATAATGTAAAGTTTCTTCACATCCTAAAAACCGGGACTTGGGTCTACGCTCCACCTGATGAATGTGTTTGGTGTGAACTTGTGCGAGAGAATGCGTTTCCGACATTGTTTCATGATCGGAATTCCAACTGTTTCGATCCAAAACAGAGCATTCGTCTTGTCGGTTCTATTGCATGCATCATCTACAAGGTTCAAATATCTGTGTAATGCCCAAACAAAAGTTTCCATTTAGTAGAATGGCCAAAATCTATGTATATTATGTGATTTGACTTCAGGACCAATGTCGTAGGAGATGTGATGGGAGAGACATGTCCATGTCATCATCATCACCAAGTTCCTCGGAGGCTGTCCCATGAATATATAAGTATGGATTCCATATTCATGCCACAGGAGAAGTTTTCCTCTGCTTTGCACAAACACCAGTGGAGTCTTTTCTACTATCTGCAACATAAAACCTCATTCATTGGCTTCACATCCTCAGCTATCACGAGATACATCATCATCATCATCATATGACCACAAGAATATGACAGCAAAAAGTATATCGAAAACTTTGCCTAGTAACGAACCCCAACAAAGATTAGAGCTCACGGCCGATTTCAGATGATTTTTGGGTTTGATGATTCACTAGCATAAGACAGCACTGCCCAGTATGGGTTTCTGGTTGTCTATAATAATCTGAACAAGTGAAACTAACGGGATCACCTATATGCCACATTTTTTACGGTCTGGTTTCAGGACGTTTAGGAGGAGACCACCCTGATTGATTATATCCTATATAGATCCCCACTATTACCTGGCCTTAACTTTCTTACAGTGTTGCAATATTATAGAAGCTCTGTAAAAAATGCTGTCAAATTGAACAACCACCATTATAAGAAACTTACACACAACATCTCAGTGTGGTTGTAGAAATAGCAGCCCTCTTCCCAAGCCCTTTGGAGACACTTCACATCTGAATGCTGAAATAAGGCAAATCTCCTTCAGTACGAAAAAGGAAGAAGCAGATACTGAAACAATTCAGAAAATTGTATGGGTGATCGCCAGAAACACAACCGAGAAGTAGCTTGGAAAGTGGTTTTTACCTGGGTAAGCATCTCGGGTGAAAGGCGTATGTATTTTCTTGGTAAAGTAATGTCTCAACTTCACAATACATGAGCCCCTATGAAAAAGGAAAACCATCCTGATAGAAACCCAATAACTTGAATGCACAGAGATATCAAGTTGTTCATAAGGAAGATCAAACTTCCATTGAAAAACTAGTTGCTTTCCAGTCAGTCTTCCCAAGCAACAGCATAAGGAAGATCAACAAAATAGTACTCATCAACATACTCTGGTAGAATTAGAATCCCCCCCTCTTCATCCGATGAATTCATAACATGCCTGCAGAGTTAAAAGCGTGTAATATTTCGTAGAATTGATCCAAACAAAATCATGTCTAAGTTCATCTCCTCACCTTGCTTTCTAAAACACATGAGATGTACAATCTCAAGTGACCCGAGGCTCAAGTTGCAGGAGTGGATTAGGGGCCTGGCCAATGCTGGACCTGCAAAGAAACAAAGACTACATAGCGTGGCTATATTCACAAGTGGTCGTGAGAAAAAAACAAGTTTGCTCAGAAACATTTGCATCCAACCAAAAACAGAGCCCAAGGTCTCTCAGTTTTACAAGGGTCACTAATTAAACAATCCTCAGCTGCCTATCATTTATAGTTTGACCCTCAAGATCACTTAGAACTCTCCTCCTAGTCAGACGGAACAGCACTGTCGATGGACAAGTCAGAGACTTCTGCTGCCACTGAGCTACAGACGGCAACATCAGTCCCAGATTCACCATCCTCCTCCTGCTGCCCCAACTTCGAGTACATGATGCTTGCTGTCAAAATGAGCATCATCTTCTGGTTCATCTGATTCATTTCATCAAAACTTTGAAGCCAAATATATTGAACATAGATATACCTATATATATAGACACACATTGAGAGCATTTTGCGGGTTTACCTTGAGAATGTCCTCAGGTAATAGGATGGAGCACCAGAGTTTTCTGGCCACACTGATGATGTAAATTAGCATTCAGCCTCTTGTCTTCATCTGAACTTATGTGGATATGAACAAATGGCCATTAAGCGATATGTTTTTTGAATGGTTGTCCAGAAAAGTATGATCATGAGGTTTTTTGAATGGTTGTTTACCACCTGTGGCTCAACCGCATAGAGGAGATCGAGGAAGAAAATCCCACTGCTGAGATTCTTGTCCTGAAGACAAAGGAAAACGAAATCAGAGAGTAATAATCTTAGCTTTTGAGATGGATTGCGCAATTGTGTAGTCCTTCTGTACCTTGAAGCTCTCCATTTGAGAGGCTCTACCGGCCTTCTTGACTTTTCCATTGGCCCAGTTTAGTATGTCTGTGTCCGTGTCTACCCAATCAATTGCCATAAAAATGCTGAGAACATAGATAGTTATGTTGACAAATCAAGAAACAGTCAGAAATTTTCATCTATTTTGATTTCTGGAAACAGAATATAAAGCAATCAACACCACTCTATAACCACGAAGCATAAGATCATACCGAGTATGAGCTTCTTGTTTCCTTGCACGAAATCGTTACCAGCCACATTCATAAGGGAGAAGCTCAAATCTTTTGCCAACTTGAATGCAGTTCTCAACCTTCTTGAACGGCATCTTGATGGGAGGCTTATTGGCGATTTTCCAGTTAACTAACTCCGGCGAAACTTTTTCAAGAACTTCTAGCAGAACCCATCTACATGCATGTGCTTGTAGATCAAAAAGAGCAAGAGGATATACGAAAAATAAAAATTGTGCACATTTACAAGTAATCCACCCATTTCTAACATCTTCAAAGACATTGTTCACATAAGTATCTTTCTGTTAAGGTTCTGATGCTCGAACAGCTCCTTAGAAGAACTCCAGCAGCTTTATTGATCACCAAAACCAGGTACACTTCGGATAGCTTTGATTAGAGAGAGGCCCCTACTCTCTTCCCCACCCAATTCTCAACCAGAAAATCCCCTCATCCCTTTCCACCTCCTCCTCCTTTCTTTATACAATTCCCTCTCCTAACAGAATCCTCTAACTACTACCAATCATAATGAAACAACTAACAAAACAACCAAACAAATGTCAACACCTATATGCTATCTACACAAACAAACAAACACCACAATAGCTGCATACCTTTGCCCCTAATCACTCTTGTAGTACTTATCACTTTCTTCTCTTGAAGCATCTTTCTTCTCTTGAAGTTTGAGCATCATCCGTCATCATCTCAGCAAACGAAGTCTTTTTGGTGTCGACTGTTAAGCCATTCCTGAAATGTTATGTCATGGTTCTTTAATATCCGAGTAAACCCCATGAACATAAGAAGTAACTAATGAATGGTCTGATATATCACTGTCCTCAAACGTCTGTCTGAAAATGCAATCACAAATAAGGACTATGACCACTCTCCATTGGCCGGTTCCCTTTACCTATGTTGGAAAATTTGAGCAACAAAGGCAATATTCAGATTTGTCGAGCCACCTACAATATCCTATGCTGAAATGTATCTCTTGCAGTCCATCTTCCCTGCTTGTTCGATAACCATATTCAGATTTGTCGAGCCGCCTACATCTTGCTCAGGCGCAAGGGCATTTAGCAAGGAGACAAGCGAATAGTAGATCGTAACACCCGAAAAAGTTCAAAAAAGAAATATTTCCAATCCAAAAAATTATGCTTTATCGGTTACCTTCAAATCTGAAGAGAAGTTTGTAACTTGCTTCTCATACTCAACTTTTTTCAGATGAAAATTTATCCACTTCAGCAAAACTTTTTCAGAACCTAGACCCATGAGCTCCTCCACATCCTGCAAATTCCATGTGGTAAGCAACACCCAAGGGGCGTCTATCTATATGTACGTGTATATATGTGAGATCAATCCTGGTACTCATATCAATAATTTAACATTAAGAAATGGGTACGGAAGGATGAAGAAACTTCAACCTCACTGTCATCGACGAGCTCCACCAGTTGGGGAGTTTTCCTCATAGTAAGATCCACCAATAGTTGACTTGTCACGGGTGAAAAGAAATATGATAAATACACTCTTAACTGTGATTTATAACATGGCGAAAGGAAAATGAAATATTAGGGGAAGTACCTTTTATAATCTGAGATATCAATCCGAGTACAAGATGGTGCTACAAAACCAAAATAGAAGGGAAAGTAAGCAAATCGATAGGATGAGAATTGTGAGTGAAAACACATAGAAATCATCAGTTGTCTGTTGTCTTTGGAAGTAAATACTCACTCTCCGTTCAACCATATCCTGTGTACCGATATTAACAACAGTGCAGCCAATGGCTTTAGCAGAATTAAGACCAAGTGTATGGTTCTCATTTCTCTCCCATAGGTAAGGTCCTTCTTAGTGTTGATAGCTCTTTCATCGATGGTCCCAGGAACAGCTACATTGATAAGCTTACTGCAGAAAATATGTTGAAACCATCAGAAGAGAGCCAATTTTTCCTGCACGAATGGTTGAAATTGAACTACCGAAATCTACCATAGGAGAACTCCATCCTTTGCAAGATCAAATAAGGCGCGCCTCGCCTCACACCTCGTATTTTTAGAGGCTTTACTGCCTCAGTGCGCCTCGCACTTTTTAACTATACAACCAAGGTGCTGAAAATACGAGGTGCGAGGCACGTAGATGAGACGCATTATTAAATAAAAGAATGTATAGTTAACAATATAATTGATATTTAATTGTTTAAACCAACTATATGTTAATTTAACATAATTAAATTTAAATATTTTTTTAAATTTATATATAATTTTTAAATATAGAAAAATTTATATTATTCTTATAATCTAGAATTTTAACTAATATGAACAAAAATTAAAATAATTTTTGGGTGATGTATAAATATTATTTGTTTTGAATAAAAAATCTTAATTTTCAATTTTTGTTTTAAAATTATATATAAATTTAGTTCTATGTTATTATTAATTTTAATTAATATTTGATAATAAAATGATTATTTAAAAACTTTATATATAAATTAAATAAAAAAAAATTGATGGAATATTTGACACATCTCAATATGTCTGACCAAATCTAGTTTTTATTCACTCACCCACGTGACTAATATCTATCATACCCTCTCTCTCTCTCTATCACTTTCCCTCTCTTCACTTTCCCTCTCTTCTTCTCTCTTCATCCTCCACCTGAACCCTATATTTTTTTTACATTGACCGCCTTACTACCAGAGGCGCACGCCTCCGCCTCCGGCCGATGCACGCCGGAGGCGCGCCTCCGACCGCCTCCTGCAAATCGCATCGCCTTTGGGTTCAGATGCATTTTTTCTGGCGCAACAACGCCTCCAACGCCTAGGTGCGCCCCAGGCGCGCCTTTTAAAACCAAGCTGACGGGCAGAGAGACATTTCCAATCAATCCTTTACCTTTTTTTCCCCTATTGTGTGTTTGATCAGAAGCAAATGGAAAGGAGATACATCCTATTTTCTTCATTCCTAATCTATTATATTTCCCAAAAAATTGAAAAGAGAAAATCGTAGATACCAACCATCAAAATTTTAAGATATTATGAATTTCAGCCATATAAAAAAGTACCACTAATTCTTAGAAAGAACAAAAACCTTATAGTTACTCAAATCCAAGTTCCAAAACTCACCGCCTCTTCGAGAAAGCCTTCCCTTTAAAGCCGATGTAGCATTGCGGTATTACTGAGAAAAAGATTGCTTGAAGCAGAAGCAAATTTTTGAGATTGCTTAAGGAGCAAGAAAGAAAGAAAAAATAGCTTGGAAATCAGACAGGCCAAAGACCAAAAGAAAAAAAAGACAAACAGACTGGAAAGCCGAATATCAACTTTGCAAGGAACAATACGTTTTCCTATTACACGACGAATGCATGCCTTACGCGATGAAACAATACTACTATCCATATTATCACATACATGTTCAAAGAATTGTGGGGTCTTACCTGTTAGTCTCCAAAGTAGCACTTATCATCATCGTCCGAGACCATATGCCAAGAAATGTAGTCAGAAAGATAGTTCAAACTATATGCAAAGGACCGGATGTAAAGCAAACTGGCTTAGTTATTACAGAAAATTATCCTCACCAAACGTGGCTCTAGTATATCAATCAGAGGATTCGAGCTTCTTTGAGAGAGGAGTTTCCATCAGGCAGAAATCGACGGAGTCATACTTTGTCCTGCTAAACAATAGACCGGATATCATCGGAGTTTTGCAGTGAGCCAAGGATCGAGGAGCTCTAGATGCAGATGGCTCTTCTATCAGCAGCGACTCAGTCATTTCTTCCAGATACGAGATTCCTGAGGGAGTTTCTGCCTAAAAAGAACGTGATCAAAGAATCTCAAATCAACACAACCAGAGCTTGAATAATTCAAGCAAAAGACAGAATATGCAGAAAGTAACTTACATTGAGTTTGCCAACTTTGAGTTCTGAGAGGCGAGGAGATGCTGGCTGGTCAACAACATCGTGGAGTCCAACCACTTTCAGAAACTCATCCAGATCCATCGAATGTGTCTGTGCCTTGATGCATTCCTGATGATCATGCAGAAATTGCTTTTCTGAATCAATGCTGTGAAGAGCCGGTTCCTCAGACAGGCTGCCAAATCTTGTAGGCGCTTTAAGCACCTTCCTCAATGCCTCGGGTAAATGTGGCTTTGCAGAGTTTGAGATGTCACACAGAGCCTTTCTTCCACCAACAGAGGCTTTTTTCTTAGAGGCAGGGGCAACTTTCTTTTCTCGGGGCCCTGTGACTTTTGAGGAGGAAGGCTCCTCCTGAATGGGCAGGATATCGCAATTCAGCTTCTTTGACGTCTGATTAATGGTATGCTTTACAGAATTCGATAGATCACCAAGTGGTTTTCTTCCAGAAGGCCCTCTTTTCTTCAGTGTGTTGGAGTTGTTAGTCTTTCCCCCAACAAAAGATCCTGCAAGAGAGGTCCACTTTCATAAGAACGATTCTTTTATGGAGAAGAAGCATGTTCGTTAAACTACACCAAGAAGTGCTAAGAGAGCTACCATGGATCACATCATGCACTCGTGATTCCATCTCGGTTTTGTTTTGTGTATAGCCCTGAAAAGAAAAATGATAATGATAAAAAAAATGAAAATTTGGCAAACACAAAACAAAATATTACCAAGAGATTTTATGGTTCACAAGAACCATGCTCAGACATCATTTACTATCTCGCCGTCTTTGCTCAGACATCAAGCGAAAACTTCTTGCTACGGTGTTTTCTTTAGGCCTCTGGATAACACACGGAAGAAACATATGACTACCAATGAATCTGCATGGAACCCTTAAAGACAGACTCCTCCAAGTCTCTTTCCATTTCAGAGGATAAAGTCAGAGAAGTAATCGAAGTTCTAAACCCTACCGAACAGAATTTAACAATGACCGAGATGTTACATCAAATTTCCCACAAGCCAAACAGACAAAGACAGACTAGAAAGCAAAAACCCCTCTTCTCACTCTGGTGGCCAGTCAAATTAAAAAAACTCCGCCACGATTACAGGACGACAAAACCCTAACGAAGCACAAACACATTTTTCCATCAAATCTTACAACCCCTTTCTCGCCAAAGATTGTAAGGTTTACGAGGCGAAAACACTCGATTTCACGAGCGAGCAGGCGAAAAGATCTCAGAAAGAGAGAAGATTACCGAGACAAGAACTACATCTAACACAGGAAGAAATTCGCTTACAAGGTTTGAAGAAAGACAGAATTTTCCTTCCCGAGTGCTCTGAATTTCCAAGATTTTCTTGCGATTTTGTCGCGAATATTCAAAAATTTCTCAGAGAAAACCAAGAAGAGAACGAAAGAAAACAGATTGGTTCTGACCTTCGGGGGGTTCGATCGCTTTATAAGGGATACGGAGGCTCCAACGGTCACTTTTTAATAATTTTACGTTTTTGCCCTTGTTCTCGTAGTGAATTTACAATCTTCACGCCCAATCTCTTGAAAGGAATACTCTCTCTCTCTCTCATTCTTATGATTTTATTAAATGGGCAAAAGTCTTTATCAAGTCTTTGGCAGGGTCTAGACTTAATATTTACACCAAAATAAACTTAGTAAATAGTGAATTTTAATTACATTTTATTTATATATTCAATTTATAATACATACCGGATATATTAGCAAGTGTGATGCAAAAAGATTGAATATTTTTATATTACATATAATTTTAGCCCAAGAAAAAAAATACTGATCCCCAAAATGAATTTGAAGAAAAACGAAAAACAAAAATAAAACCACTAATGTCTTCATACGACAGAACAAAAACCGAAAAAATACTGATCCCCAAAATGAATTTGAAGAAACCTCTGATGGCGACGAAATCAGACAAACAGGAATGAATTCTAGAAAAACCTCCCAAAGCTATTACAGGGAACAATATCAACATGCAAAAATAAAAATGTTTTTTCCTTCTCTTTGTTCTAAGATGATGATGTTCTTCTTGTCCCAACTTCTTGTCAAAGACATGAAAGAAGAAAGAGCTTGTTAAGGGGAAACCATTCACTTAATATGTTCAGAGACGAGTGAAAATGAGTAAGATTGATCTTGCTGGGACGAGCCTGAGCCGGGGCAGTGGCTTCGGATTCAAGCAGAAGGCCATTCTTTACGGATTTCGAAGGCATAGTTGATCTCCAAGTAGCACTTGTTATCATCGTCGAGAAACTGAAATCGTAACCAGAGGAATTGTTAGGTAGAGGGTTATCACTTATCAGGATAAATATATCAAGGGTTAAAGCGAAATACGTTAATCCACAGCAAGACCTTACCATAGACACCGGTCCAAGGTAACTAATGAGCTAGTCAATCAAATTTTCATACTTCATGAATTAACGGGTCGATAAACTGACCTTAGTTCTAGCGGAATATGATCCCCGAGCAAACATGCCAGAGGGAGTGGTCTCTTCTGGTATCACGTGAGTGTATGGCTCCAGCTGAGGACTAAAAGTCCCGAGCATCTCCTTTGTTCTGTCCACTGAAAACATTAATAAAATAGTTGTGAAGCAATTTCTTAATAGTCTTGTCCTGTAAATCCGATATTAGAGACTATGATTATCATCTCAGATCAAGTCTCAAGACAATGTGAGAGGTACCTTTGACACCGGTCTTCCAGACGTTATTGGTGTACTTAAGGCCAGACACGATGTTGTTGTTAACTTGAAAGGTGAATTTCAAGTTGTACTTGCTCCCTTCTTTTAAGGTAAACCACGAGCCCTTGATGTTTCCATTCTCGGGAACCGATAGAACAATATCAGGTCTACCAGGAGAAATGATCGCAAGGCTAAGGATCTTCACTTCAGGGTCAAGAGTCTCTGCGTTGTGAGATGGATGACAAGAACGCATAAGTGTAGAAACTCACACGAAAAGCTAGCAACAAAATTTATAATCAGGCGATTCTACAGCCAGTTTTTCTAATGATGAGTGAGAGGAGATGTTCATTTGATGGTAAGATGATTTTGATTTATGTTACTTGAGGAGAAAATCAGCATCATACGAAATTTCTCGAATCAAGAATGTATGCTAAAACACTAGAACATGAATTGATGTTACGTAATTCAAAGTCCTAGTGAGGAATGGAAAAAAGGATCTGATAAACCACATGATTTATCACTGACAAAAAAAAAGACAGAAGGATAAACTCTATGATGTCTCCATTAACTTTTTAGCATTGTATATAATTCATTAGAAACATCAATGCATCTGTCCAGGACCATCCACATTGCTCGAGCGCAATGAACACAGTGCACAAAAGACAATGATCTGCTCTAGGAATCTTGGCCGTGTTGTCTGAACCACATTGCCTCCATAACAAACAAAGAATTAAGAACCAATCTGGTCTGCTAAGGCAAATTAAACAACATAGGATAATCTCTAACTCTTCTAAAATTCTATCAGATTGGAGAAACATCAGATGGCAAACAGCCAGAGAAAACTAAACCTTTGCCCTCCATAAGATATCTATAGTCCCAATGTCACCAATCAATTCATCAGACAAAATCACCCTTAATTCAAACACCGATTTTGAAATCGAAAAAAGTCATAATTTTGTTTTGGAAATGACGAAAATTGTACCTCCGATGCTGTTCACATCTACACTTCCAAGAAGCTGCTCCTTCCACTTCCTGAGACTCTCATCATCCTAACAGATTCAGAAGAACAATTTCGAGAAATTCTTCACATTCAATCCAAAATTTTCGAAAACAGGAAAAATGGAAGAAAGGGCAACAAACGAAAAAACCAACCTTATCCTTCTCGAGATGCTCCTTGATAGTGTACTGAGGGCCCAATTGTAACTTCTCACCGAGAGCGGATTCATCGTCTTCCTCCTCCGTCGCGTACAGAGAAGATTCGCTCATCTGTCTCCCCAACGATTCCACGGCCTCATCGTCGGTGCTCTCGTGATGCGACGACGCCGTTTTGGACGTGTTCTCCTCTCCTTTGCCTCCTCCCTTGCTCTTCTCCTCGTCAAAACCCATATCTCTGGAACCCGATATAGCTCCAGCAACCACAGACATCAATCAACTCGACAACCCCAGGAAATGAAATCAATGCGTTTTCCACTGATCAAAATCGTGAATTGGAGAGAACCCACGAAAGATCTCGCCGAGAAGAATGAAGGGTTTGGAGTTCTCTCTCTCTTTGTTCTACTTCTCCCCCCTGGATGATCGTGGAGCAGTAAAGGAAGCTTGGCAAATTTAGGGATTTTGGTTCTGGCATGTTCTTTTACGGGAGCGAGAACGAGTCATGTGGTGATCCGAGTTATGAGAGAGAGAGAGAGAGATCGTGAAGGCCACCAATGAAAATCAGAACGGCAAAATAGGATTCCCCGACAAAGACAAAAGTTATTAATTTAAAAAATGATTGGATGGATAATTGCATTAATAACATATACATACAATTAATCGTCACTAATTTTGATTTTGATTTGACGTTATAAATTGGATTAAATATTAAATATTTTTAACCAAATTTGGATTTATTTTGGACCTCACTCTTGCTTAGCTTATTGTGGAACAACTAATATATTCCAATCTTTTTCAGCATATTATTATGGGTGTGATTATTATATAGTTTCAATGTATAAATAAATGGGTTTAAATTATATTTTAACACTTGATAAAGATATATCCAGAGCTCTTTTTAGTTTTCTTCGCAATATAAATAAATGATATATATATATATATATATCCTTAAATCAATTAAAAAACTCAAAAAAAAAAAATCTCTTATTTTTCCGTGGGAACCAGATGTTTTGAAAATTAATTAAGGATGATTTCACAGAATAATTTGAAAAAATAAAAAAATCAAGATGTTTAATAACATACTAATTTAGAGAAATGTATCATAAATTCAATATAATGGATGTGACTTCATTTGAAACAAAAAATAATATTCGCCCCATTCTGTTTTATATTGTATCTCGGAGAATAAATTGAACATATTAAACAAAAACTTCCAGAATATTCTGAAATCCCTAAATTATTTGCATTTATCAATTATAGTTCACTTTGTTCTTAATTTTTCTATATTTGACTAGATATAAATATGTTATATAAAAATATAATTATTTGTCATGCATGTATGTTATATATCCATTAGGCTACAGTGTTAAACCACATAAACAATAGAACAATAATTATATAATATGAATAGACGAGTCATTAATTAACTAATTGGAATGATTAGGGGCTACAAACATTGCCTATAATTGAGGAGACAAAAAAAAATGAGAGCTTAATGCTTCTTTTGACTTCTTGCGCCATAACTATAAAATCATCCAATAGTTTTACTTATAGATTAAAAAAATAAAATATATGCAAAATTTTGGAAACCGATGTGGAGGTATTGAACTCCAATATCTCAATAATCGGATATCTGATTTTGGATATTAAGTTCATAAATTATATCAATATAAAAAAATCAGATTTTTTGTGCCGTCTATATATATATATACATATAATGGCAAGTTAAACCAAAAGAAATAAATAATGGCATGAAAATTGGCATTTGATTTCATTTCAACCTTCTAAAACTTTGAGAAATCGAAGATGACACGTATCCACAAATGCATTGAATGTTTGTCCCATTGCATTTATATGATTTTCAGTTAACCCTAACTATATGGTAAGTTTGTCGTCATATGATTTTCTCATGGCCCATCTATCACTTTAATTTCTCTACAACAATATATATATATATATATATATATAAATATATACGTGTATGATATATTCATATTTCTAACCATACGGTATATTAATACCCAATTGCTGTTAAAATACAATAAATAAAAATATATCGTAACGGTGAGAGTTTTTTTGGTTAGAGAAAATTTAAAATATTTTTTAGAAAATCTTACTGACTTAGTTTTATTTAGTGTGTTAGAGAATACATATTTTATAAATTTTTTTGTATATATATTAGAGTCAAAAATACTAAGAACTATGGAATACATATTTTTATTTTATTTTATTTTGCGGTTTCATTCTTTTATATGTCATCTTCTATCAGATTTCAATGCAATATTCCTTTAGAAAATTGTTGAAATAAAACAATATATCCAAGGAACGATAAAAAGTAGTCAACCTTATTATGAAGAGAAATATACAAACATGGTGAAATGATACAATCCAATCAATAATCGATCAATAATCATAAGATTTAAATCAAAAATATTTTTGAATGTAAAAGAATGAAAAAAAAAATCTTATATTTTGCTATGAGATATTTTATATACGTATAAAACTCTAACCAGTAGGCCTGAATTGGTCCATTGCGGCATAAAAAAAGTTTTGGATAATTCTTTTCTTCCGCGTTGGGCTCAAGACGACTTGGGTCGCACACATTTGCATTCCACCTCGGCCTTTGCAAGGGATTTGGAATTTAATAATAATAATAATAATAATAATAATAATAATAATAATAATAACAGTAGTTGTAAGAATAAAAAAAAAGGAATGCCCGAATTATATACTAAAAAAACAAATTTAATTAAAAAAGAACTAGTAACCATTTGATATTAGTCAACTCACTCAAACGAAATTCAAAAAAGCTAATAATTATATTATATTCGATTTAATTTTATTTTAAATTTGATTAGTCTAATGTAAAAAATTATATCTAATCAAATTTTATTTGATTCGATTTAAAATAAAATTATATATGATTAAATTTTATTTTAATTATTTAAGCAGAAATACTAACTTGTGTGCTGTATGTTGTTGCTCTTGAATATAGTTCAATTATATTTATTCTTTTAATATTTATTTCACCAGAGATATTGGAAATATTGATATGTATAAATTGTAACATAACTAGGTTGTCCGGGAACATAATGGCACGTTGGTTGGTGTTGCTTGGCTCGGCTCCATGAGTCACACAAAGCTTCATCACGTAAAAACAAAAGCCCACGTGGTCGGTGCCTTTTCCTGACGTGTCGCCGAATGATTCGTTGTCGTCATATGTCTGAGTCAGTATGTTGGTCCCATAGTGGGCTCCACGTCACCGCCCAAAAAGTAAGAAAACCAAAGAAGATAAAGGGGAAAAAGCGTGCCGTTTTGTCTTCTCCGACCTTGACATTTTTGGACGGAGACGGCAAGCAGTGTCTCTCTCTATCTTAAGCCTGTTTTGGGTAAATAAATGCACATTTGGAGGCCGCAGATCGCGAGGCACCGCTCGTTTACGGCGACTGCTTTCGTACGGAGTTTTCTGCTGCGTCCGGATTTCACTGCGTTTGTTCCCTTTGGACATAAATTCCTTGTATTTATTATTGATAAGAATATTAAAAAGAATTATTATGAGATATTCGTAATACAATAATTGAGAATAAATACATATTAACATTAGTTTTTATAAATTAGTTTAAATAACTAAGACTTGTTTTAATAACACTAGAACACCTTCTTCTATTACTTACCTAGTCCGTTCTTCGTTATTATCAATTTTTAGCGGGAATATTTTTATTTATTTATCATGGATTAAAATTTTCAAATTTAGAGTTTTATATTCGCCATTAACCCCAAAAAAAAAAAGATTTGAGCTTTGGAGGTGACGGCACAAAGCACAGAAACACAAACTACCAAAACGCTAGTGAGAATGATGATGGCCCTTTTTGAAAAATCCCAAAATCACCTCCTCTCTTTTTTTACGTAAACCAAACAATTCAGTAAAAAAAAAAAGTCGACCTCTATTAAGTTTATTGTATTTATGTATGTGTTCCGCATGTAATAAATTGGATGTTAGAGAAGAAAGGGTTTTAAATCGTTTTTTTTTTCTTGATGAAGTTGTTGTAACATTAATCCTATCTACCCAAATTTAGATGATCTATTGATAAGAACATACAAAACATGTTTTTATCTCGGGTTCAAATCCAAGCCTAAAATGGGTTATTCATTCGAACTTTTCAGTATTCAGAAATATATAATTAAGCCAAAGATTTGATAAATTTCCGGATTATAAAAAATATATATTAATCATGTATTACATAGAGAGAGAGAGAGAGAGAGAGACCATTCTTGTGTTCATTTACAAATTTTATTTTCATCTCGTTATAATATCATTTAGACCAAATTGGATCACAAATACAAACTATGAAATGGCGTAGTTGTGTGAAAATAGTGCAAAATAACTAGTGAAGAATAACCATAAAATAAATTAGAAGAATTATGGTGTGTTGTGTGATATTATTCTCGTTCATCACGCCGAGAAAGTGTTTGTTCTGATAAAATGTTATGATATACGAAGAGTGATCGCTATTCAAAGTCCAAAATGCTTGTCATTAATTACATCTAACCACGAATACAAAAGTTGTATATATCTGTCTATATATGGATCGATATTACTTTTTCTTTTTTCAAAATCTCAATCCAAACGGATATTGAATTATCACCAAACATGACGATCGATGGGCTGTCCAAATCAAATCTCAAGATTCCTCTCTCTCTCTCTCTCAAGGACTGCCTCTATATAAAGCCTTGTTGCCATTGCCATTACACTCATCATCTCGCACTCCCACTACATACACTCAAGCTCCACGTTAGCTTTTGCCCTTTTCCTTCCCCCTCGGTCATCTTTTGTTTAATTTTCTTACAAGTTTACACTTATGGCCACTGCTGAGGTATCCAATTTATTCCGTTTTCACACCCTTCACATACATACATATATATATATACACACACATACACCCGCAGACTTGATTTGGTTTTGTTTTAAGGTGTTGGTTACCGTACGTACGCATACTCAGTGAAAGGGTTATGGTATTTTATCACGTCGGTCGGTCCGTCGAATATCATAACTTTCTGACACAGTCTAAAAGCATTAGTCGTTATATTCAATCGCTGTAACGTCTTTGCATGTGTAATAGCATGCAATGTTCCCAAAAAAAAACGTGACATGTTATAAATTTCATCAAGTTTTTACAGTGGATCACCAAAATTTTATAGGGTCTTATAAAGCATTAGTTCTAACATCCGAAATCATACGATCCTCTTTTCTCCATTTAACTATTCTATGGTGTTTAATGAAAATGTGTTTTTTTTATTGTAATAAAGGCAAAATTCATTTTTGCAGGTTGTATTGGTTCAAAATGTACTGTCAGACGAGAAGAAGGAAGAGTTTGTCAATGTTCAAGAACCGGAAGCGGTTAAGGTGGAAGAAACACCGGAAGAAGCGAAAACCGAAGCAGAGAAAGTAGAGGCCATCACCGAGAAAACCGAAAAACCGGAGGAAGAAACCGGAGAGGAGGCCAAAGATGAAACCGACGGTGCCAGTGAACCAAAGGTTGAACCGGTTGCTGATGTGAAGGCCGAGGAAGGTGAAGAAAACGTTGAGAAAGCAGAGGAACCTAAACCGGAAGCAGAACCGGTGACTGAACCGGAAACCAAAACCGAGAATGAAGCCAAAGCTGAGCCGGAAGCAAAAGTTGAACCCAAGCCGGAGGAGGAGGAGGAGAAGGAAGTTAACGCTGTTCCTGAGGAGGAGAAGAAAGAGTGAGAGAATGACAAGAACTAATGGCGGTTTAAGTGGTTTATTGGGTCTCCATTTACTACTAATAAAGCTTATACTATAAGTCTGGTACGGTCTTGTTTGGTTTGTCGGTTTAGTCCGGTTTGTTCGGTTTGGTTGTTTGCATGTGATATGCATGTGCTCCTGGTTTGAGTACAACATCTACGTGGAATAAACATGATATGTTAATTAATGATCCAAAGTGTTAAAGTTTGGTCCAAATTGGAGGATTACAATCATATTATTCGGCCCGTATTTATTGATTTAGGATTCAATTTGGGCCGTCCCGGTATGCATCCATATAATTACTAAAATTATCAGAAATACATATATAATTAGATTATTTACAGTTTATAAAAAAAAAAACTATGGTTATTATAATTTTGTGTCGATTCTATACATTGCGGTAACTAATATTTAAAACATTCTTTACCATATGGTCCATTTCTGTTTTTTATTATTATTATTATTTATCCATCATTGTAAAGCAAATTCTTACTATTAAATTATTAATACGACTTCACAATAAAATAAAAACTATTTCGTTTTTGTTCATATTATATATTATAAAAATCTACTTTGGCCATCAGATCGTTTTGAATGAACAATTAGGATAAAAAAAAATCACCCAACAAAATATTTCTGGAAATTTTATAATAGTCTTTAGTATGTTTCTAAACCAAAATTATCAATAAAAATAATATATAATAAAGATTAAAATTTCTTTCTACATAGATTTAGAATTCGAATGTATCCATTCTTAGTCGTATTCTGTCAAATCTAATGTCACCTGTATTAATCGGATTTTTATAGTTTGAACAAAAAAAAAATATTTACACTGCAAATTAAAAAAAAAAATCACAAAAGGATAGTGTTGCAAATTTCTCTTTAAAATAAAATAATTTATTTAATATACGAAGACTTTCCGGGAAGTAAAGGTCAACGTCTACGGCGAGTTTTATATATATATATATATATATATATAGTGAAAATAGTGCAAAATAACTAGTGAAGAATAACCATAAAATAAATTAGAAGAATTATGGTGTGTTGTGTGATATTATTCTCGTTCATCACGCCGAGAAAGTGTTTGTTCTGATAAAATGTTATGATATACGAAGAGTGATCGCTATTCAAAGTCCAAAATGCTTGTCATTAATTACATCTAACCACGAATACAAAAGTTGTATATATCTGTCTATATATGGATCGATATTACTTTTTCTTTTTTCAAAATCTCAATCCAAACGGATATTGAATTATCACCAAACATGACGATCGATGGGCTGTCCAAATCAAATCTCAAGATTCCTCTCTCTCTCTCTCTCAAGGAATAAAATACGGCGAGTTGGGTGCATTTGTTCTTCGTCTTGACATTTATTTTATATATCGTGTAGTATATTAAATTCATGGACCCTTTATAACTGAGAGAGCGGCAAAAGCGATGACATAACATAATGCTCTATGACATTAAATACATTATTTTAGCAGCCATAATGTTTATTTATTAGATATAATAATATAACACACCTATTGTTCTATTCATTCATTGCAGAAATTTTTGTGTTTTTTACCATAAAAAAGGGTCATGGCGCACATTCTTTTAGATAAATTCACTCGCAAAACTCAACGATTATTCATATTTTGACGCTTAAGTTTTTTGAATTACTAAAAGCTACCTACCACACTAGAAATCAAATTCACAAAATTTCCAAAATTATAAATAAAATATGTTTGGAGAAAATATTATTAGAGATGATAATTATATAATTATACAGTAAATTTGTTAAATTTATATATTTTAATAAAATAAATCTAAATATAGGATAATACTAAATATCTTTTTATTTAGAATTTATCGATTTTTCTTTCTTTCGACATCTTAGGCATATACTCACGAGATCCTCCAATAATTAGGGCAAGAGAAAAAAAAACGAAAAAGATTTGCAAAAAATGTTTAAGCTCAGATCTCACAGAAAGAGGGTTCTAATTTTATTTCGAAAGGAGGAATCTTTTCACATGGGATTTTTTTTAAACATATTTGTATATTCATATTTTTTATATGCTTTTTCTCATCTTTTATTTTTATTATCTTATATTATTGGATCTAAGAATGTGTTTGGAGATTGAGCATTTATGACAAAAAAAATATATAAAATATCGAAAAGATACACAACTATAGAATCATATTTTATATACTATACGAATCGAAATGTCTTTCCTTGATGGGTGTTTACAGGATGTACTTAAATATAAAATTATAATACTCACTTCAATTTTGGGGCTTTACTCGATATTCACTTCAATTTCCCTTTTTCAGTTCTTGTAAAAAAAATACATTTATTCTATTATATGTAAGATCCATTCACTTTATTTCAATTTGTATTCTATTCTTTAAAAAAAATATTTATTTTAAAAACTATATTCATTTTATTATTATTATTTAAATTCAATAAATCTAAAAATTAAAAATGATAACCTATTACTTTTTATTAAACTAAGTTTAAATATAATTGTGTATTATTAAATCCAATTTTCTTCAATTTTATATATACTAGAAATTTTGTCCGAGTTTTTTTATGATATCTAATCATTTAACACAAATTTAGTTGCTAAAAAAGAGAAAGAAAGAAGTAAAAATAGCATATAAATACTTAAACTTTTATTAAAATTTCACATAAATACTTGAACTATAAAAATTTTATATAAATACATGAACTTTTAAAAATCCTATATAAAGACCTAAATTTTTGAATTTTTTTTCAAATAAATACAAATTTCAGGTATTTTTTAAATAAAAGTAGGTGATGTCATTAATGAATTTTTGGTTTATTTGGAAGTTTTTCAGAAGTCTAAATATTTATATAGGATTTTAGAAAAGTTTAGATATTTATATGGAAATTTTATATTTCAAATATTTATCTAGAATTTTTGTAAAAAATTAGGTATTTATACGAGATTTCGATCATATCCTTTTCTCAAGCTTATTATACTATTTGATTAATAAATGTCTTGAACATCTACACCCTGCATTTATTGAGGGGCTATAAATGCAACTTTACGTTTAGGATAATAAATAAATAAATAATTTTATACTCTTGCATAATTATATATATATATATATATATATTAACTATACCTTCTCAGAACTTTTTTTTTGGATACATTGGGGAACCCCCGTGACTACCTACCCTTACAAACGAAGACGAACTGGCCACCACCTACGCCTAACAGTCCCCATGGACCTCAGTCCGCCGGACCTGGCCACCAGGCGCGCCTAATGCTCGGGCCGTAGTTGGGCTTAGGCGCCTGCGGGTCAAACCCCAAGCCCACACGCACGAGCCTGCAACACACGCGTAGGAGGTAAATCAGCACATTATGATAGGTTAACAGACGAACATGTTAGAGGAAGGGAGACGGCAGGATTCGAACCCCCCACCTCAAGGAGTTGCCCCTGCTCCCAACCAACTGGTCCCGAAGGGCGCTTCTCAGAACTTTACGCTTGGCATGATTTCCAAATTTATCCTAACAAAGATAATAATTAAAAATCTCAATCCTGTTTGTAATTAATACTATTCATAGTAGTTTAACGAGGATAAACTAATCTACTCATATTGTTCATATGTATAATACGAAAACAATGTGTATTATTATTGTACTCAAATAATAGGATTAGGTATAAGAAATTATATAATTAAAAAAAATAGTGTTGAGTATTAAGAAAGAAACGTAAACTCTTGTTTTCTCCGCGGAAAACATGCAAGCATATTTGTAAACCAAATAATTAAATTAAAAAAAAAAGTATTACCATTTATTGTCTCATAAAACATTATACATTTATGGTCCGGTTTAGACACAGATCACTTTAAGAACCGAAGCAGGGTCCAGGGACCAATTCAAGAACCGATTTCGACTTGATATAATAAGCAAAGATTATACTAAATTATCGTTTCATTACAGAGGAAACCCCAAAAAAAAAAAAAAAAAAAAATCCCTCTCTTGTCATACATCTATCGGTGTGTCGAACCAAGCCAAAGTTCCGACATGAACAACGGTGTGAAACCAATTGGGCAAGCCGGAGAGGACAAGATCTTTGAACTTACCTTTGTTCGGATCATATGAAACGAGAACCCTACTCTTATACTCCAACAAGATCTCGCCGTTTTCCAAAACGCATAAAACCCTAACGACTTTCCCGTTCTCGGCGTTCTTCCATATCCACATCGGTCTATCCAAATTCTGCTTTAGCCCCTTTGGCAAGTAAGCTCCGACGCTATACTCTTTGACCCAAGATTCTTTGACTCCATAACTCTTCATGACCCATATGTCCAATTTCCCGTAGTTTCCGTACACGACCGCACTTAGACACCCTTTGAGGTTCACGAGCCTGTGGTTGCTCCGGTTTAGCCCTCCTGAATCCGGTTTAGGGATCTCTCTGAACTCTTCGTCCTCCAAATCAAACGATATGAACTTACGGGCAGGCACATGTCGACGAGGTCGTGTCACGAAATGCAACCTACCGTTGACCAATGCCTCGGACGAACGTTTCACAAACTTATAAGGCGCTTTACCTAAGCTTCTCCATGACAATAACTCGGTTCTTGAAGACAAAGTTAGGACATGAACCTCGGATTGTTTGAATTGGATCCTACCACGGGCCCTGTAACCACTGCTACTGCTACTACTGTTACCGTTACTGTTACTTCTGTAATAAACTATCTTCACTACCTTGTAATCCTTGGTTCTTGGATGGAAACCGAAGCCGAACACGAGTTCTTGGTCGTGGTACTTGGCCGAAGTCTCCGGAAGCTCTACGCAGTTTCTAGTGAAGGGATTGTAGACGTAGAGCGAATCGTTGTAGAGCGAATCCGACAAGCACAACAAGCCATTGCATGAGCCGACCACATCGAACTCGGGCATTGCGGCCGCGAAAGGCAGGCTGAATTTCTTGGTCTTGGACGATCTTCCGGCTTCTTCCGAGGATCCGTAAGAGGATAAGTCCGAGAAGTGAAGCTCGTTTCGTATGGGGAAATCGCAGTGGAAGAGGAGACATGGTCGTGCGGGATTTGCAGAGGAAGAGAGATGCGCGTTGAGGAGGAGAGGATCTTGAGCCAGCGATCTCCAGGATCTGCAGACGAACGTGAGACGGACGAGGGACGTGATTGGAAGCCGAGAAAATATGTCGGCGATGATTTCTACGGGGAGAGCTTCGAGCGATGAACACGATCCGTATTCTTCCTCTTCGATCTTTCTTTTCTTGAAACATGATCTGGTCGAATGATCTGAAGCCATGGATCGATGAACAGGTGGAAAATATCTACCGGGTTTGATCTCAAGATTCAGAATTTGAAGATTTTGTGAAGAAGAGAAGAGAGAGAGAGAGAGAGAGAGAGAGAGAGAGAGAGAGAGAGAGAAGATGAAGAGCAAAAGGAGAAGAAGAAGATGATGATGATGAAGGGGAAGAAAATAGAGGCAAAGAAAAGGAGGGTACGTTGAATGGGCATCACTGAATAATTCTCGTGGAAATTTAATTTAATTTTTTTATTATAATAATAATTCCGTAAAAGTTATGACTGATGCAGGGAGATCTGGACCGTCGGATGAATATAAATTTCGTGCGAAAAAGAGATGGGTTATGGTTGACGTGGAGAGATCTGAACCGTTGGATGAATTTAAATCTCACGAGGATATTAAGAGAGAGAAAATAAAGGGAAAAAAGAAAACAAAAGAGGCGATGGTGACAAAGGAGGACGCACCAACACTTTGGAAAAAGTCTTAAATAAAAACAAAAAACAAAAAACAAAAAATAAAAAAACTTGCCAACTAATACAAAGAGTCGTCCACTTTTGTATACTTATATGACTTTCTCCCTCGCTCTCACCCCACTTTAACATTTCTTTTTTTTTATTTTACCTTTTATTTTTACCTTTTTTCAAAAATTTCCTTATTTAAATACTTTAATAATAAAATAAAATCATTATATATATATATATATATGATGTAGTAATCTAACAATTTGCTTATTCAAAGTTATAGATAAGGAAAAAAGTTTTATTTCTTTAAACCCCTAAATACTACTGGCTTATTAGTATATTAGATATTATACATATGAATATTATATATATATATATATGTATAAATTAAGTATGAACATGAAATTGCTGGGTGGGGGCAGTTGTGCAGTTGTGTGCGCCGTGAGTGTTCTTCAAAAGCCAAAAGGACACTTGTAGGTGCACAAGTCTCCCACCTTCCCAACAATTAGTTTTATTTTTTTCAAAGGAATACACACACATATGTATATATAGCCATTGAGCATTTGTATTTTTCAGTCTAAATGATTTTGTGGATCACTACATGGGTATTTTCAAAAGTTATCTGGTCATCCACACACACATACACACATATATATATATATGTCTGTGTATGGATCGAAATAGAGTAGACTTTGATAACTTTGTTCATAAAGAGGCTTTATGTTGTTTTAACATTTTATACATAAAGAGGCTTTTGGACCTTTGGTTGCTACCAATAAGGGTACCGGTTTACAGCCAAACCACTACCATACCGGTCGGTACAACCCGGTCAACCCAACATCAACTCAAATCTATTAAGCCAATACACGGATTACATGTTACAGGCAGAGTAAAAATCGACAGAGGTGAGAGAGAGACTGACTTGGTTTCCCCTGCAAGAAAGTAAAAGGTTCCTGCAAGTGCATTCGAGTGACCTTCGGATGAAGTATATAAGATGTGTATACCATATATCTATATACACACACACACACACACACAAATTTGCTTCTTTCTTGAGGGTTTCATCGCTTCAGAGGCAACTCTAATGGGAAGTGCTCATCATCTTACTTCAGCCGTGGAATCTGAAACGCCATGAAAGAGTTCACTTATTTATTAGCCCATTAAAAAACTCATTGCAGAGCTCGATTGGTGACACGATGAGGGTTGAAAGAAGCATACAGAGTTTAGGAAGATATAATGCTGTTACCGACTCCACCATAAGCTCATTGATCGTGGGTCAGTGGTTGCTACCAAGATTAGAGAAGATTCGTACACACAGAAACAACATTGTAACAGAGCTGATAATCTGGAACAGAGCCTAATGCAAGTAATAAGACATCACACATGTGGCAACTGACAAGAATATGTTCTGCATTGTCACGCACATCATGAAAAACAGAATTCCGCAATGCTGGGGAAAGGAAAGAAGATCAGACACAGAGATAGACATAAACCTGAGACGTGTTCCTGATGCAACGTCCTGAAGAACAGTATTGTCATCAAGCAACTTCTCGTTATTTTACGAAATCCAGAAATTTGACCACACAAGCTTCCTGCGAGACAAAAACAAGTTTCTGTTCCATCGGTCAATTGTTCGGACAAAGGGTTTCCTCGTCTGCTAAAAAAAGAGAAACTTTACGAGCTTACCAAGAAATATGGCGATGACCCAAGCTAGTTTACTGCATTTCACTAACTTTCCTCTCGTTCACGAGCTTCAAGTCCTTTATCGTAGCTCAATTAATCACCGTCACATCGGCAAAGATCACCACATAAGTAAGAACGTCAAAGCACACCATGTGTTCGACAAAACGCCCAAATCGAAAACACAGCGTAGACGAGTGTACCGAAGGAGGAATCGGCGAATCGCCGCGCTTTAAGACAAATAAACGCATGGCGCTTCCCTTCTCGAGGCTTAGAATGGTGACAGAAAACATCCGACAATGTGGGATTCCTCGGAACGTCGACGAGAATCGGGTCGGAGAGATGATCGGCGAGGACCAATCTTAAATTCTCCCTCTTGTTGGAGGCATTGTAACCTCGGAACTGGGTCTCTTCCCCTCCTACTCCGCCGCCGATCTCCATGGTCGTCACTTCCCGGAGAAAACAGGTCTCTCATCGATGTCCGGTTGTCGCCAGAGGATCGGTTCTCAAAGATCAGTTTGGGTCCTTTAGGAAACCAAATGGCCTGAAACGGCATCGTTTAGTTCGTCATCGTATAAAAGCCCACTTAAGGCCCATTAATAAAGAATTAGCACATTAGGTTAGTAGTCATTTGTTCCACGTAATCGTTCTCTATTATATTATAATAATGTATGATTAATTTTTTATATTAATATTATATTTGATAAAACCAGGGTAGAACTAAACGATGGTATTATGGTTAATATATAAAAAATATTTACATATTAAGTCGACATAAATATTAAAGAACAGCGCCATGCACAAAATATCTCCATAACAATAACTTATAATTTTTTTTTTTACGATTTATTGAAATTGTTACTGCTTCCAACACGATTATTCCAAACAAGATACAATTATAGTTATGACTTATGATAACAAAAACAGAATTTAAATTAATTTCCTCGAATTTCAGTCTTTTATTTGTAAAATATTATTATAATACAAGACCATGCTTTTTCATTAAAGAATTAGACGACCCTATTTAATAAATTTATAACGGTAATTTGAAAAAAATTTGTCGTCGATACAAAGCATTCATTATGAACATCATGCATTGCCAGGTAAAAAGATTGTGGTTAAATTTACATGCACGATTTTAAATGACCCAAAAATTAAACATATAATTTTTTGCGATGGATTTGTATATTCATCTAAATTTGAAATATCGGAACGTATTTATGTACGTTACATTGTAAGTTATGTAATTTTATTTTGGGAAGAGTCGAACACAATATTTTTAGAAAAAAAAAAAACTGGAAAAATGGATACAAAATTCTTAATTTTTTTTTAAAAACCGGTTAGGTATTCATATAGATCTCGTGAAAAATAATTAAATATTTAATTGTATAAAATGATCGTACCCTAACTATTGCTGCGCAACGAGACGGCACGTTATAAAAAAAACTAAGTTTCGTTGTCAAAACTAAAAGTTGTATGATACACATGTGGTTTTTGTAGCGAAAAGACGCGCATGACTATATTTGAACAATCCAGTAAAATTATATATATATATATATATATATATCCAAATTTTTGTAAATTTGCTTATAATAAGAGGTTAAATTTGTTTTTTTTTGTTGAAATCGTAGCAAAATAGTATTAAAATGTAGGGGGGAAATTAGTGTTAAATTTTTTTATCGTTTCATATGGTTATAATTATATTACTTTCAATAGTAACGGTAATTATAGGAATTTGTAATACAAGAAATCAAAACCATGCAACAGATGAACCCTAAAAAAAGAGGTAACAGTTCTAATGATAGAATTGATTTGTTTGATATTCCCAGGAAGTTCTATAAAAAGGCAACACAAACATGAAAAAAACACACAAACAAAAAAAAGAACAACACAACAAAAACTTGGGAAAAAAAGTGTAGAAAAATGGTTGCGAAAACCCTAGCTTCTGTCTTATTTGCTCTGTATCTGTTGAGCTTCTCTGCAAATGCTGAAGTGTTTGACATCAGAAAGTTCGGTCATGTTTCTGTTGGCTCCGACATTACCCAGGTAACTAAACGTTTCTTGCTTCTCAAGCAACCTCGATCCCGGTTCATGGAAACTGATTATTTCTTGCTTCATTTTGGATCTTCGTATATCTGCAGGCTTTTAGGCAAGCCTTCCAGGCTGCGTGCCAGAGCCCGAGGCCGAGTTCGGTGGTGATCCCGAAAGGAACGTACAAACTTGGGGAGATCAATATGATCGGTCCCTGCAAAGCTCCAGTCGAGGTGACTGTTAACGGCCACTTGCAAGCCAACGGAAATGCCCTGGCTGGGCACGAGAAATGGGTCGTTTTCCGCTACATTAACGGCTTCAAACTGAACGGAGGCGGTATCTTTGATGGGCAAGGCAATGCTGCCTGGAAGTCGAATGATTGCCACAAGAATAACAACTGCAAGAAACTCCCAATCGTAAGTAGCGATTCGCCATCTCGCATGTAATTTATTTTCACGGAAACTTACGGTCATCTTGCTTTGTCTCATTATGTTTTGTCTGCTGATGAATCAGAGCATAAGGTTCGACTTCGTACTTAACGGTGAGGTTAGGGACATAACGTCGTTGGACGCCAAAAACTTCCACGTGAATGTTTTGGGCTGCAAGAATTTCACATTCGATAACGTGAAGATCAAGGCACCTGCCGAGAGCCCTAACACGGACGGAATCCATCTGGGGAGAAGTGACGGCGTCAACATCCTTAGATCTTTCATCTCGACAGGTGACGATTGTATCTCTATCGGCGACGGGATGAAGAATCTCCACGTAGAGAGAGTTACATGTGGTCCAGGTCACGGTATCAGTATCGGAAGCCTTGGACGTTACACGATCGAGGAGCCTGTGGCCGGTATCTGGATCAAGAACTGTACACTCCAAGAGACTGATAATGGCCTCAGGATCAAGACCTACCCTTCTTCCGCCTCTTCGATCACAGTCTCTGACATCCATTTTGAGGATATTATCGTGAAGAATGTCTCCAATCCCATCCTCATCGATCAAGAGTATTGCCCTTGGAACAAATGCAACAAAGCCGTAAGTTTATTCTCTCTCTACATGGGCAATGATGAAACCCTAACCCTAGGGAGTTACTTGACTAACACGTCACCGATTTCATTTCTTGATGGTCAGAAACCTTCGACGGTGAAGCTGGTGAACATTAGTTTCAAGAGGATTAGAGGAACATCGGGGAACAAAGACGCAGTGAGGTTGTTGTGTAGCAAAGGAGTGCCGTGTACGAACGTGGAAGTAGGAGACATCGATCTGAGATACGGAGGAGCAGACGGTCCTGCAACTTTCGAGTGTTCGAACGTAACTCCCAAGCTCTCGGGAACTCAGTTCCCAAAGGCATGCAGTAGCCCCATGGTCAAACCTCTCAATGATGTCTGAATGATTCTCTCGAACGAACATGATCACTTCTTCTGTTCAGCCATCCATGGTAGCCTGATCATGTCCTATATGACCCGTTTTCTTTTTCTTTTTCTTTCCTCGCACCGTTACTTGAATTGTATCTGTCAAGATTTGCAAAATAAAACCTTGTTAAAACATATCAAAACTAAAGAAAAACCAAAAACCAAAACTAAATGACTAACTTATTATTTTTCAAGATCTAAAACTTTCAAAATCATATCGTTGATCCACCATCTTCATCATCATCATCCTCGTCTTCAATCATCATCATTTTGCGAAACTATCAAAACTTTAAATCTAAAGAATGTAATCAAACTCTTATACTATTTTAAGATTTGTGGAATAAAACCTCCATATTGCCCAACAGTACATGAAATTTGCTGCGCTTGTTCTTGTATTTCCAATGCTATTACAATTTGAAATGAGTTTTTTCAATAAATATTCTTTATTTTTTCATAATGAATCATGATTCATGAATAGTTTAACAATTATGTTTGCTATTTGTTTTTTATTTTTATTTTTTTATTGTATTAATAATTATTTAAAACTCTCCATAATTATTGATAGTGTTTCAATTAAACTTTACATTTCATAAAATATATTATTAAATCAATGAATTAAAAAAACATATGTACTTCTCTGTGAGGTTGCAAAATCAATTTGTTACCTAGAGTTTATATTTACAAATTAACCGTAAGTTCATATGGTAATTATTTCGATATTTATATTAAAAATAATATTTTAGAATTGAATTTTCAAAATCAAAGTTAAGGTGATATTGACATTTTTGTGTCTTATACAAAAACATAACTTCATTAAAATGGGCATTTACGGCTTCGGTCTATGTCTAAACGAGTTCAGCACCTGATGTAAATAGATTTTATTTTATTTTATTTTGGTTTTGTAGTTTTGGCTATATATTTAGTAGTCTTTTATTATAAAGACTGGGTTGGCTTTCATTTCACATTATAAGGATTGACGTGCATTGAAAATTTTCGATCATGGTCATTTTTTTTCCTTTCACAAAGCAAATATTTACTTGATTTTCTGAGTGAGATAGGAAGCTTGACTCTAAATCCGTCCGGTGTAGAAAAACCATAACCATTCGGTTTTTATATAAAATTTGGTTCGGTTCGGATTCGATTTTTTTGTTATTGTAAAAAAAATAATTTTTTCAAATAAATTGTCGGATTTTTCGGTTAATTTTTTAATCGGTTTGATTCGATTTTCGGGTTTAGAGAGATCATAATCATTCGATTTTTATGTTATGTTTGGTTCGATTATGGTTATGTCTTACTCGATTCGATTCGGCTATTCGGTTAATAACCAAAATGACCACCCTTACGCCGAACTACCTCACATTGGAACATGGTGAGCCGGATACTTAAATATTTGAAAGGGAATACCAAATAAAGGTCTATATGGATGCAACACAGCGAGGACACCGAAATAACAGCTTATCGTAATGTAGATTAGTTGAAGACACAATCAATCGAAAATCAACAAAAGGCTACTATACGTTCGGTGGAGGAAACCTTGTTACATGGAAAAACAAGAAATAAACAATGGGTCGAGTAAAGTTGAGTGCCGAGGGTGAGTATCGAGTCATGACAAGCACGATATGCCGCTTTTAGATGGTATCGACATCACAACTACTCAACCAACAACGCTATAACATTGCGACAATCAAGCGGCAATTCATGTCGTAGAGCAAACCCGGTATTTCGCGAGAGGACGAAAGATATCGAGGTCGATTGTCATCTCATATGAGAGAAAATAGATCAATGTTTCGTCTCCATCATGTAGCACCAAAAACTCTGAACAACTAGCAGATATCTTTACCAAAACCACTACCTAATCATTTGCTTGACGAACGCCTCAACAAGATTGGTCTTATCCATACCCGACAGCCAAACTTGAAAGGAAATGTTAAAACACATGAAGGTGATGTATTCATGGTCCAAGGGCTATAGCAGGACGAGAAACCGAACCAGAATGTGTTTCAGACAGATTACGTGCAGAACAAGCAATGATATCTCTCGGTCTCGGTTAATACAAGGCACGATCTCATGACGGGAAAAAATCCAAAAGAGCCGAAATCAACGAACAAAGTGACGTTATAGGGACTGATACACGAGAGAAATCAGACCGCATGGATCAAGCAAACATCCAACAGGAACATTAATTGCCTTATCCTTGTTTCATAGATTCCGTGTATAACCTTCTTGCCTCTCTTATATATGTTGTGTAATATGTTCAGAAAAAGGTAGATAAGGGTGTATACAAGACCAACAAGAAAACAGTCCTTTCCCTGACCGTCCATCGAGCTTTCTTACATGTTATGCTGTGTAATAATTTGTTCCCTGAATTATTGTTGTGCAACGGCAGTCATTCAAATACGTTATTAAAAAACTCTTAACAATTTCGTTGTCAAAACTAAAAGTTCTTTTTATAATCAGGATGCCCATCCCTTCTACCCGACTACATCCATTCTAGACCCGAGACTAGTCTTTGTATATAGACAATTTTGATTCAGAAATTACATCCCTCCCCACTAGTGGAATCGATCCCATGACCTTGAGGATGATTTTGTCACCTCTCATTCATTGGACCACCAAAGGTTGGGTATCAAAACTTATATAATGCACACGTGGTTTTTATAGCGAAAAAACACAAAACACGATTATATTTGAACAATTTAGACTTAAGAAATTTGAGAAAAAAAAAGTAGGTTCGTATTTTTATACGATTTGAGCTCGAAAAAAAATTGATATAAAAAAATCAGGTTTGACGAGCTCGTTGCGAGCTAACCCGCAAGCTCAGAAGTTGGTTCACGAGGCATAAAAAAATATTTAAAAATATTAATTATTATATTATCTTCTAAATATGATTATATATATATACACACACAATTGTTTTGCAATTTTGGTCATAATAAGAGGCTAAATTAGTTTTTGTTGAAATCGTCGCAAAATGGTATTAAAATGTAGGGAAAAAATTACGATTAAATTTTTCATCGTTTGATACGGTTATACTCGTTCAATGGAAATCGCAGTAACGGTAATTATCAGAATTTGTAATACAAGCAGTCAACCATGCAAACGGATGAACCCTAAAAAAAGAGGTAACAGTTCATACGTTTGGCGACATTCAAATTTTCAACAATTCTAATGATAGTAACGATTTGTTTGATCTTCCCAGGAGGCTCTATAAAACGGCAACACAAACATGGAAAAACAACACAACAAAAAAAAAATTCACCAAAAAAAAAAAAGTGAAGAGAAATGGCTGCGAAAACCCTAGCTTCTGTCTTATTTGCTCTGTATCTGTTGAGTTTCTCGGCAAATGCTGAAGTATTTGACATCAGAAAGTTCGGTACTGCTTCTGTTGGCTCCGACATTACCCAGGTAACTAAACGTTTCTTGCCTCTCAAGCAACCTCGATCCCGGTTCATGGAAACTGATTATTTCTTGCTCCGTTTTGGATTCCTCTTCGTATATCTGCAGGCTTTGAGGCAAGCATTCCAGGCTGCATGCCAGAACCCGCGCCCGAGCTCGGTGGTGATCCCGAAAGGAACGTACAAACTTGGGGAGATCGATATGGTCGGTCCCTGCAAAGCTCCAGTCGAGGTGACCGTTAACGGCCACTTGCAAGCCAACGGAAATGCCCTGGTTGGACGCGAGAAATGGGTCGTTTTCCGTTATATTAACGGCTTCAAACTGAATGGAGCTGGTATCTTTGATGGGCAAGGCAATGCTGCCTGGAAGTCGAATGATTGCCACAAGAATAACAACTGCAAGAAACTTCCAATCGTAAGTAACGACTCGTCATCTATCGCATGTAACCGTCTGTCTTATTTCACGGAAACTTACGGTCATCTTGCTTTGTCTCATTATGTTTTGTCTGCTGATGAAACAGAGCATAAGGTTCGACTTCGTGCTTAACGGTGAGGTTAGGGACATAACGTCGTTGGACGCAAAGAACTTCCACGTGAACGTTTTGGGCTGCAAGAACTTTACATTCGATAATGTGAAGATCAAGGCACCTGCCGAGAGCCCCAATACGGACGGAATCCATCTGGGGAGAAGTGATGGCGTCAACATCCTTAGATCTTTCATCTCGACAGGTGACGATTGTATCTCTGTCGGAGACGGGATGAAGAACCTCCACGTCGAGAGAGTTACTTGCGGTCCAGGTCACGGTATCAGTATCGGAAGCCTTGGACGTTACACGAACGAGGGGCCTGTGGCCGGTATCTGGATCAAGAACTGTACACTCCAAGAGACTGATAATGGCCTCAGGATCAAGACCTACCCTTCTTCCGCCTCTTCGATCACAGTCTCTGATATCCATTTTGAGGATATTATCGTGAAGAATGTCTTCAATCCCATCCTCATCGATCAGGAGTATTGCCCTTGGAACAAATGCAACAAAGCCGTAAGTTTATTCTCTCTCTGCATGGGCATGAAACCCTAATCCTAGGGAGTTACTTGACTAACACGTCACCGATTTATTTCTTGATGATCAGAAACCTTCGACGGTGAAGCTGGTGAACATTAGTTTCAAGAGGATCAGAGGAACATCGGGGAATAAAGACGCAGTGAGGCTGTTGTGTAGCAAAGCAGTGCCGTGTACGAACGTGGAAGTAGGAGACATCGATCTGAGATACGGAGGAGCGGACGGTCCTGCAACGTTCCAATGTTCGAACGTAACTCCCAAGCTCTCGGGAACTCAGTTCCCAAAGGCATGCAGCAGCGCCATGGTCAAACCCCTCAATGATGTCTGAATGATTCTCTCGAACGAATCGATCACTTCTTCTCCGGTTCAACCATCGATGAATATTATGGTGCAGGAGCTGATCATGTCGTATGATCCGATTTCTATCTCTCTTTTTTTTCCCCTCATATGGCTACTTGGATCGTACATGAAATTTGATGCACTTGTTCTTGTACTTCCTAAGCTATTACATTTTGTAATGATTTTTTTTAATAAATATTCTTTATTTTTAATTATGAATATAAAGAGTTTAATTATTACGTTTGCTATTTTTTTTCTTATTGTATTAAATTTTTTTGTTAGAATTATTGTACTAAAATTCTTTAAGCTCTCCATAATTCTTAATGATGGTTCAATTAAACTTGAATTTTCATACAATAAGTTATTAAATCCATGAAAAAAACATATTTACTTCTTTGTAAAGTTCTAAAATTTTTGGCGCTTAGAGTTTAGTATTTTAAAATTACGAGTTAACCATAAGTTCATACGGTAATTATTTCGGTAATTTACGTGAAAATAATATTTAAAATTTTAATTTTGAAATTCGATATCAAAGTGATATTTTGTCATTTTTGTGTCTTATAGAAAACATACTACATTAAAATGGGCATTTTGTCTGCTTAGGCCTATATCCGACGAGTTCAATAATTGATGTAAATGAATTTTATTTTATTTCTGTTTTTTTACAAATTATTTTTATTTTATTTCTGTTTTGTATTTTCTTTAAACTGTTTTGTATTTTTTGGTTATATATTAGTGCAAGCTTTCATTATGACTTACCAAAAGTAAATTCTCTTACGTGTCATCGGTCTCAAAATGTGTGTATTTTAATTATCCTTCAAATATTTATTTATTTGATTAGTTTTATGTTAAATTTTTCTATCCAATCAATTTTTGTTGTTTATCATGAATTTTAATCATACAAATTACAATTTTTCAAAATTACAATTGCTCGACGTGTCCTACGTTCGAATATTGAAAAATATATTTATTTATTTGATGAGTTTTATGTTAAATTTTTCTATCCAATCAATTTTAGGATTTAGATTAAATAAGGTCTATTTATACATTTTTATTCTTTTTAAATGAGAATGAAATAAAGAGGCTCTTAAAATGTTACATACTAGCTTAAATAACATTACACCCACTAGCGGTGTCAATCGGTTTCGGCCTGACCTAGCTCAAGTCCACACTCGGTATGAGGGTTTTGGGTTTAGTTCCGAATTCGTATCTACTCGTTTTATCTGCAGGCTTTGAGGCAAGCATTCCAGGCTGCATGCCAGAACCCGCGCCCGAGCTCGGTGGTGATCCCGAAAGGAACGTACAAACTTGGGGAGATCGATATGGTCGGTCCCTGCAAAGCTCCAGTCGAGGTGACCGTTAACGGCCACTTGCAAGCCAACGGAAATGCCCTGGTTGGACGCGAGAAATGGGTCGTTTTCCGTTATATTAACGGCTTCAAACTGAATGGAGCTGGTATCTTTGATGGGCAAGGCAATGCTGCCTGGAAGTCGAATGATTGCCACAAGAATAACAACTGCAAGAAACTTCCAATCGTAAGTAACGACTCGTCATCTATCGCATGTAACCGTCTGTCTTATTTCACGGAAACTTACGGTCATCTTGCTTTGTCTCATTATGTTTTGTCTGCTGATGAAACAGAGCATAAGGTTCGACTTCGTGCTTAACGGTGAGGTTAGGGACATAACGTCGTTGGACGCAAAGAACTTCCACGTGAACGTTTTGGGCTGCAAGAACTTTACATTCGATAATGTGAAGATCAAGGCACCTGCCGAGAGCCCCAATACGACGGAATCCATCTGGGGAGAAGTGATGGCGTCAACATCCTTAGATCTTTCATCTCGACAGGTGACGATTGTATCTCTGTCGGAGACGGGATGAAGAACCTCCACGTCGAGAGAGTTACTTGCGGTCCAGGTCACGGTATCAGTATCGGAAGCCTTGGACGTTACACGAACGAGGGGCAAAAGTGAAGAGAAATGGCTGCGAAAACCCTAGCATCTGTCTTATTTGCTCTGTATCTGTTTAGTTTCTGGGCAAATGCTGAAGTATTTGACATCAGAAAGTTCGGTACTGCTTCTGTTGGCTCCGACATTACCCAGGTAACTAAACGTTTCTTGCCTCTCAAGCAACCTCGATCCCGGTTCATGGAAACTGATTATTTCTTGCTCCGTTTTGGATTCCTCTTCGTATATCTGCAGGCTTTGAGGCAAGCATTCCAGGCTGCATGCCAGAACCCGCGCCCGAGCTCGGTGGTGATCCCGAAAGGAACGTACAAACTTGGGGAGATCGATATGGTCGGTCCCTGCAAAGCTCCAGTCGAGGTGACCGTTAACGGCCACTTGCAAGCCAACGGAAATGCCCTGGTTGGACGCGAGAAATGGGTCGTTTTCCGTTATATTAACGGCTTCAAACTGAATGGAGCTGGTATCTTTGATGGGCAAGGCAATGCTGCCTGGAAGTCGAATGATTGCCACAAGAATAACAACTGCAAGAAACTTCCAATCGTAAGTAACGACTCGTCATCTATCGCATGTAACCGTCTGTCTTATTTCACGGAAACTTACGGTCATCTTGCTTTGTCTCATTATGTTTTGTCTGCTGATGAAACAGAGCATAAGGTTCGACTTCGTGCTTAACGGTGAGGTTAGGGACATAACGTCGTTGGACGCAAAGAACTTCCACGTGAACGTTTTGGGCTGCAAGAACTTTACATTCGATAATGTGAAGATCAAGGCACCTGCCGAGAGCCCCAATACGACGGAATCCATCTGGGGAGAAGTGATGGCGTCAACATCCTTAGATCTTTCATCTCGACAGGTGACGATTGTATCTCTGTCGGAGACGGGATGAAGAACCTCCACGTCGAGAGAGTTACTTGCGGTCCAGGTCACGGTATCAGTATCGGAAGCCTTGGACGTTACACGAACGAGGGGCAAAAGTGAAGAGAAATGGCTGCGAAAACCCTAGCATCTGTCTTATTTGCTCTGTATCTGTTTAGTTTCTGGGCAAATGCTGAAGTATTTGACATCAGAAAGTTCGGTACTGCTTCTGTTGGCTCCGACATTACCCAGGTAACTAAACGTTTCTTGCCTCTCAAGCAACCTCGATCCCGGTTCATGGAAACTGATTATTTCTTGCTCCGTTTTGGATTCCTCTTCGTATATCTGCAGGCTTTGAGGCAAGCATTCCAGGCTGCATGCCAGAACCCGCGCCCGAGCTCGGTGGTGATCCCGAAAGGAACGTACAAACTTGGGGAGATCGATATGGTCGGTCCCTGCAAAGCTCCAGTCGAGGTGACCGTTAACGGCCACTTGCAAGCCAACGGAAATGCCCTGGTTGGACGCGAGAAATGGGTCGTTTTCCGTTATATTAACGGCTTCAAACTGAATGGAGCTGGTATCTTTGATGGGCAAGGCAATGCTGCCTGGAAGTCGAATGATTGCCACAAGAATAACAACTGCAAGAAACTTCCAATCGTAAGTAACGACTCGTCATCTATCGCATGTAACCGTCTGTCTTATTTCACGGAAACTTACGGTCATCTTGCTTTGTCTCATTATGTTTTGTCTGCTGATGAAACAGAGCATAAGGTTCGACTTCGTGCTTAACGGTGAGGTTAGGGACATAACGTCGTTGGACGCAAAGAACTTCCACGTGAACGTTTTGGGCTGCAAGAACTTTACATTCGATAATGTGAAGATCAAGGCCCCTGCCGAGAGCCCCAATACGACGGAATCCATCTGGGGAGAAGTGATGGCGTCAACATCCTTAGATCTTTCATCTCGACAGGTGACGATTGTATCTAGATCGGAGACGGGATGAAGAACCTCCACGTCGAGAGAGTTACTTGCGGTCCAGGTCACGGTATCAGTATCGGAAGCCTTGGACGTTACACAAACGAGGGGCCTGTGGCCGGTATCTGGATCAAGAACTGTACACTCCAAGAGACTGATAATGGCCTCAGGATCAAGACCTACCCTTCTTCCGCCTCTTCGATCACAGTCTCTGATATCCATTTTGAGGATATTATCGTGAAGAATGTCTTCAATCCCATCCTCATCGATCAGGAGTATTGCCCTTGGAACAAATGCAACAAAGCCGTAAGTTTATTCTCTCTCTGCATGGGCATGAAACCCTAATCCTAGGGAGTTACTTGACTAACACGTCACCGATTTCATTTCTTGATGGTCAGAAACCTTCGACGGTGAAGCTGGTGAACATTAGTTTCAAGAGGATCAGAGGAACATCGGGGAATAAAGACGCAGTGAGGCTGTTGTGTAGCAAAGCAGTGCCGTGTACGAACGTGGAAGTAGGAGACATCGATCTGAGATACGGAGGAGCGGACGGTCCTGCAACGTTCCAATGTTCGAACGTAACTCCCAAGCTCTCGGGAACTCAGTTCCCAAAGGCATGCAGCAGCGCCATGGTCAAACCCCTCAATGATGTCTGAATGATTCTCTCGAACGAATCGATCACTTCTTCTCCGGTTCAACCATCGATGAATATTATGGTGCAGGAGCTGATCATGTCGTATGATCCGATTTCTATCTCTCTTTTTTTTCCCCTCATATGGCTACTTGGATCGTACATGAAATTTGATGCACTTGTTCTTGTACTTCCTAAGCTATTACATTTTGTAATGATTTTTTTTAATAAATATTCTTTATTTTTAATTATGAATATAAAGAGTTTAATTATTACGTTTGCTATTTTTTTTCTTATTGTATTAAATTTTTTTGTTAGAATTATTGTACTAAAATTCTTTAAGCTCTCCATAATTCTTAATGATGGTTCAATTAAACTTGAATTTTCATACAATAAGTTATTAAATCCATGAAAAAAACATATTTACTTCTTTGTAAAGTTCTAAAATTTTTGGCGCTTAGAGTTTAGTATTTTAAAATTACGAGTTAACCATAAGTTCATACGGTAATTATTTCGGTAATTTACGTGAAAATAATATTTAAAATTTTAATTTTGAAATTCGATATCAAAGTGATATTTTGTCATTTTTGTGTCTTATAGAAAACATACTACATTAAAATGGGCATTTTGTCTGCTTAGGCCTATATCCGACGAGTTCAATAATTGATGTAAATGAATTTTATTTTATTTCTGTTTTTTTACAAATTATTTTTATTTTATTTCTGTTTTGTATTTTCTTTAAACTGTTTTGTATTTTTTGGTTATATATTAGTGCAAGCTTTCATTATGACTTACCAAAAGTAAATTCTCTTACGTGTCATCGGTCTCAAAATGTGTGTATTTTAATTATCCTTCAAATATTTATTTATTTGATTAGTTTTATGTTAAATTTTTCTATCCAATCAATTTTTGTTGTTTATCATGAATTTTAATCATACAAATTACAATTTTTCAAAATTACAATTGCTCGACGTGTCCTACGTTCGAATATTGAAAAATATATTTATTTATTTGATGAGTTTTATGTTAAATTTTTCTATCCAATCAATTTTTGTTGTTTATCATGAATTTTAATCATACAAATTACAATTTTTCAAAATTACAATTGCTCGACGTGTCCTACGTTCGAATATTGAAAAATATATTTATTTATTTGATGAGTTTTATGTTAAATTTTTCTATCCAATCAATTTTTGTTGTTTATCATGAATTTTAATCATACAAATTACAATTTTTCAAAATTACAATTGCTCGACGTGTCCTACGTTCGAATATTGAAAAATATATTTATTTATTTGATGAGTTTTATGTTAAATTTTTCTATCCAATCAATTTTAGGATTTAGATTAAATAAGGTCTATTTATACATTTTTATTCTTTTTAAATGAGAATGAAATAAAGAGGCTCTTAAAATGTTACATACTAGCTTAAATAACATTACACCCACTAGCGGTGTCAATCGGTTTCGGCCTGACCTAGCTCAAGTCCACACTCGGTATGAGGGTTTTGGGTTTAGTTCCGAATTCGTATCTACTCGTTTTTTTACCTATATAATCAAATTCGAAACTCGATCCTATATATTTTGGATTCGGATTGGGTTGGATGCCGGAGGATCCACTCAAATTTGATGCCCTGGTTGGACGCGAGAAATGGGTCGTTTTCCGTTATATTAACGGCTTCAAACTGAATGGAGCTGGTATCTTTGATGGGCAAGGCAATGCTGCCTGGGAGGCGGATGTGTGGACCTGCGGCAATCGCCCTGCGACCTGCGACTATTGCCCTGCGACTCGCGAACCTGCGGATCTGCGGCCTACGACTGTGATTTCACTACAACCATATAACTATGACTACGACTCAATACGACCATATAACTACAACTATGACCAGATAATTACGACTGTAATTTCATTACGACCATATAACTACAACTCACTACGACCATATAACTATGACTATGACCAGATAATTACGATTGTGGTTTCACTATGACCATATAACTACGACTACGACCAGTTAATTACGACTGTAATTTCACTAGGACCATATAACTACGAATACGACCAGATAATTACGACTGTGATTTCACTACAACTATCTTTTAGAAATCGGAACGTTTTGTTATTTGATCTTATTTTTTCTCCAACATTTTCTCTAACTCTAGGTCCGGGATCAACTTTTGTATATAGACCATTTTGATCCAGAAATTATACATGCCTCCCCACCAGTGGAGTCGAACCCATGACCTCGAGTATGATTTTGTCACCTCACAGCCAATCGACCACCAACTGTTGGGTATCAAAACTAAAAGTTATATGATGCACACATCGTTTTTGTAGCGAAAAAACACAAAACACGATTATATTTGAACAATTTAGACTTAAGAAATTTGAGCAAAAAAAAAAGTAGGTTCGTATTTTTATACGATTTGAGCTCGAAAAAAAATTGATATAAAAAAATCAGGTTTGACGAACTCGTTGCAAGCTAACCCGCAAGCTCAGAAGTTGGTTCACGAGGCATAAAAAAATAATTTAAAATATTAATTATTATATTATTTTCTAAATATGATTATATATATATACACACAATTGTTTTGTAATTTTGGTTATAATAAGAGGCTAAAATAGTTTTTGTTGAAATCGTTTACGATTAAATTTTTCATCGTTTGATTCGGTTATACTCGTTCAATGGAAATCGCAGTAACGGTAATTATCAGAATTTGTAATACAAGCAGTCAACCATGCAAACGGATGAACCCTAAAAAAAGAGGTAACAGTTCATACGTTTGGCGACATTCAAATTTTCAACAATTCTAATGATAGTAACGATTTGTTTGATCTTCCCAGGAGGCTCTATAAAGCGGCAACACAAACATGGAAAAACAACACAACAAAAAAAAACTTCAAAAAAAAAAAAAGAGAGTGAAGAGAAATGGCTGCGAAAACCCTAGCATCTGTCTTATTTGCTCTGTATCTGTTTAGTTTCTGGGCAAATGCTGAAGTATTTGACATCAGAAAGTTCGGTACTGCTTCTGTTGGCTCCGACATTACCCAGGTAACTAAACGTTTCTTGCCTCTCAAGCAACCTCGATCCCGGTTCATGGAAACTGATTATTTCTTGCTCCGTTTTGGATTCCTCTTCGTATATCTGCAGGCTTTGAGGCAAGCATTCCAGGCTGCATGCCAGAACCCGCGCCCGAGCTCGGTGGTGATCCCGAAAGGAACGTACAAACTTGGGGAGATCGATATGGTCGGTCCCTGCAAAGCTCCAGTCGAGGTGACCGTTAACGGCCACTTGCAAGCCAACGGAAATGCCCTGGTTGGACGCGAGAAATGGGTCGTTTTCCGTTATATTAACGGCTTCAAACTGAATGGAGCAGGTATCTTTGATGGGCAAGGCAATGCTGCCTGGAAGTCGAATGATTGCCACAAGAATAACAACTGCAAGAAACTTCCAATCGTAAGTAACGACTCGTCATCTATCGCATGTAACCGTCTGTCTTATTTCACGGAAACTTACGGTCATCTTTCTTTGTCTCGTTATGTTTTGTCTGCTGATGAAACAGAGCATAAGGTTCGACTTCGTGCTTAACGGTGAGGTTAGGGACATAACGTCGTTGGACGCCAAGAACTTCCACGTGAACGTTTTGGGCTGCAAGAACTTTACATTCGATAATGTGAAGATCAAGGCACCTGCCGAGAGCCCCAACACGGACGGAATCCATCTGGGGAGAAGTGATGGCGTCAACATCCTTAGATCTTTCATCTCGACAGGTGACGATTGTATCTCTGTCGGAGACGGGATGAAGAACCTCCACGTCGAGAGAGTTACTTGCGGTCCAGGTCACGGTATCAGTATCGGAAGCCTTGGACGTTACACGAACGAGGGGCCTGTGGCCGGTATCTGGATCAAGAACTGTACACTCCAAGAGACTGATAATGGCCTCAGGATCAAGACCTACCCTTCTTCCGCCTCTTCGATCACAGTCTCTGATATCCATTTTGAGGATATTATCGTGAAGAATGTCTTCAATCCCATCCTCATCGATCAGGAGTATTGCCCTTGGAACAAATGCAACAAAGCCGTAAGTTTATCTCTCTCTGCATGGGCATGAAACCCTAATCCTAGGGAGTTACTTGACTAACACGTCACCGATTTATTTCTTGATGATCAGAAACCTTCGACGGTGAAGCTGGTGAACATTAGTTTTAAGAGGATCAGAGGAACATCGGGGAATAAAGACGCAGTGAGGCTGTTGTGTAGCAAAGCAGTGCCGTGTACGAACGTGGAAGTAGGAGACATCGATCTGAGATACGGAGGAGCGGACGGTCCTGCAACGTTCCAATGTTCGAACGTAACTCCCAAGCTCTCGGGAACTCAGTTCCCAAAGGCATGCAGCAGCGCCATGGTCAAACCCCTCAATGATGTCTGAATGATTCTCTCGAACGAATCGATCACTTCTTCTCTGGTTCAACCATCGATGAATATTATGGTGCAGGAGCTGATCATGTCGTATGATCCGATTTCTATCTCTTTTTTTTCCCTCATATGGTTACTTGGATCGTACATGAAATTTGATGCACTTGTTCTTGTACTTCCTAAGCTATTACATTTTGTAATGATTTTTTTTTTAATAAATATTCTTTATTTTTAATTATGAATATAAAGAGTTTAATTATTACGTTTGCTATTTTTTTTCTTATTGTATTAAATTTTTTTGTTAGAATTATTGTACTAAAATTCTTTAAGCTCTCCATAATTCTTAATGATGGTTCAATTAAACTTGAATTTTCATACAATAAGTTATTAAATCCATGAAAAAAACATATTTACTTCTTTGTAAAGTTCTAAAAATTTTGGCGATTAGAGTTTAGTATTTTAAAATTACGAGTTAACCATAAGTTCATACGGTAATTATTTCGGTAATTTACGTGAAAATAATATTTAAAAATTTAATTTTGAAATTCGATATCAAAGTGATATTTTGTCATTTTTGTGTCTCATAGAAAACATACTACATTAAAATGGGCATTTTGTCTGCTTAGGCCTATATCCGACGAGTTCAATAATTGATGTAAATGGATTTTATTTTATTTCTGTTTTGTATTTTTTGGTTATATATTAGTACAAGCTTTCATTATAAGACTTACCAAAAGTAAATTCTCTTACGTGTCATCGGTCTCAAAATGTGTGTATTTTAATTATCCTTAAAATATTTATTTATTTGATTAGTTTTATGTTAAATTTTTCTATCCAATCAATTTTTGTTGTTTATCATGAATTTTAATTATACAAATTACAATTGCTCGACGAGTCCTACGTTCGAATATTGAAAAAAATATATTTATTTATTTGATGAGTTTTATGTTAAATTTTTCTATCCAATCAATTTTAGGATTTAGATTAAATAAGGTCTATTTATACATTTTTATCTCTTTTTAAATGAGAATGAAATAAAGAGGCTCTTAAAATGTTACATACTAGCTTAAATAACGTTACACCCACCTAGCGGTGTCAATCGGTTCGGTCCGACCCAGCTCGAGTCTACACTCGGTATGAGAATTTCGGGTTTAATTCTGAATTCGTACCTACCCATTCTTTTGGACCTATATAATCAAATTCGAAACTCGACCCTATATATTTTGGATTCGAATCGGGTTGGATGCTGGACGGACCCACTCAAATTGCATTGTAAAGTTATTTTTGAAAAAAAAATCGGGCTTTCAATATATTCGTAATATATGTTATTATAAATCCTTTGAAAAATTCTAATTCACATTCATTTATTGTAAAATACACATCACTCATTTCATCATATCCAAAAAAATAGTAAATTTATAATAAATTAATGAATCTTCATGAACAAACAGATAATGTATTATTTATTTATTTGTAGAAGATATATGATATTCTTATAGATTTAAATATTTTGGTAATTTAGCCGTTTTAATTATTAAATCAAAGCTTATAATGCGAGAAATTTTTCTGCTACACTCTGTCTGCTTACACGCTCTTAAAAACATTTTACGTGCGAAAATTAATTAAAAAAAAAGCCCTCTTAAAATATTTTCCCTCCAAAATTTGAAAAATTCAGAGCTCCCCCCGAAAAAGTTTCCTTTTTTCTTTAATGTAAAAAGCGCCTCCACGACGAATCTTCTCCTCCACCCTTCTTCCATCTTCAACCTCTGGATCTGTGTGTATATATACACCTTCGACGACAGCTCGTCACTCTATACCCAATTTATCAATCGAATTTCCATCTCTTCATTGGTTTTCTGTTTTTCTAATATTTGGGGTTTTCTAAAGCTGTCATCCATGGCGTCCTTCAAGGCTTCGCTTTTGCTCAGTTCCATCGATGGTGACTATTCCAGAGATGCTGCTTTCGGACAGAACCGTCGAGGGGCCGGTGCGGTTCATGTTATTGTGGGCCCCATGTTCGCAGGGAAGTCCACTGCTCTGCTTCGCCGGATCAAATCGGAGATCAGCGATGGACGGTAAGTTTCGCCGTGATCGCGCCTTTTTCGCAGATTTGAAATATAATCGACCTGGTTTCGGCTCAATTTTGATGGGCATGGTTCGGAGTTTTATTTTGTATGATTTTTGGTTATGTAGAAACGTTGCGATGATAAAATCGAGCAAGGATACAAGATATGCGAAGGATTCGGTGGTCACACACGATGGAATCAAATTCTCTTGCTGGGCTTTGCCAGATCTTATGTCGTTTGCTGAGAAGTTTGGAGATGATGCTTATTCCAAGGTAAAACCCATGTTCGTGAATCTCCATAATCTGAGACTTTTTGCATCAGTCATCGCGTTTGGTATATGTGGAGTATGTCCAGTTGTTTGGAGATTTTTATGGACATGATTGGTCTTGTAACGAGGTTAGATCTGTCTGTGCGTTAGTGTTTTTTGGAATTAGGGATCGAAGAATTACTGATATATTTCTACGGGAGCGCATAATTTTGCTTCTCGAGGGTCTCGATCTGGAAAGATTTTAATAAAAGGGTCTCCCTTTTATTCATAATTGTTGGCAGCTTGATGTGATTGGAATCGATGAGGCTCAGTTCTTTGGAGATCTTTACGATTTCTGCTGCAAGGTTGCTGATGAAGATGGAAAAACAGTGATTGTAGCAGGCCTAGACGGCGACTATTTGAGGTGCTACATTGTGATTGATATCGAAAACCTCTGTTTTCCTCTTGATTCTATGCTCCGAATTCCCAGAAATCTTTGCTTCATATTAGCTAACTCTAATGATTTGAATCTGATTTTGGCTCTGCAGAAGAAGCTTCGGTTCCGTTCTTGACATTATACCGATCGCTGATACAGTGACAAAGTTAACTGCCCGGTGTGAGCTTTGTGGCCATAAGGCTTTCTTCACTCTGAGAAAGACCTGTGACACTCAGACAGAACTGATAGGTGGAGCTGATGTCTACATGCCTGTATGTCGCCAGCATTACATCAATGGCCAAGTTGTCATCAAAGCTACAAAGAAAATATTGGAAACTGACATTGCCGAACCCGAAACCCTCAAGGAGACTCTTGCTGCAGCCTAACTCTAGTTGTTGTCATAGAAGAAACATTATGGTCTTTCTTGATTTTAGTCTGTGTTTCACTTTACTCATCTGGGTTTCTCTCTTTTTCTTCAGAAAACATTTTTTATACTACCTTGATGTATATACAGTGAAGTATGATGAATTCAAAATGCGGCTTTGTTATCTACAAGCTGTTGGTACATATTTCATATTTCATCCCTCTGCCATCTATTCACCTGCTTTTCTCTTTGATCTTCTACTTCCGAACAAGGTTACCTGTCTGAGAACCCGAAGCAGCCTATTGGCATACTTCCTCTGCGAAGTAAATGTTACAGACCCGATACAACCCGTTACTTCCCCGAAGGAATTCCTGTTCTTACTCAATGATCTCTTCTCCAGGCCAAGTGGTTTAACCCTTTGGACCTTTGGCTCTGTTCTTTCCAGGTCGTTATGGGACTGAAGGCTTTTCTTCAAGGAGATGAGTTGATGTTCGAGGTTCTGGATTCTGAAGCTCGTGGACTCATACTCCTCTATCGTTGCGTCTTTCCTCATCAAGAGGCCTAAGGGTCTGCTTCTCGGCATTATCGCTTCATCGGTGCAGGGGCTCTCATTGCAGTTCAAGGGTTTTGATCTTGGAAGACTACCAGAGAAGTCTCCATTGTTTATGAACCGAAACGAGTCTGAGCATTCTTTGAAGGCTTGGTGTGTATTCAGCTGCTGGACAAAGAGAGCCTTTACGATTAATCGTAGTGGCATCAGCTCGTTCTGAACGACTTCAATGGACGCCTCTTGCGACAGTTTTTGGCAGCTTAGGTAACTGCAGACCGAGCTCTTTTCATCGTGAGAAATTCCTCTGTGCACCTAATAAGAAGAAGAGACAGTTTCAGAACAGATTCAGCCTTCAAAATTCGGTTACTGGAAAAAAGATTGAATCATGCATCAAAGACAAACCTGAAGAAACGCGTTCACTGCACGGTAGAGTTGATCATGGCTCTGTCTGAATGACATAGGCACTGTCTCAACAAGCTCGGTGAACCTAGTCGGTTCCATTTCTGCATCATTTGCCACACGAGAGAGGTAAATGTCCCACAATTTAGCAACTTTCCAGTTGCTTATTGAGGGAGTAATGTCGGAATCTGTATGAGACGATATGTATTTTGAGAATATGCTTTCCATGGTAGGCAGCTCCTGATCGAATGCAACTTGCCCTCTCCTGGTTTCTGGGTAGAGAAAATCTTCGACGTGGGCGGTATGCAGATGAGAAACTATATGATCCTGCAGCTTCGACACGGTTTTGCAACTCAGCCCGAGTTTCAGCAGTTTGGAGAGGCACGCAAAGTAAAATCCAACAGGAACAGCCCTACATGTCTTCTCTTTTGCCAGAAGGAGATCCAGAGTTCCTTGCAGAACATCACTGACTTGGTAAGTGGTTAGATCATTGCTGTCTTCTGAAATCACCCATTTGTTTGCATAGAACACAACTAACGGGCTAACATACTTCTCTTTCATCCCTTGTCTTCTCAACGAGCCGATAACCCGTTTGAAGAATCCGAATGGAAGATCAATGAGGTCTCTGATCCATATATCCTGGCCAATGATTTTCTCTGCTGCTCTATATCTCCATGGCTGATTTTCAAAACCTTCGAGCATAACAACCGGCTTTTCCCGTCTTCTTTCCGGATCGAGAATCTCCATGCATGCCATAAATGCCAGAGACTCTATGCATCGGCTGACGATTAGTAAATCTTCAGACCAAGGCAATAGATCCCGACATTTCATCAGGACAAGGATTGTGTCGTCCCAGTTTTGCAGGACCACTTGGTTGAGGTAAAGGTCGAATCTTTCACAGAGGTTTCCCGCCTTCTGATCTTCCTTCAAGTCAAGAAATTCTGCTGCGCATCTGAGAGCCGCTACATTGAAAGGGTCGATAAAAAATGGGCAGCCATAGATGAACAGGGTAATCATCTCGAAGATCTCGGGTCCACCAGGGAAGTCAGGAGCAAGCTCGATCTCGGATATCTGATCCTCCCTTTTCTTGAAGTATCCGCTCTTCAAGAACAGAGGGTTCTGCGTAACAAAGAGAAGTGAAATTAGGCTAAAACCTCGAATTTCAGACAATAAGAACACTTTTCTTCTCATGAACTCTCTGAATCATCATCATTTAGTGTTATACCCTGTGAAGGTTGAAACTCTTGTCTCGAACTCGAACACGCAAAGAAGCAGGAAGACCGGTCTCCTGGCTCCTGAGACAGATACACACACACACATAAGCATAGAAACATGAAAAGATTTGAAGGAAAATTCAGATTTCTGCAGCATAAAACAGAGGATCATACCAGGAGAGAACCTTGATCTTCAAAAGGGTACTGATATTCGGAGAAGAAAGTGGGCTGGACGTGACCGATGAACCATCTCTGAAGCTGGAAGCTTCCATTACTGAAACTCAGAGAAAGCAGAGAGAGAGATTCAACGGGCAAGCTGGTGATGGTGAGACTACAGACATCTGGTCACAGCCCCCATTTATTATAGTTCTTATGAATGAAAATGCTGAAGGAAACTTGCGTGTTTCAGGGAACGAAGAAAAAGGGGAAAGGGGGTTTAGGATCCACAAAACCAGTGGAAGCAATTGAAGAGTGAGTCTTTGTTTCAGTTTCATCAAACACACACACACACACATACACACGTGTGTGTGTATATGCGGTAAGGTCAAAGTCAGATAGATTGCACACGAGTGTTGAGCTCAAAAAAATATAATAACCCAAAGTTCAAGGCTTGAAAACGTTCCTCGAGTGTTGAGAACATGTTGAAAATCTTGCCCTATTTTTTTTTTCTTTTAGAGGAATAATTTGATATAATTATAATTAATGTAATTCGATACTATATTTTTTTATCAATGTAATTTTCAATGATTAGTATTATTATTACAACTAACTACGTAATTCAATGGTATAATTATTAAAATTTTAACTAATAAATCATTGAAAAAAATTAGTACATTGCTTGTTAATAAAGTGTGGAAAATGGAGTGGTCGTACGTGCACAAGTTGAGGGTGGTGAAGTGCGGGTGAAGTTTTTCTGGCCAAAACGAGACGGGACTCTCATCCCAATAACCAAAACGGCACGGTTTGTGGAGAAAAAGCGTGTAGGAACATTGAACGTCGCGTCGTTTCCCCATCTCGCATCCCCAAAAAACCCCTTCCTTCTTTTTATTGCTTCCACGACAAGTAACCAACCCTCTCTCTAGGAAAAGTTTGAAACTACGACTTCTCATAGATTTAATTAAAATAAAGATTATCATTCATGTATCGTTTTATAAAAATGTATACATTTGAAAATTTCCATATAATACATTAATTTGTAAAACAAACCGTAGAAAAATAAATAACTCAAATTTTGCCATCTTTTAAATATGTATGAGAAATATGATTTTCTTGAACTTTTTTTTCCCTAAAATATACCTTGTGCAAAGTGTTCCATGGGAAAATAAAGGCTATGTAAATTCATGTATTTTGTTTTATTTTATTATGCTTATCAAAATTGTGTTAATAAATTTTATTCATTTATTCATATATAATCATCTCAAATATATAGTGTTTTTGTAATAACGGTCTTAACAAGTGGCAAAGTGGTAAAAAAAACAATGCCTCTGAAAAGCGAAGGTGACAAGAATATATAGTATGAGCAATGCCCATTAACGTGCATATAATAAATCGTGAAAGAATTAATAATGTATTTTGATTTTGCAATTAGTAATTTGTTAAACTGTTAAGAAACTCAATCTATGACCATACATACCCCTTCAAATGTATTGGTCTACAACAGCAGTTCAATTAGTGGAAGACTCAGAAAAAATCTATAGAATATTAGAATGAGACAATAATTTTATACATATAATTTTATAGAGTCAAATTTTATTTTTATGTATGCATTTGATAAATTTATTCATAATTTTATAAAATTTATAAAAAAATTAATATTTTTTACTTAATTATATGGGCCTGTGACCCAATCAAACGTAGATCCGCCCATTATTCACAACTCAACCCATGTCATGCAGTGTCGTAATCAAATAAAAATGTGAGGAGTGGACGTTTTAACCGTACCGAATCAAATATCTCGGTATTAGTATCGAATCGTATTATTCAAAATAAACAATATATTTTTATATAACCGAATTTATCAAAACCAAATCGAACCAAACCAAATTTTATAAAATTTTCAAAAAACCAAAATTTTCTTAATAAAATCTATTTTTTTTAACAAAAATCGAAATAGAACCGTAATGAAACTGGAACCGAATAATATACGGTACTAATTTGCTACAAATTTTAAAATACCGACAGGGCAAGACGAGGAAAGAGAAACTACGGACGAAGAAATAAACTTCGAGCCTCTCGTCGCCTCGACTCGGATTATCCGCAGATAAAGATAATCGTCCACCAAACCCCAATCCAATTCTAAAAGATCGGGCTTTCATCGTCCCTACATTCGCACTTGTCCCGCAAACAAACGGGTATCCGTATCGTAAATACCCGACTCACAGATCGAGTGTTCAAAATTTCGAGCATGACAACATTTCAGAAGAAGCGTTTCAACCGCATACAAAGCACATTACCATGGCTGGTTAGGACTATCTCTTACAGAAGGCGACCTTGAATTATGAACCATGCTCCTGACCTCGAGACGCTCCTCACGCTCTCCGGAGTGCCCCCACCAGGTGTTGCTCCAATTTACCTGCTTCCCACGCCCTTCAAATAATCTACAACTGCGCATCTCGGATTTGAAATGTGTCGCCGGTTTTCACCGCCTGGATCCAATCGAGCCTGCCCCTAAGCTTCGATATGTCCGGAAAGTAATCGCGCTCGATGATCATCTTCTCGATCGCTGCAACGTACGTATCCCTAGGTCACTGCCTAGGGTTGTACTGTGTGATTGCCGATGAAGAACTTCCAGTGGTCGTTCGGATGGCGTCGTCCGGGCACGACGACGGCGACGGAGAAGATATCTGCCGCGGAGGATGACCAGGTCATAGAAGCATCTAGAAGCAGAAAATTCCGACTTCAAATTCTGGAATCGAAGATACTTTGATCGAAAAATCCAGAAATTAGGGTTTAATCGGGGAGAAAACGAAGTGGACTCAAGTAGATCAAGGCGGCTTTCATCAATCTGTTTAAACGCGTTAAAAAATCTTCCAGATTATTGTGGAAGCACCCCTATATTTGTTAATAATTATATTTACAACCCAATAGGAAGGTTAATCCCATAAAAAATTTTAAAGTTGTTAAAATGCTCCATATAAAATCCTAAATTTGTAATCTCCTACCAAAAACTCTGAATTTGGTAAAAACTTTTACAAAAACTACAAACTTAACATTTTCTTCTATATAAAACATTTGACTTGTTTGACCAAAAATTTTGTTGACGTGACACGATAGATTACTGAAATGGCGTTGACCGAGTTGTCACGTCAACGTCACGTTATCATTTTAAAAATTAAAATATTTGGTAAAAAAATATATATATACAAATATATATGTAAATTTATATGTTTGATTTAAAATTAAATATATTTATATATATGTAAATTTATATATTTGATTAAAATATTTGTATATTTTAAAATTTAAATTACAAACTTAATATATATATACCAATATATATATATACATATATATATATTTGATAAAAAAAAAATATATATGTATGTATGAATATAGGTATATGTATATATATTTGTATATTTAAAATTTTAAATTACAAACTTAATATATATACAAATATATATGTATATATATTTCACCAAAATGATGACATGGCACTGACGTGACAATTCAGTTAACGACATATCAATTATCAGCAATCTGTCATATTACGTAAGCAAATTTTTGGTCAAACAAATTAAAGGTTTTATATGGAAGAAAATGGTAAGTTTGTAATTTTTGTGAAAGTTTTTACCAAATTCAGGATTTTTGGTAAGAGATTACAAGTTTATGGTTTTATATGAAACATTTTAACAAGTTTAAGGTTTTTTTTTTGTGGGATAAACCCCAACATGAAACCCAATTTCCAATATTTTCCTCGAAAAATTAATCCCTAGAAAGTTTTAAGAACAAAAATTTATATTTTCATATTTAATAAAAAAATATGTCATGTAAAACATATTTTAAATTTTAATAATTATCTTATTTTTAATTCATAAAATCTATCTGACTCGTTTCTTTTCTCTCCTATTAAAATTTGGGATAATAAAAATGTAGCAATAAGATCATATGAATTTTGAAAATATTAGAAACAAAATCAGTTGTAATTTTTTTAAAAATGTATGATTAACATTTAGACAAAATTAAAGAGAGAAGAGAACTGACTTTTTCTCTCAAATTATGGTTTGGTCATTCATCGCAACGGTCAGATTTTCTGTTCGGACCTTGAAAATTGAAATATTGGAGTAAACAAGGCAAAATAAACCCCAAACATTTCCATCTCTCGTATACCGACCCATAACTATATAAAACTTGCAATTGAGACACCACATTTCTAATCCGATCAAATCAGTGCATATATGAAACACTTATTTGCTTGCAACTGCCAGAACTGAAGAAGAAGAAGCTAGTAGCCGAGAAACGAGCTTCCAACACAAAGTATTTCCGACCGAAGCTTCGGTCTCATTTCCAGGCACAGGACACGACCAGGTCGCGGTTTTTCCAACCTAGATACAACACTCCTTCCCTCTCCTCGAGCCGGTACTTGTCGGAATAGTTCTTGAGCAGGCCTTCAATGGTGGAATTCACCAGCGAGCTCAGAGGGTATGGATCGAAGCCCGCCATCTCGAACCGCGATCTCCATTTCCCGAGTAGCTCGTGCCGCTCGACCCGCTCTGTCCCCTCGCAGGCCACGATGTTCACCACGTCCCTAGCCAGGCAATGCTGCTCCACGTTGATCCTCTGCTTGTGGTCCCGTGGGAGCGTAACGTCTATGGACTCGAACATGGCGGTATAGTAGTTCATTGTCTCGATGAACCTCGGGAAGAAAGCGGCTGTATTCGTGTTCGATTCTTGCTCCACCAGTGTCACTACCTTGGGAGATAGGCCCTTCACCATTCTCAGTAACCGGTCCCTGTTGATTGTTTATCACCTCAGTGATGTTTAGATGAGTTGGTTTCGAGCTTAAAGGGTAATGAAAGTTTAGACCTTTACCTGTGATTCTCAGTGCTGACGCTCTCATCAGGCATGTGGTGAAGCACGAAGGCGAAGTTCACTGCAAGAGCTTCGCCAGGTCGGATGCCGAGATTCTCGGGTTTGACCTCGGATCCCGACACCGATACCGCGTTGAACTCGAAAGGCACCTTGAACTGACCTGCCAACTTGGCAAGCCTGTTGCCGACAATACTCAGGCTGCCTCCACGAGCATATGCCGACGTGATATCGTCGATACCCGTTATGCGTATCCGTGGTGGACCGCCGGGCCTAGCCGCGAAAGCTTGGATCAGAGTCACCCACTGGCTTCCCTGCCCGATCTGGAAATCGACGATATGGACTCGGTTTTCCTCCTTCATGGCTTCAGCAATGGCTCCATTCGCTGACATGTACCCGAACTTGAAATAAGGGCAAACCTCATAGAGAATGTGCATATATGAAAGAAGATCCGTGCTTGCGGGTTCGGGGCATCGGTTAAGGGACTTGTATATAGAACTACCCGAGGAGGATAGCCGAGCTACGAGCCCCTCTAGCAGGTAAGCTCCCAACCGTTGGATCGGCTCACCAGAAACCGAAACCATCAGACGGAGCTCGTCTATCATCCACTGAGCCATCAAAAGGTCATTATCCGAAACTGCCTTTGCGCAAGACACAAGCACTGTCCTTAGATCCCGTCTTGAGATCGCCTGAAATGTCGTCCTCCAACTGTCAATGTCTTGGCAAGCAGTCGTAGATTCCGTGGAGTCCAAGCAATCAAAAACCTCGGAGTCGGGCCCCAGCATCGCCGTCTCGAGCTCCTTTAACTTGTGCCTCAAGTCATTGACATCATCCGTCACGCAAGAACCGCTCAGCGAAGAAGAGCCATGATCCGGAGAGTTGTTCTGTAAAGACTTGGATGAAAAGGGATCGTAAACGGAAGGATTGATCCCGGCCAAGCTGCTCGTCGACGATTCGAGCGTGCAATACCGTTTATGGGGATTCTGAACTGGTAAGTGCCTAAGCTTTGCGGTAGAACTGAAGTTAAACTGGTTATCGAATGTCTGAAACGCCGACATGTCTGACATATCCGGTCCCTGAAATCGCAGAACCTTGGCAACTTAGTTTTGATCTTTACCCAGAAGCCAAAACAACAGCAAGCGTCGCTGAATCACCAAACCGACATTATCTAAGAGCATACTCTACTGACAAGGAACAAATCTGCAGAGCAAACAGAAGAGGTTAGTGAGTTTTAAGTACATGTCCGTGAATTGGAAGAGTCTGATCACAGTATTAGGTTTAAATCTGAACGGTCTAATACAAAATTCGCAAGCCCACATCAAAAATCAAAGAGAGACCCAGAATCTACTGCTAATTTTGAGGAATTTAGGGGAAACGAAAAAAAAAATCTTGAATTATACGAGATAGTAAACATATATACAGAACACGAAGAACCCTAGGAAGTTACTGTTCTTAGAGCTCTGCCTACCGTTTTCTTTTGGGAGAGAAAACACAGAGTAGGAGCAAAATTCAGAAGAAAAAAACATTACTTGACGCAAAAAAAAAGAAGTTTAGATCAAGAACACGACAGACCAAGAAACTGATTCGCTTCAGTTCGGTTTCTGAAAATTCCAGATTTGGGTACGAGAATTCATTTCACGAGTGCTCAGAAACAGGGATTTTACATGAAAGGTTAAAGCAAAAAAAACGCCCGACTTAGGTATGGAATTTATCGTAAATCATTGATCATATTGGTAAAATATCATTTGAAGCAGAGACAGCTGGGGATGATGAAATAGAACAGAGGACATGAAAGATTAAGATGCAGAGAGCGTTTCTTGGCATAAAAATCCAATTTTGAGGATACACCCACCTGAATTTGTGAGATAAGAACTTGAAAATCTTACTGAAGCTCCATGGGAATCAGACAAGCAAACGAGAGAGAGAGAGAGAGAGATGAGATGAGTGTTGTCGGGGACAAGCCACATGCGAGTTGTTCGAAAGATAAGTAAAAGAAAAGGGGGATTTTTATCAGAGAGAACCCATCCCCGTGTAAATTACGATTCTACCACTGAGGTGTCATATGAGTTTCTTCGTCTACGGTTCAATTACAAGCCATTAAATACGACCGCGACTACATATTTCTCCCAATAATTTTTTTTTTTTAAAAAAGGAATATAATTTCAACATGATTCATGTTCAAGATTTAGAAACCAAATGTACAAAATGAGGCTAAGGATGTGTTGTTTTGGAAACACGCCGTGTATGAATGTGAATACAAAAACCCTCAGTCCATGCTTTGAAATTTCATCTATAAATAGATATCATAATAATATAATCAAATATTTAATTTATTTGACGAAATCAATAGCTCGTTTGTATCAAATTGAATTGAGAGAGAAGAAGGTTGACTTCACAAGACCCATCAAACGCATCTCTTTTGTTCTTTGCCCAAATATTCAAACTAATGGTCAGAGTAAATAGTAAGAAGACAACTCAAAGCGACTTTGGCTCTTCGACGATATTGAAGAGACGTAACCATCGGAGACTAAATATATATACACACATACATACATACATACATACATACATACATACATACATACATACATATCTCAAAGTCAAGAAACATAAGGAATCAGATAACACAAGGATAAAAATGTAAATTCATCTCCTGATATTCTAACTATTCGAACGAGGTTATTTTGGTCTATTTTCACGCGTGTTGGAAGTGGCATCTCCCGTAATTAAACACGAAACCTGAGGTTTTAAGCGTCATTGAACGGAAAATGATTATCAGCTGTTTCTTTCGCAAAAATAAATATTATAAATCGATAAGGAAATGGAATAATGTGGATGCCAAAATAAACGTCGGAATTAGGAGCATAAGATGCTCCATTGAATCCGCTTTCTTCCTGTCTCCCTTCATTTCCTATTTATTTATTTATTTATTTTGTTTCAATGATATTCTCTTTTCTTTCCTATCATTCTTTTTTTAAAAATAAAATAAAATTATATAATAAAGAATTAAGAAAATAAAGTGAGTGCTCTGTCTTTAATCTTTATGGCCCTACAAACCCTCCCGTCATAATCCATCACTTTCACGAAATGTATGCACATATATGTCATTTTTTGTCGTTTTATGAACAAGAAAGATATAAATATATATACACACACATACATCCATACATGTCAATGTATGTGTACATATAAAAAATTGCAAACATATTGTTTCTCACAAATTCGATTGGGAATGTAAAAAAACTAAAAGAACTGAAAGAATACGAACATTTTTTTTTGCAATATATATATAATAAAAACCGAATAAAAAAGAGACTCGAAATCATATAAAAATCGAGCAAAATATTCTTTGAAAAATAAAAATTTAAATTTAAAGGTTGATTGAATTGAAAACATAGAGATCCAACTCAAATTCCGAGTCCTAGTAGGCTTAATAAAATAAAATTCTTATACTTATGTTGTAAAATTGTAATAATTTATATTGTTTACATTTGTCTTAACATCAAAAGGGTATCTGTCCAAAAATAAAGATTAAGGATGATGGAAGAGGGAACATGTGATTATTAAAGCGTGCAATATATAAGAACAAATAACAAAATGCATAAGAACAAAAATAATAATAATGATTCGATATTTAATTAATTTGATTGATTGTTGGGATAACCCTCGATTAACAAGGAAGGACACTCCACGCATCTAATCATTGTCTAATCTCACTGATTAAGGAGGTAAAGTAAGATAAAGGGATAATAGATTGAGTCACTTCTTGTCTAATTAACTTTCTCTTAAGCAAAGATTAAAAAAAAAAGTGTTTTGGATTTGGGTCCAATCAGCCAAAAAAAGAGAGCGTATTATAATATAGCATAACATAAATTCCTTAATATATATCAATTTATATAAATTTCAATTTCTAATTTGCCGAATAAATATCTCAATTTGTACCAAATATACGTACTAAAATTTTAAAATTGTTATATAAATATCCCAATTTGATCAATTTATACTAATTAAATAGGTACCAAACCGATGGTGTAATTAATCGATAATTATATCAATTTGATGCAAAATGATCAAATTGGTATTTTATCTATCAATTTAAAAATGAGGAATTTATGTGATATATTTTAGATGAATTCTTTTTGGTATTTTTTTTTATAGATTTGTTTTTTTTTTTTAATTTGTAGTCGCCGTTATCTTCTGCTAAGTCTCGGCAATAGACACACCCACAACACATGGCAATTGAACATTTAATCGGAAATTAAAATCCACATCTCACGGCGCACACGCACCAAGCATAATTAAACGTGAAAATTGTCTATAAATCACCAAACTTTGTTGAAAATCGTTGGAATAATTTGGAAATAATTTGTAAAAAAAAAAGGATTTTCCGAAGTATGTTGAAGTATTTTATTTTATAAAATATTTTTTTAAAAAAAAAATAGAGAAAAAGGATGGTTGAACAAACTAAGTGAGAGTGTAAGAAAGTGGTTCCCCAATTTCATTACCCAACAAGGAACATGCAAACCTTTTTGGTTTCTCTGTGGTCATACATTGATGGTCCCAATATGCAAAATGGTAAATATTTGACGCTAGTGGAATTATAAACTATATAATAAATATTTATTTTTTCAAATAGATAATTACTGTTATCAGTTAATTTAATACTACAAAAAATAATTGTGTAAAATATATAGTTTATGATACCAAGTTGATCTAGTCACCACTCATTTGGATTAGTGTGGGATGATTCATTGGATTTATAATTTGTTTCGTTGTTATTAAAATAATTACAAAGTGCTTTCAACTTTCAAGTATTATTTTATCGTAGATATTAGGATTTATATTTTAAGGTTTTATTTAATGTTTTCGTTCAATTATTTTTTTATTTTACAGAAATTCTATATTGGGTTTTTATATGTCTGTTTCTGTTGGATTCATTAAAATATATTTATCTAGAAACCAGTTTCAATTCGACTTTTTAGTTTTTTTTTTTATAAAAAGAAGTTTATATTCGATTAATTTTAATTTTAAAAACATAAACAATTGATGTTTGTAGGGAATTTGATTTTAAGAAGTGAAGAACATTGGACTTTCATTATCATAAATGACAAAATCGAAGATCTATTCAAGATATCGTAAGATTCGATTTATTTAAAATATATATTTAGTGCGCGTGCGATTTATTGATCCAACGCCGACCACGTCTCATGTGCAATTGGTGTTATATCACTTTCAATATTATTGTTATTGTTATTATTATTATTATTATTTATTATGATTACAAGGATTTCAATTTTGCAGGTTTTGTCAGAGCCTTGGGGGATGGAAAAGAAATGGTCTCGGTTCAAAGGTTCTCTTAGTTTGGGCCTTGTGGGCCCATTTATTTCCTATTTTTGGGTTCCATGTGGGCCCTCCTCCTCGAAAAGAACCAAATTCATGTTTGTATCTATTTTACATGCATACATGTGTGTGTATATATATATGTATGTATATGGTTCAGTTATCGTTACAGCATCATCCGATATAATATACACGTCATCGCCAAGGAGCCGTCCGTGTATTAGTTGGGACATGGGATTCGTAAAGTCTACTACTTAAGCTCACTTGCATCTCTTAATTATGTTCTTTATCAATGGGATTACCTCAACAGTCCAGATGAAGAAATCAAGCGGCTCAGGCGGGTGTTCTTTGCTCATATCCCGTAATAGAGTCCGTGAACGCGGGATTCACCTGCAAGCATACCCAGAAACCATAGCTAAAAATCAATCAATCGGAACAAAGAGGGAAGGGGAGAAAAACCCACGAATCTCCTTCTTCCTCCCTCCCAATCAGACAAAGAAGCAAACGGCCTACCGAAGCGACAGATTCATTTGGTTTTATATAACCAGCTATATATATATATATATATATATATATATATATATATGTGTGTGTGTGTGAAATTTTGACGAATTATCCTTTCCTTTGTACGGAAGAAACAGAGGCAAAAAGCGAGTCACACAAGTCTCGCGTATATATAAATAATGTACACTTCTATTTTGCTTATATTTGGATTCGTTTACATTTGAATTCATTAAATATATATATATATATATATATATTATGTTTTGATCTAATTCAACTATATCTAGATTTATTTTTATTTAAAAAGTTATTATTTTCTAATAACAGTTTTATCTGATTTTTGATCATTTTTTTATATCAGTTATTTAATTAAGCATCAATTAATTTAAAAACCATACCTAACCATTTTAAAATAAAATTTGATTCTAAGATTACATCTTATTAGTTGGGTTTTAAATACAAAAAGCGAAATCACCATCCGATATATGTGTATATATATACAGAGACTCCCATACAAAAAAAAGGCAGTGGGATAGTTATTGCAAAATGTTTTGTCTCATCAGATTCGGAAGAATATTTTTTGTTGGCAAGAGAAAACAAGACTTTTTGTAATTTTGTTTGCTCTCCCTCCTTTTACGTTTTTTTTTAATTTTTAAAAAAACTGTAAAAAAAAGTAACATAGAATCTCATTTATTAGGTAAAATATAGTTCATAATCATTAAATTGAATGAAATTAAGCAATTTTAATTAAAGATAAAATTAAAAATTACTTTAAAAAATTAATTAAAAATCCAATATCTATTTATAAAAATTATGTCAATATTAAGAAATGGAGCGAATAATTATTACAAATTACAAAATTCAGTAAATAATTACAGGGAGAATCTTAGTTGTTATCACAGCTGTCTTAATGACAGTAAAAAGTGGATAAGACCAAGAGACTTTTAGTCCAAGTAGGACCCAAAGATTCCTTTTTTTTTTCTTTGCCTCCAATAAAATGGGATGTACTTCTGCTTCTATCACAATAATTTTCATTTTTTTTTAACTAACCAATGGTATGGTATTGTATGAATAAACATTATATAAATATTTAAAATTTGTATGAATAAACAATAAATATCATTGCTTGTTAGAATGTGCATCTGGTTTAATCCGGATTAAACTCAGTTTAATTTGATTAACATTATACGACTATTTTATATTTGATTAATTATTTGAGTAACCTAGAAAAGTTTTCATTTGATTAGTTTTTTCAAAAAAAAAAATCAACAGATCTAATTTCATTGATTTCTCTTGTTATTTTATCAATTTCATTAAATACAAGTATTTATACAATATACATTAAGCTGAATCAAATTAATCAAACCATATCATGAGTGATTGAAAATGTTTGAATTAGAATTCGAATAATTTAGTTATTAAAATTTGAAATTCAATCTCTCGAATATATATATTAAAAATTCGAATATTATTTTAGCAATTTTACCGGTAAACAGAAACGCAATTAAACAAGCACGGTCTAATATTTTCAAACTATATTAATTGCACTATGTCCTTGTCGAATATATCCTTTTTAATATTCGAAGAAGGAAAAAAGTCTACCGAATTAGGGCCACCGACACAAATTTCTTTTTGCTAATTGTCTGCCTTAATTAACTGCTAATTTTATTCCAAAGTACAAAACCTAAATTATAAGCCTCGAATTTACTTACTAAACCGATGGTGACAAAAACACATTTTGATAAGTGATCCACGTCATGAAACCCTAAGTATGATTCATCAAGAATCTGCGATTTATTGAAAGCTTTAGAAGTGTTGGATTAGCGTTTGTAAGCAAAAGTTAGTGGAAACCCACGTCCATCTTGTAATTAAAAATCGAAATCACTAATAAAGTTTGGACCTTTGCATCCATTTTTGAAGTTGCTTCTCCGATTATATAAATCTCCACGTAATTCTACTATGTCAGTGTTTAATCACGCCTTTATCTGATGTATCGTCATCATGCATTTGATACTGCGTTTGCGTTTGCGTTTGTATTTTGCATTTGATACTGCGTTTGCGGTCCACGTCTGCGACCATCCTAAGACTAATATGCACCGTTACCGATCGTACGAATAGAATAACAAATAATCATTCTAAACCGAATACGGATGACTTCATTATAAAATTGGAAAAATTGAACTCGTAATGAATATAAAAAAAAAAAACACAAAATCTTAAAAATAAACATTTTTATCACCACAAGATCGAATCTTGTTGAATTTTTATAGAATCCAAAAAAAACTAAAAGAAGACAAAAATGGCGGAATCAGATTCTTTCTACATCTCCCAACTCTGACTAATAATTAACAGAACAAAAAATGAACATGAAACACGGAACCTGCAGTTCATGGGGAGGAGACAAAGCGAAGCAATGTATAAATAGTTGCAAGGAAACAGACACGGAAGATTACATTATACATACGCATGCATATAACTAAAGACAACTACATCATCATCATCTATTTAAGTTAACAGCAGGAACCCGACAAAAACACAGAGAAGTACAAGGCTTACCAGATTTGATCCGACAAATATCACAACATACCTCAGTGTGGAAGAAGCATCCATCACTGATTCGATCTGAAAGGATGGCGATCGTTTGATTGAGTATCGACCTTCGGCGACAGATTGTACCCTTGAAGAAGATCGCGGATTTTCGAGTACATCAATACCTGCGATGGGTCAGCCCCCCGAGAACTTTCCTGCAGTTTAATCTTCTCGAAAAGATACTGTTTCTCTGCCTCGGCCTCGCTCAACCGGAGTTTGAGGTAATTGCTCGCGTATTCTTCCTCGGATTTATCCATCTTGGCCATAGCAATCCTCTGCAGCCTCTCGGATTCTCGTTTCGCCTCGTTGGCTTTAAGCTGGAACATGTCTGCCTCTGCTTGTTTCAGTCTCACTATCCTCTCGAGCTCTTCTATCTGCAGCTTCTTCTTCTGTCTCTCCACCTTCAGTTCCGCCACTTCCTTAGCCTTCTCTTCGAGCTCTCTGTCGCATGCCTCGAGGGCTAACCTTGCCTTCTTGAACATCCGCATTTTCTCCTCCGCCACCATTTCCATTTTCCTTAGAGTCTCTTGTACAACTTCCGCGATTCGGTTACATGCATCTTGAGGCGCAATTATCCGTCCACCCTCTCCGTTTTCAAAGCTCTTCGGTGAGTCCAATTCGATTTCTGGAACGAGAAAGCGATCAAATTGAGTTAGATCAGGTCAACTGACAGTGCGTACCTGAAAGATTTACGTAACAGCAGGGTCTTTACCTTGGAAAAACATTAATATCAATTTGGCTGCTGTTGCCTCTGCCAATCCACCCTTTATCTTGTCGATGAGTTCCTCGCATTTCCAGAACAGTGTCCTTCCTCTCGGATCTTCGCTTCCACGGAAAATCCTACTCACGAAATCGAGTTCTTTCATCAGAGATTCCCGGTCCCAGTTTGGTGCACAGTGCTGAAACACATCTTTCACCCAGCCCAGCAGCTCAGACGTATGATTGCATGCTCGACATCTGAACAGCATTTCACCTGGACCCGATGGATTTTTAGCAGAAGATCCCATCGAAATCTGTCCCTCTCGAGTGGCGCAATCCGTATGAGTCCAGTGGGAACAGAGGTCGCAGCCGATCCAACGGCAGGGGTTGACAGCAAAATCAAACTTGTTACAGATTATGCACATGCAAAGGTTACAGAAACCTTTCCTGTTCGTGCAAATCTCGCAGGTGCAGTCGTCCGCCGGGAGCTGATTCTGGCACGCAATGTTCCTGCATCTTTTGTATACGAAGATCTCGATCAGAGATGTTTGGGACAGACTGATGTTTGGGTGCAAGAATGCCTGTATTCCGGTATTAATCGCGACAAGGATTTCCAGCTGCACCCGATGAGCCCTAGTTAGCGTCATAGGAGTCAGATCAGATCTGCTCTGGACAAACTTCTGCAGAAACATAAACTCGTCTACTTGCTGAGCCCCGTTCCCCTCGAGGATAGCTTTAAGACCATTCTTCAACTCCTCAAGATACTCGTCGGGTAACCGATGCATTTTCTCGGAGATTACGTCTACTCTCTCCCTAGCTATGTCTCGGATTGAAACCTTATCTGCACCAGAAATGTGACGAATCACGGGTTGTTCATGAGAATTGGGCCCTGTCTTTTCGTTCACTGCCTTCTTTGCCATTACAGCATCTGCGGTTGGCCAAGTTTCCTGGGAGCTGGCACTCTCGGCTGGAGATTCACGCACGGCATCAGAATTTGATCGTGGCTCCTGGCCTTCGTGTGAGAAGTGGGGATCCGAAGGTACAAGTGAAAGCGCTGTTTGCAGCCCTCCTGTCCGAAGTTGATGCCGTGGTGGTAACATCTGGTGCGGATGATTCGACCCAGATGATGTGCCCATAAGTTAATGCTGCAGCCAACGGAAAGCACATCAAATCCAGATTCACCACACGCTACTGACAAGAAGAGAACCTTTCAAACACAAACACTGGAGCAAAATTCAAAAGCAGACACACTCAGATGCCATATCCAAGACTTATATTTGAGTCAGAAACATCTCACTTCGCATCAGAAGTTCGAAGCATCATATTTGAGTTGAAACCCAGAAAAAACCCTAATCCCCCAACATAATCCCTACGAATCCCAGCGAGAGACAAAACTAGATCGCGCGTACCCAGTTCTCCACAATTGAATCCACATCAATAATTATAAACAGCTGCAAACCAAAGAGAGGCTACACAATAAATGCGATAAAACGCGAGGAAAAGTTTCGTCAGAAAACTGTTTGGCTCGAGAAAAAAGCAAGAAAAGTCAAACTGGAGCATCAAATGCAGAATCTCAGCGTAGTACGCATATGAAAAACAACTAAATCAGCCCTAAAATCCACAAACCCAACTCAATCATCGCAGTAGATATGCTACTCTACCAAAGAAAACCAGTCTCGAACACTCAATATCAGCGGAACCAAGAAATTTTCCTTCGTTTTCTCAGCGGAAAAACAGCGAAAAGAAAAATTGGAGAGAGAAACCGACGGATCCAAGCATCGGGAGAACGAGAAACTCACCACAGAGAGATAACGAGAGACGTTGGAAGCTGAAGCGGAAGATCGATGATGACGAGTGAGAAATGAACAAAAGGGAAAGCGAGCGATAAAAACTGCACAATTCCCTTTTTCTTGAGAAATTAAATTATTAAAAAAGATTAAATTTTTATTTGTTATTTTTTTAAATATCTTTTGGCTAGGACAGAACAAGAAAAGCTATACAGCTGCCGGTTGGAAAATCTAAAGGTGACCTGATTAGCCAGTCACCTCCAAGTAACGTTGACCTTGACTCTATTTTACTCCTTTTTTCTTCTTATCCACCACTTAATCTTTATTACCAATAAGTCTAATATTTTTAAGATTTTTCCAATTCAACCCCAAAACTTTGTAAAGTGATACTCTGACCATACCAATTAGCTCAACAAAAGAAAGAACAAGTGACTGTTTTTTCTCCTTGCCATTCTCTCCTTGGCAACTAGAGAAGAGTGGTCTAAGAGTAGATCTTAGATGTTTTCCAGTTTCTTTTTTCTATCAAAGAAGAACAAGAAGATGGGCATTGTAAAAAGACAATAAACTAGGCTGCTGTTCATTTCTGCCCACCGGCTTCCACTGGTTCAACCACTTCAGCTTCCACTGGCTCAGCATCGTGAGGCTGCGTCATCCGCTGTTGCTGAAACTCAGGGCTCGACCATTTCCCCGAAAGAGCCATGCCCATCATCTCATATATCTTACCACCCAGCTCGGCTGGATTCTCGGGCTGTAATGACAGATAAAGGTCTCGGTCTTATCTCGGGGTTCATGTTATGGAGAGAAAATCGATGGATGTAAGAGCAGAATACTCACGGTGAAGCCACTAGATACCAGGGCCGCATCATACAGAAGATCTATGGCTCTCATCGCATCTTCGTCATTCGGGTTATTCTTGTGAGCAGCCTGCAGGGGCACCCATGTCAGGATTCAATGATTTAGATCAGGTTTCTACGACATAAGTGGTGGACCGAATTAAGAATGTTGGAAGTACGTTAAGGTTATTGATAATCGGGTGGTCGGGATTGATCTCAAACACCCTTCTCCCCCTCATGAACTCCAGGCTAGATGTGTCCCCGACAGTTTGTGCTTTCATTAGCCTGTCAGAAGACAGAATACGGTTCCTGTGTGTTAGTTCACAGAACATGAAAAGAGCAAAGTAATTCTCTGAAACATTAGGGAATAATATGTTAGATCTCTTACCTCTCCATATTGGCTGACCAGCCGAATTTTCCGGATACAAGAACACAAGGCGATGAGCTCAGTCGGTTGGAGATTTGAACGCTGGCAACCTTCTCGCCCAATCGTTTCTTGATCCACTCACAAGTCTGCCCAAACTCCTTTTTCATGGCCGCCTCTTTCTCCTCGTTCTTGTCACCTTTAAGTACATGATTACATCCAAAATGGGTTATTTTCCAGCAGTGAGATTATCCAACAGAGTATATAGTTCCGATGGAAGTAACAAAGAGCTTGCCTAGATCCAAGTCTTCCTTGCTGATGTCGACAAAATCCTTCTCCTTGTAAGATTTCAAGCTCTGTATGGCAACTTCATCGATGGGATCCACCAGATATAGTACCTACGATGCCAAGAAACGGGAAAATATTTCACGCCGTGCTTAAAACGAGCTGTGTAGCCAATTCAGGGGAACGACACAATACTTCGAGATCCTTCTCAAGAAGCTTCTCTAGGAAAGGTGTGTTCCTGGCACTTGTAACACTGTCGGAAGCGATGTAATAGATGGCTTTCTGTTCAGTTTTCATGTTCTCTACATACTCATCCAAGCTGATCATCTCATCCTCACTCTGGGAGGAAAAAAACCGAAGCAGTGGTGCAATTCGTTTGTGGTTTTCTCGGTCCTCGATGCATCCCAATTTCAGATTCTTGCCATAATTCTCCCAAAATTTCTCATAATCCTGCAAGTGGAAATTGGCAATGTCATTCTCATCCCAACGAGAAAGTTGCTGTATCAAAGTGCTTGGAAGTATCGATCTCATAATGGAAATCAATCAGGTGAAACTAGCAGATTGGAGCATACTTCTTTGTTTTCACTTAAGGATATGCCCAAAATCATGTCAAAAGCCTTCCGCACCAGACGCTTCTTCATGATCCGTACCTTTAAGGAGATCAAGAAAAATTCAGTCCAGTACTGCCACATACCCATATCCCACAAAAACATAGAAACATGTATAATAAAGATTTTATGCAAAACATGACCAAGTAGAACTTACAATGCGGCTTTCTTGAAGAATCTCACGAGAAACATTGAGTGGGAGATCGTTCGAGTCCACAACACCCTTAACAAAGCTCAAGTAGCGAGGAAACTGCCAATCAAAAGTCCAAAAAATAGGAGATCAGCTCTCCATTATGGATACAGACCACACACCGAAAGAGAAGTTTCTCACCAGTTCTCCATCAAAGTCATCTGAAATGAAAACCCGTTTAACATAGAGCCTTATATTCTTTGTCTTTGGATTAACCAAGTCATCCTTCCCCATTGGTGAGACAGCAGGCACGTAAAGGATGGACCTAAACTCGACTTCACCCTACATTACCAACTTTTTCAGTTAAAGAATCTGGAGAAATTATAATCTTGAAATACAACTTAAATGGTCTTAAGTTTTTCAACAAAAAATGTAGAAGAACCTGAATTTGTAGATAATTCAAAAAAAGCATTTCACAGAATCTCTTAAAAATACCTCTGTCGTGAAGTGAGAGGATGCCAATGGGTCCAAATACTCATTGAAGGTTTTCCTATAAAACTCGTTGTATTCCTCTGTGGTCACCTCTTTTGGGCTGCGAAGCTGCAAAAATCAGCCGCAGAGCAGTATAAGCTGTCTTTATATTCCTGATCTTAGTTTCAAAAAAAAATACCGATGACGCAATTCTTACCCAAATGGGCTGTGTCTCATTGGTAAGCTCCCAATCCCAATATCTCTCAACAACAGTCTTGGTCTTCTTCTTCTTCTGACATCAGAAAAAAGGTCATTCAACATTCAGCAATTCCATCAAAAGATAGTTTTTTTTCCTGAAATCTTGAGCAAGACATTATTGGGACAGGCACAGAAAGGCAATGGTATACCTCGGATTTGTCACCCTGTTCATCTTTTGCTGCTTCAGCTGGATCCTCATCAACTTCAACCTAAATAAAGGGAATAAGCTAAGAAACTTTGCAGTCATCCTACGATAGAACATATATATCTTACTTACAATGACAGGGTTATTTAATACTCATCCCATGATAAAATCTACATCTCCGCATTCCAGATGATCATACCTCTTTTGTGTGTCCTTTTTCCTGCCAAGTGTATATAGGGAACGAAACAAATTGAGAATAGTTGTTCACAAGCTTCTGAACCCGTTCTGGATGCGCATAACCTTTTTCATCACGCTACGTTGGACACGAAAATACAAAAACAAAGAAGATATTAGAATCGCTAGTTTTTCTAAGGACAAAAACTAGTGAGATCAAGGCTCAAGCACAATAAATGAATCTGCATACTGAACCTTAAGGTGCAAAGTGATACGTGTTCCTCTAGGAATAAGATACTGTGGATCAGTCTCCTCTCGAACCGTGAATGTGCTTGCATTTGCTTCTCCTTCCCACACATACTGCTTATCAGACTTTGGGCTCTTAGTTGACACCGAGACCTACAACATTAGGGTAGATATACAGTTTCGAACTAAAAGAGAATGAAATGAGTCAAGAGACAACTGAGACCATCAAAGGTAAATACATACTCGATCTGCAACCAAGAATGCTGAATAGAATCCCACACCAAATTGACCAATTAGATTGTTGTCTCCACCAGCATCCTTGCTATCCTGATAACCATTGCAGCACCTCTAAATCAACTCGATGAAGTTTCGGTATAAAAATTTGGAAACAACGGTATTTGAAAATCCGCAATAACCTTTAAAGCTTTCAGGAACTTGGCAGTTCCACTTTGAGCAATAGTCCCAAGACAGTCAACTAGCTCTTGCCGAGTCATGCCAATTCCAGAATCGCTGAATATGTGAAAACAGGCAGCTTTAGAATACAATGTTGCAAAGAAAGCCATATGGCTTCTTGATTGACCATTATTCCAATAGAAAACTGTACTTTCACGCAGAAACCCAATAGACCTACGTGATAGTTACTATTCCGTTGTCTTTATCCGTGTGAATACGAATATCAAGATCGACAGAGTCCTTCAAAAGCTCAGGCTGCATAACACTAAGATACCGCAACTTGTCCAGGGCATCACTTGCATTGCTGTTGCACAAGAAACCAAATGTTAGCAAAGATCAGAACTAAAAGAAAGAGGATGAAAAACAACCAAATGAACTAAGTCTGTACACAACGAAGAAAAACACAAACAAGTGTCGTTTCTTCATAAATGTACAAAACCAAAAGGACAAAGGATTGAAACATACCTAATAAGCTCCCGGAGAAACACCTCCTTGTTGCTATACAAGCTGTTAACAATGAGGTCCATGAGGCGACTGACCTGTCGAGAAACTCAAACATCAGTGGCCCACAAACAATATTCCAAAATATGATCCCTGCTACTATCACTAGACCCAGAAATCCACATACTTCAGCTTGATATTCGAATTTCTCAGCTGGTGGTGGAGCCTGCGAGGAAGAATCCTGTGCCGCGGCAGTTGATTCGTTGCGACGTCCCAGAATCAAGTTGGTTTTCAGGTTCAGTTCAGAAACAGACCCAATTGTTTTACATTTTCCATAGGTTAAGGATGAATACCATCTGAATTCAGTATCGCCTCTCTCCACAGCCTGCGATAGATGGACCCATTAAAATTTTGGAATAATCAGGAGCTAAATTCGCGAGTAAATTCATAGACTAAACCCATTTTCTAGGTGTTGAATCCTCGTGAATTGATCAGCGACCATTGACCCTTCTGGATGTTTAACCGAAACCCAGATGATCATCAAGCGCCAAATCGAGAAAGAAACAATCTTGACAACCACACAGATGAAACCAAACGAAAACGGAGCAAGTGAGAGTAATTCAAGCGAGTACCGTTGAAGACGACGGAGAGGATCGAGAGGTCGGGGCTGCGGCGGCGACGCGGAGTGGTACCATGTGGCCATGTGAACATGGTACCATGTGGCCATGTGAACATGGTACCATGTGGCCATGTGAACATGGTACCATGTGACCATGTTAATATGGTACCATGTGACCATGTTAATATGGTACCATGTGACCATGTCGACGCGGAGGCGACCGCCGCTAGAGCCGAGGATGGCGGTGAAGGAGCGCTTAGAGAGCCTATGCATAGTCGCGAATTTCTCCAAAAACCGGCGAGAGAGACGGACGGAGGAACCAGTCGAGCAAAGCGAATCGAAAGCGCAGAAGTGGAAATGGGGTTTTAGTAGGGTTTATTGACCCAATGCGAAGTTTCTGGATGCGAAGGGTATTTTCGTAAATCAACAAAGACCAATGGATTTCAAAGAGGATTTCAGTTTTTCATGACTGAATCGGAAGCTTCTGGACATTATTAGGGGTAAGTTGGTAATTTATCATTTTCCACGTTCATTCTCGTTCAGACAAGCCCTAAAACTTGCTCCAAAAGTCATCTTTCCATCCAAAAAACATTCATATTGTCCGAACTAAAAACTCATAATCATCAAAATATTACTTTAATCCATATATATATATATAGTTACAAACTTGCGAGAGAACACGATTGGTAATTAAAAAAAAAAGGAAAAGAGAGAGAGAGGTCATATATATATATATATATATAGAACAAAAAGGGCTAAGCTTTAGATGAAGAAAGGGAAAAAAGATGGAGACTTTAGAGGCGAAGAGAGGTATCAACATCAGAATCGTCGGCATTTACGATGTCGGAATCCCGGGCGACGTATCCGTGCCTCGAGGTTTCGGCCCGGACGTTGATATCGGCCGAGCCATGGAGTCTCCTGACGGCGGAAGAGGAGGGATCATAAAGGAGCTTCCTTTTCAGCTCTCTGGCCTCTCTCTTCTCTCTCATTCTCTCGAGCTGTCTGAACCTTTCTTGGAGAAGAGCAATGGACGAGGAACTGGTCGGGAGAGCGGCTTGCTGTTCCTGTTGCTGAGGACTGCTGCTCGCATTTCTGCCCATCATCTGATGATGTTATCTTCTGTTAGGGTTTTATGTTGGGGAGGGTATATATGATATGATCTCTCTACGGTATTTATATATGGGGATCGTGGGTCCATTCCCTACGCTTCTAAAACTATATATATTTTTGCATATAGAATAATGGATGGGCCGATCAAGATGAATGATGTATACATAATACCGATAATAGGTTAAAATAGACATTGTTCATTGATCATACGACCACATTTTTTGGATGATTTTTATGGATCGTTCATTTAACTTTTTGACACACGAAATATAAAAAGAAAAAGATTAGTATAATTTTTTTTTTCACGTATAGCAATCCACCGGTAATTCATCAACTCATCATCATGATTTACATATGTTTTTTTTTTTTGGCGAATTACATAACACACAGAAACATTTGAGGGGGGAGGGGATTCATAAGAACACAAAGAGGAAATGTGAAAGCAGAATAGGCTAAAGAAGAGAAAAGATCCAAAAGGAAAAGATTTGAGGGAAGGTAAAGTGGGTAAAGTTGATTGTAAGTAGTAGTAAGGGGAGGACCTTTTTGAAAGGCACATAAGTATTGGGGAGAAAACTCCAAATATATTGTATGAATTTTGAATTTCTGTAAAAAAAAAATTTTTTAAAAAAAGTGGGTAGGTGATTGTGATTGCGTGTGCTCAAGGGGCCTCTCCTCAGCGCACATAAAAGTTTCGGGGAGAAAAGTCCAAACAATTGAAATCAGTTGTGCCCGTTTGGAATTTTGCGTTTTGGAGCCGAGTCCTTGTGGGGGTATAAATGGATTAGGTGCGAAACGGTGTCGCTTTCCGTTTTAGAGCCAATCCCAAAAATAATAACTACGATGCGAAGGAACGTTTCGAGATTACGCTACAAATCGCAAAAGACACGGAGCCTTTTTTGTTGTTGTTGCTGCATCTGTTTCTCCTCTTCTCCGTATGTCGTCTTACGTTCTCTGGTAGGGCTGTGATTGGAGGTTTTGGGAGTTTGGGGGGTTGGGTGCGAAAAAGACAGATTATAGGGTACTTTTTGAGATATTATTTTTTATTTCACAAAACGACCCCTTATGGTTTCTCTCAGAACTTGGAGAGCAGAAACATCTGCAGCAACAAAAAGGAAAAAGATGATTAAAAAAAAAAGGAGTGATCTTTTTATGAGCAAAATCTTCAATTCACAGTTACAAATTCTGGGTTTTTTCCATACATATGAAAGAGGAATTAAATTTGAAAAAAAAAAGGTGTTTGCTTGGCAACCCTTTTCATGTTTTGTCGAACAAAAAGAATATGAATCGCCAGCATTTCTCCGCAGGAATACACTTGAACGGTGTTAGGCTTTGCAGTTTCTTGGTCGGATGCATATGAATCATGTTTTGTCCATTGTCGGAGATGGAGACTGATTGATATTTTCATGAAGATTCCGAATTCAGAGACTCGACCGAAAACTCGCAAGATTCATAGAGCTCTGTATCGGAAAACGCTAACCGTTAACACAGATGCTTTCAAGGCGATTAAACAATCTGCTGTTTAGGGTTTTTACCTGATCAAGAATCACTGTTCTTTCGGACAATTTACAGCAGGTAAGTTCTTTCTTTCAGTTTCAGCCTGGTAAGGAAGGGGAGGGAGATACCTGTCATCTTAAGACTTAGTTGCAAATGGATTAGAGTAAAAGAAACCTCTTCAACGTATGACTCACTGAAAGAGTAGTAGAAGATCCTCCTTACCTTTGGTTCCAAAACTTTTATTTACATCCGCAGGGCAGCAATCTCCTTCACCGATACCCATTTCGCCGAATATGATGAACACTTTGACAGGTCTACAAATGAGATATTAGGCTATCTTTCCGATTCCAAGCCTCTTCTGAATCTGCTCTGCTTCCGCAGGTCTGTCTGCTTTGGACAGTTCTCGGGCCAGTACGACATATGTCTGGAGACGAGGATTGCAACCCTTAGTTTCCATGACATGAAGAAGCTTCAGACACAGATCTGAATTCCCATCTGCTAATAACCCGTCAACCAATACCGTCCAAACAATCTCATCGTAGTTCCAATTTTCATCAAGCATCTTCTCAAACATCGTTTGAGCATCTTCTGCTCGGCCCGCCTTTCCCAACGCACATATAAGTGCTCTGTAGATTGACAGTATCGGCGCAATGCCTTTACTCGTCATTTCACTACAGATTTCGTATGCGGTATCTACATCTAAGTTTCTACAGTGACAAAATATCAAAGAATAGTATATATCTCTATCGGGAGAGAACCCTTTGAGCTTCATCCTCTCCACAACCCGACCCGCATCATATGGTTTGCCTTCTCTACATAGGCCACTTACTAAGATGCTATATGCTTTGCTACTTGGTTCATACCTGAGCTCTTCAAGCCTCGAGAAGAGGATATTGAGAAAATCAGAATCCAATATTGCTGCAGATGATTCTGAACTACAGACTGTTTCGTTTTGAACAGCTATCTTCTGTGTTATCAACTGGCATTCTTTCTGTAGCCCTTTTATCAATGCCATGTAAGTTCTGTAGTTCGGTTCACAACCAGAATCAACCATCTCCCGAAGAATTAAAAATGCGTGTTCTAATCTGTCAAGCATAACGAAACCTTGAATGAGGGATGTATACGCAACCTCATCAACAGCCAATCCTTTCCTCTTCATTTCTTTAAGTAGTGTTTCTGCTTCATCCGCCCTACCCTCCTGACACAAACCGAAAATGAGTGAACTGTACGTGTACTCGTTCGGAGAGCATTTATTCTTCTCCATCTCATGGAAAACCTTCAAGGCACGGTCAGTCTCACCGTTTTTGCATAGCCCGTCGATTAAAGATGTGTAAGTTATTACGTTGGGCTGCAAACTCTTCTCTACCATCTTATCACATAATTCCTCAGCTTCAGACAACTTAGAAACTTTAGTTAAACCGTGAAGAATAGTGTTATATGTTTTGATGTTGGGATCACAACCATCTCTCTCCATTCGATCTAACAACATCAAGGCAGCATCCATCTTACCCTCCTTACAGTAACCATCAATCATTGCCGTATAGACTACTTGGCCCGGCTTCAAACCATGCTTCAGCATTTCACTGAAAATATCGGATGCAACATCAAGCTTGCCCCAATTGCAAAACCCTGAGATGAGCTCTGAGTAAGTACACTGATCTGGTTTACAACCACTGTCTTTCATCAGATCCAATAATCTCATGGCATTATTCAAGTTTCCCTTGTGAAGGTATCCACCAATAAGAATGTTAAAAGTCACCTCTGTTGGGGAAGGACCGTCTTTGAGCATCCTGTCTAAGAGAACCATAGCCTTCTCAATCGTACCCATCGAACATAACACCTTCAGAATTTCATTGTAAGTCCGGGTATTAGATAACATACCATGCCTCAACATCCAACTAAAGATCATCAAGGCACTCTCATACCTCCCTCCCGAACACAACTCATTCATAAGTGCATTGTATGTCACTGTACTCGGAGCTAAACCACTTCTAACCATCCTGTGGTAAAACCCAATCGCCAACTCAAGTTTCCCAGCTCGAGACATGCCAGTGATGACTGTAGTATAAACATCCACATTCAGATTACATCCCCTTCTCTTCATGCTTTTCACGAGTGCTATCGCCTCGTCAACACGTCCAATCTTAAACAGAGAATCAATCGGGACAATATAAACAAACACTGTTGGCTCAACACCCTTCTCTGTCATTTCCTCCAGCATGTAAAGTGCCTCGTCTATCCTCCCCACATGGCACAAGCCGTTAATCAAGTTTGAATAAGTATAATGGTTTGGATCACAACCCTCTTTAACCATTCTATCGAAAACCTTGAAAGCATTATCCAAATCCTTGTTTCTGCAGTACCCGAGAATCAACGACGAATAAGTATATGTATCTGGCAACATATGGTACTCGAAGATCCTATCAAAGATTTGCTCAGCCTCTCGAACTCGTCCTTTCTTGCACAAGATATTAATCATAGTATTGAGGGTCAGCAAGGAAGGCTGAATCCCGCTATTCAACATATCCGAATAGACATTGGTCGCAAAATCAACCATGCCAAATTTGCCCAACTGAATCAACAAAGTATTATAAGAATACAGACTAAAAGGGAAAACTTTTCCACCAATTCGTGATAAAAATTCGATCACCCGCCTCGTTTCTTCTTCGTTCCGACAAGCTTTGATCATCAGCATCCTAACATGATCCGCCGGAGAGAAATTTCGGTCGCGAAGCAACCTGTTCAGCATCGTTTGGAAACAGCACATATCGTGTTTGTAGAAATGCCGCTTAGAAACCCAATAGAAGAAGCGCAAAACCGAGTCTGTGCTCTCGTGGGTATCGATGATTTGAGCAACATGGTAGGGTTTCAGCTTCGGCGCCAAGTTCAGGAGAGCTGGGTTTCTCTGCCATTGAGAATCAGACAAAAGCTCGCAGATTTGGGAGACAAAGCTCCCCGATCGATGATCAGTGCCCTTATACGGGATCGAAGAAAAGTTTCCGGTGGAGGAAAGGGACTTCGTGTCCAACCAGGGCCGCAGAAATCGGGAGGGTCTAACATATTTTAACATCTCCGGCGACGAACCGAGATCATCAGACGGCGGGGATGAAGAAGAAGAAGAAGAAGAAGAGAGATGGAAGGGTTTTCGGATATGGAGAAGTTGGGGCGAGCCCACTCAGGAGGTTGGTGAACGTGGCCATTGGAGAACCATACTCCCAGTCGAGAGAAAGAGAAGAAGAGAGAGATGTTGGTCTGCTGACCGGTTAGGGTTCAACAAGGTCGCTGGATCATTTTTTTTACAACGGAAAGGGACTTCGTGTCCAACCAGGGCCGCAGAAATCGGGAGGGTCTAACATATTTTAACATCTCCGGCGACGAACCGAGATCATCAGACGGCGGGGATGAAGAAGAAGAAGAAGAAGAAGAGAGATGGAAGGGTTTTCGGATATGGAGAAGTTGGGGCGAGCCCACTCAGGAGGTTGGTGAACGTGGCCATTGGAGAACCATACTCCCAGTCGAGAGAAAGAGAAGAAGAGAGAGATGTTGGTCTGCTGACCGGTTAGGGTTCAACAAGGTCGCTGGATCATTTTTTTTACAGAAAAAAAAAAAAAAAAAAAAAAAAAAACGCTTGAAGAAAGCAACCTTCTTTTTGCGACAACACAATTAAAACTTGTATAGTTTTTTCCTATATTAATATGAAAATTAAGAAAAACAAAAATATCAGATATTTCACCGCAAAAATAAATACTCATCAAACACATCAGCGACGTTGTCGATTTATAAAGTAATAATCCAATTTGTAATAATGGTATTTGTATTACGAAAGATAACTGAATCTTGAATCTTGGTACAATACATTCGATTATTAAAAAAAAAACAGAAATGAGAAGAGGATTCCAGCAATAGGGGAATCTTTCTGGGGTTTTTAATTTTCGTATGATCTCTGGGTTTCAACTGTTCCTGAGATACCATCAATGCTGTTTCTGGTTTGGTTACACATCTGGGACATATATATATATACATATAATGGAGGAAACAGAGCTTTTTATGACAACATATTATTACACAAGCCAGAGTTAAAAACATATGAGAGCATGTCTGTATGTATACAAGAACAGAGCCGCATCAAAGAAACTACAAAACCACAATCTTTTTTCTCCCTTCCTTGTAAGATCCTCAAACTGAGTCTGGAAGGCTTTTCTTTCTGAGTTTATTTCTTCCTACTGCGTGGTGGTCTTGTACCCGGGAAAAAAAAAAGGAAGAAGAGAAAAAAGAGAGAGAGAGAGAAAGGCGATACATACATAGAGCCAAGCCAGTCACCTGTCAAGGTTCCAGCTTCAGTGATACAACTCGAGACTGTCGGTTGCGCTTGGCTGCCTTAACAAAGAATACCGAGAGGCAAGAAGGCGCCCACCATGGCCGCCGCACTTTCTGCTCCCCTTTCAAGCAAGCCACTGTCAAGATCCAACTCTTTTTTTTATTTTCTTTCCCTCAGCCATGATCGTGCAGCGAAACCGAGATGAAAAGAGGGATGTAAGCAGAGGAAGAAGAAAAAAAAGGGACCTTTTATCCGTCTGAGCTCTTTACAGAGGGTGATGAAGTCTCCCCACTTCATGTGACACCTCCTTATGAATCGGAGGATCTGTTCGGTTGTAAACATAGACATGCTTTCTAGATATTCTCCATTAACACCGTTTTCTTTGAATATCTGTCGGTAGCTCCCCAAGTTTATCTCCTCCAGCCACAACCCGACATCCTGACAAATATCGGGAATTTCCCATTTCCAACACATTTAATAACAGAAGTACAGACGAATCAAAGATAAATCCCAGAGTGATTATGCTAAGTTTGTCCTCTTTAGCAGCATTTGATCAGACAAAACCCGTCATCAGAAGCCATCCATCTTCTCCATACGAGTAAATAAAAATCTTCTCATAAGTTTCTCTATGATTGAGAAGTGCAACATGTGCGGATCACTGGACAAAACACTGGTAACCTAAGGAAAACGATTTCCAAGTCTACATCAACAACTACAGACCCCACACAGCAATTCGGACAAGCAGCAAAGTCCAACAATGAATCAGCTGCAACAGCCAAACGAGTCCATAAAACCCAGAAAAAACCACTTGTGGGGCATCTCTACACAGTATTCCACTCAATTGACAAGGTAAGAGAAAATTTGGAGCTTTCATGGTGTAAGTTACAGTTAAAAAGTACACGATTGAAGTATCCCTTTCTCCTTTTAAGATCTACTCAAGTATCAAAATAGTGATTAGTGAATCAAGCTACTGAATTAACATTGGATCTAGCAACAACCTTAGGCCAAACAAGGGCATTAACCTAAAGAACTCACGGCTTCCAAACCGATACGTATTCGATTGGAGATGAATCGGCTGAATCCGATCTCACCACGCTAAACTAACGACAAACTAGGGGGATACCCACAATTCTTCACAAGATTCCACGAGAAAAACCCAGCTCAGACCACAAACCTTACTCAATCCCTCGAACCCTAATGGCCAAATTCAAGCTGGAACTAAGAATCGGATGGGATTACCTCAACAGTCCAGATGAAGAAATCAAGCGGCTCAGGCGGGTGTTCTTTGCTCATATCCCGTAATAGAGTCCGTGAACGCGGGATTCACCTGCAAGCATACCCAGAAACCATAGCTAAAAATCAATCAATCGGAACAAAGAGGGAAGGGGAGAAAAACCCACGAATCTCCTTCTTCCTCCCTCCCAATCAGACAAAGAAGCAAACGGCCTACCGAAGCGACAGCTGTAAGATCTCCAAATTTAAGCTTTGAAATCAGGGAAAGTCTTTACCTTTTTTCTCGGGAAACAAACAGAAAAAAAAAATAGAGAGAGGGGGATTCAGCGAAGTTACCGTGTGAAATTTTAGGGTTCGAAGGTATTCTCCAAATCACATTTGAGGGAGAGAGAGAGAGAAAGCGTTTCCAAGGAGTTGAAGAGAGAGATAGAGAGAGGCTTTGATGATTGGGAGAAATGGGTCCAGAATTGTATGTATTTACCAATGTCATGCTTCTTTTTTCTTCACTTCACTGTTTATCCCACGCGCTCTCTTCTTACCTACACGCGCCTCCTCTTGATTCGAATTCGGGTAACGAATGGTTCTGATCTCGTTTTTTACAAAATACATATCATTCGATTATATTCAATTTGGTTTTTATTAAAAAAAATAGATTTAAAAAAAATCAATTTTTTGGATTTTTTTAATATTTCGATTATTCAATTTCGAAAAAAATTGTTTTTCTAAAAAAGAAATCGTTCAAAAAAATTGGACTATTCAATTAAAAAAATATTGTATTCCGTTATTAAACGCCCACCTCTACTCCCTAATACTGGTACAAGTGGCCCCTCCCCACATGGTTTTTCTTTTATTATATCTTATTATTAATATATTGAGCATTTGGATATAATTAAAAATATATATCAGATAGAATGAACATTTATTGTCACATTTTTGTAAGTGATAATACCGAAAATTCCCAGTATTATACTTTGGTGTCCATATAAATTATATTATAATCTTTATAATAAAAGGAAGATACTTTTATCAGATGGAAAAAAAATAAAACTATGAAATCTTAAAATAGAACATGCATAAATAAAACCCAAACGGCGAATATAAAAAAAAATTACTGTAAAAATAATTGGGTTTGGACCATAACGCGGCTGAATAAATGATTAGAAGCAAGATGGATGGATCGTAAAGAAAAATGAAGGGGGCTAATGAAAATGATTGGCCCAAGAAGGTTAGGGACTTGGAAAAAAAGGTCACGGAGATCTAAGCTCACGGCACGTGATCATCATCCCCACATACATACATACATACATACATACATACATACGTACGTACATACATACATACATACATACATACATACATACATACATACATATATGTGTGTCATGGACCACAAGTGTTTCCTCATTCCTAAGCCCACACCATACGCCGACCTTACCAATTTTCTCCCCCCCCCCCCAACCCC